AAAACATTGCGCAAGTTGTGCTTGTTCCGGTACTCGTACGGTAGACGTAATAGCGGCAGGAGCTACAGAGGTGGTCTTCGCACTAACAGCAACGATCACAGCGATCGATAGTGCAGTGGCGTGGGTGAAAGAGCGAAGCGGAAACAATGATAGCATGAAAAAGACATGGCAGAATTGTATAGACTGAATTTCTACAAATGAATGGTTGGTTCCGCAATGATTTACTGTGTAAAAGCGCAAAAAAAAATTAACAGGGATAGGACATTGAGATGTAGATGCGAGAGGAGAGTACAGAAACACGGAAAAGGTTGCGTCAAGATTACGATCGACAGAAAAAAACGTCTACCGATGATAAAGAAACGAGCCAGGCGCGGGCCGACGTAGCGCATCCCGAGGCCCAGTTAGTCAATCAGAGTCAGTCAGTTGATCAGCGTAGCTCAGACGCAACATAACGTATCTCAGACCAGACGCAGTAGAAGGCAAACAGGGTTGGTTGCATGACGAAGCACGATTTCTGCTGATGGTCAGATCGATGATATATAGAGCATTTAGATATGGCATAGTATAGAGAGACGCAGAATTGGCATTACTGTTTGATTTGTTGATTGCTGGCTTTCTTACAAAGATTTGAATAGATGCTTGATCGATCGGAGCTAGGTCGATCCACATTCGGGCGCAAATCATTCGAGCGGGGTACAACACGGACGTGGTGCGTACCTGAGCTGGCTGAATTTCCTTGCCATGTGCTGTTGAGAGAAAGATCAGCTCGTAGGTCTGACTAGCTTGCGGAGCATCTGATTAGTCTTGGAAAAGTAGCCTCAGGCACTGTCAAGTAAACCCCCATTTAGAGTGGTGCGCAGGAAAGCTAGTGTTGGGCACTTGCATACGTCGGCAAATCATCATAGGTGTTATCTTGCTACTATCGCTGTGGTGATGCTTGTTGTTGATGTGATTGTAGACACCTGTGGCGCGGCTGTTACAAGTCGTCGCGACCGCTACTTCTGATGATGCTGGGTTAAAATCGTTACCGTTGATTGCGACTGGGCCAAGTCAGGATACCCTTGACTGAGGACGTTTCGAGTTGTAGATTTCGAAGAGACAGCAAAAAACTGCCGACTTTGTTGTGGCCTTTGCTAAAGATGATCTATTGTTTCAGTTATTGTACGCATTGATGGAACATCGCCTAAGATTCCTTGCGAGTGGCCGAGAATGATATCACTGATCGGAGGCCTTTCACTGACGTCTGAAGAGAAAGACAGCATCACCAATGATAATCAAAAGTAATAGTTCATCGTTGCGAAATCTGCCATTCCTCCATTTGTATCCTCAGAGTAAATATATGTTTTCTATTAAGATTCTGTCCGTTATCGCCTGTCATTGCAGCGCGTTTTGCTTCAGCTGTTCCTCGATATATCGGAAAATTTCAATCAATTACATTCTTAGATATACCTGTATATTATAGCACTTATTTTCGGAAAACTAAATATATACAGACTCGTTGCTCGGATCACATCGTCTTAGGCGATTTGTAGTAAAACACGATGCGATATATGCGCAGATAAATACAATCTGGAGCGCTCTGACGATCGTACGCCAAAATCATTATAAGGTGTATATGTATAATAATAATAATAATAAAAAAAGAGGTAATCAGATATACTCGTACGGCACCATGTATGCCTTCTGTTTGTGGCCTTATTTTTGTTAGTCATTGTTGTTATTTGTTAATACCGACCCTGAGTGAGATTTCGAGGTACCTTTTTCAATTAAAAATAAATTGAGCATCTAAAGTTAGCATCTGTTATGTACACAGACAGGATAATAAAAACTATACAATTAAAATTAACAAAAACATTAAAATTTACAAAATCATAAGTCGTATATTCACCTAGCGTTGACGAGGTACAGACGTATCATTCGTATAAATCAATTTAGAAGTCTTAGTAATTATGTGTTTTAATAAGAAAAACTTGTTGCGACAATATTATCGCAGTGCAAGTGATGTAGATTTGTCCACGTTTGTTTGTTAATGTCGCAAAAATAGAACGAAAAGCGGCCATTCAATACCAAATGTTTGTAGAAAAATAACAATAAACTTAGGAAAAATATTCTCCTTCTCTAAAAACAAGTAATCTTAGTAATTAGATAATTAAATCTTTTGGTTGATAAAATTTATCTTGTGTTGCAATTATTACCGCTAGAGGGATTAACTTAAAATAGTTAACAATTTAACAAACGATAAAAGTGCATATTTGTTTCTTTTTTGGTGCTTTAAAATAAGTAGGTATTGGAAGAGTCAAAAACACTGGGTATTCAAAAAAATCCGTTACCAAATTGATGGCATCAAAATTCAAAAGCAAAAAATCGATTAGAGGAATCCACTTATTCTCCAGCCACCGTGGCATAGTAAGCATGTGACAATAAGGGGTATTGCTGAAAGGAGGAAAAATTGTTTACTCCATATACATAAGCAGTAAACACTGGGTGGGTCAAAGAGAACACTGCAAGAAATCATCGTGCACAAATGAAGACAATTATGCATAACGTACACGAATAGTTTCAGTCTAATGGAAAATAGGCTACATTTATAACACATAATAGTATAGGATTAGTATCAGTCAGTCAGTCAGTCAGTCAGTCAGTCAGATTTGGAAGCATGCCATATGTCTGAGTACGCTTCGAAGATATTAAGTCCTCACGAGGGTTAGTATAAATAGAATATAGGACGATAGTAGTGTCAGAAATGGCAAAATCTCACTTTCTAACAATGATTTTCAATGGATCCTTTTATTTCCAACATGTATGCTGGTATGGATGTTGTCGCTGCACCTCTGAATCTTGTTTGAAAATTTAGATGCAACATTTTATTGAATAGGAAAACGGATAATGTTGATTTATGCTTTCAATAGTGAATGCAGGAAATCTGCAGAAACCATAAGTAATGCGCGACAGAGGAAGCTTGCAAATATAAGAATCATGTTATAAGACTGTAGGTCCTCATAAATACAAAATTTAAAAACAACTATCCAAAAATGGCGTTTAAAAAACTCATTGTGAGAGCGAGAAAAATTAAAAATCTATCAATCAAGCATATTCATTAAGTTATTTTCAAAGTTGAATATGAAAAACAACCAGCGTGGCGTTTTGCCGAATAAAAAGCGTCGCGCTCGCACGAAAATAACTAAGTTGGCATTTTCAAAAACTTCAAAAGTTAACAACAGCTCTCTGCACAAGGTAAAGGGTATTTTTACAAAGTTACCCAGACGTCGAAGAGCAAAATGAGTGTCCCGGCCTCTCTCACGAAACTCACTCAATCAATCATTCGCCGACCCACAAATGCCCAAAAGCCTTGTTACTAAACCCTTCTTTTACACAACGAATTTACCAACGGCATGTGCAGCTACAGTAGACGATAAGATTGGCAAAAGACAATGACACATCAATAATTTCTACTACAATTAACCTAAAATATACTTACGCAGCTCATGAGATTATATATGGAAAATATAAAGACCCCCTTTGTAGTCTTTATATTTTCCATCTACCCAAAGATCTCGTATGTCCTAGGTTTTCGTTGTTTTTGCAGTTTCTTCACTCAGAAAAGTTGCATAATAGTTGTGAGCTTATGATAAGTCTTTGCACAGCATTTAATTATGATAAATTCCCGAGTTTACGGCAGATCTAGTTTTCATTGACTATCGTAAACAATTAGCCAACTAACAGATAAGTTACGAAAAGTTCAACTTACTGACGCATGTGCCGAGCGCATAATTTTAAATAAGAAACCAAATTAACCTATTGAAAATACTAATAATTTCGAGCTGGTTTTGAAAGCAATTTGGCGGTTTTTTGGTTATTAATTTATATCTTCCAACCTCCCTTTTGCCGATTATCATACATTATATAGCGTTGGAAAGCGCTTTTCTTACTTAATCTACGATGCTGATATTGTTGCTTTATCTAAATCACACGGTTGAATCTTAAGTTTGAACTTCAAAAGAGGTGTATTTTCGGTGACGGAAAAGGGTATTTTCGAAACGTACCATTCCTTTTATACCGAGGTCAAAAAAACTTCTGAAACAAGCCTGCCCAAACATAGTTTACTGCGTTCTAACATGACATTTTTTAGCCTAAGAACACGCTTCTAGGCTTTTCGATTTCTGCGAGGACTGCTTTAAGCTAGTTTTAAAAGAAGGTAGTTGCTAGATGGGCTTATATTTCTTAGCTACAGAGGCTTTAAAGTACGTGAAAAAAATAGCTTCTGTTGAATTTATATATTTTTACATCGGTAACAGGTCGGTATCGCAAATTTACTCTTTGATCCGGAAGACCGAAAAAATCAACGACAAAAAAAAATCAAAGAGTCCAAGAAAATGTCCTTCCAACGATATACAACATATTTTCAGCGAGTAAAAAATTATAGAAGCGACGTAATAAATAGAGCATGTCGTTACTTTTCGAGGAGTAGAACACTATAAAGTTATATATCATCATTCGAAGGCAGATTTTTCATTCACGTAGTTAATATCAATACACTTATAGGACTATTAGGACAACCCTATATGCCTTTAAACTATTCATTATATACTGATATATTGAGCCAGAACTAAACGATCAGTATTTTTCTGTTGGAAAGCTTCTCCTAAGTTGATGAGATGATAAAACCTAGCGCTATATATGATAATAGATGGACTTGTATCGAACAACAACCTATTTTATCCAACGATTGTCAGGATGAAGTCGATTCTTGAAAAAGTAAACATCTGAAGATTTGTACACAAACGTTTCGTCACCGATACTTTATACAATTTGGCATCAATTGAGGGTTGTAGTGTTTGTTTCGTAGAAATCAGGACATTTTTTAGGAATATGGAAAGGCATTATTGATACAGGCCTATTGACGATAAAGGTACTACACTATTGCAGTACAAAACCCTTTGGTACCTTGGCATTAAACCTTTATCGTGCTAGACACAGAATATGGGCATAGTAAAATTTACCTTCTTTTTTGTGCCGTTCAAAAACTCCTTGTACATGGCTGACCGAAGGTATCTTGGATAGCTATCATTCTTCATTAACTGATATACATGTGCCTGAAACAACATAAGTTCAATGCCAACATGTCACTGTCAACGGTAGTTTCCCAAAAAGGTTGTCTGCTCGAATAGTAGACTTCGCTTGGAACCGGTTTGTATTGCTGCTATCACACAAAAGCTCTCTGTTTGTCATGATCTTTAATACGTGCACACGTGAACGATAATTCATTCTAAGCGACATTATAGCTACCCAACGGCAGTTGTACTAACCGCAGCTTCTTCGAACGCCCAGCGATCTCCATTCTTTCCTTCTATGTTGCGACGGGTATGCTCGAAGCTTCTCGAGTCGATGTTGATCGGACAATTTGCGTCCGACGCAAGATATTCATTCCAGATCTCCTGGACAGTAGTTGCCACTTCCTTCGAATGTACTTGCCGCCGAAGTTCCTGTAATAATGCATAGTACAACGAATATGACATGAAGAGTCAGACTTGTGAAGACATCGGGTCTACGTATGTTGTAGATTTAAGGCGAGAGATTGATTTGAGTACGAGGTCTTGAATCACTTGCAGACACCTTCATCTGTTTGATGGATTCACACGCGGTCTTAGTTGAGTCAGAGTATCTAGACGCACCTGGACTGCTTCCCAAAACTTGAGATTTTCGGCCGAAAATTCCTTTTCAAGAAATTGGAAGAACTGTTCTTTACCGGCCGGATCCCGTAGAAGTTCATTCAACGAAAATGCCCACCGCCGAACGCGACGTGGTGCGATTTCCTACAATAAAAACAAGCTTTCATCTATCAATGGCCGTAATATATCCAGGACACTATACTTGTTATTCACGTCCTTTTCTCGAATCAAATTTATTTCAATAAATTATTTTAATTATATTGAAAACAATAATGAAGAAGTGAAGGACGGCAGCTGTTATAGATATGTTGGTCCTTCTACTAGTTTTTTTTTGCAAGGTTGTTTCGAATTCGTTACGCTTATTATCTTATACGAATTATATTTCAAACATTATTATGAATCTCATTTCAATATAATTTGTCAAAATGGCATAAATGAATGATCAAAAATATTAAGCCTAATCTATTAATCTAGGAAGGAAATTGGGCGTAAAACGTCAATTGATCTTTGACTTCTATTGTAATAAGGTAGGCAAACATGTAGACTAATAATACACGTCTACATACATACGGGTGTGAGTATACAAATAGCAGAAGCTATATTTCTAGCGGTGAATAAATAGATTCACAGTTGGAATACGTTGACTACGAATCTATTTTTTTCATTTATGTAAGTTTCATTTAACCCCCGCCGCCCTTTACCGTTCGGTTTCACCTTCAGTGTTATACCGCATCTTTGCTCTTACGTACCTTATTTTGTTTCTCCGCCTCCCACATTTCGGTCGAGTCTGATATCCAGGGGTTGGACGGCTCGGCTGGCGTCACGAACGCGTCATATTCGGCATACTGTTCGAAGTAGCTCATATATGATTCAGCAACCTATATTTTTTCATCCACATGTAACCAGATGTGCAAAAAAAAACATAACAAAAAAATCATCTTATAAGATGTGCTATTTATATGACTCATGGGCCCTTTACGCACGCTTCAGCAACACACGGGAACCGGCAGAACCGAAGTAATTAGCAAAGTCTTGCAAGTACGGTTAGTTAGCCGGTTTTAAGCGCTCTGCAAAGTCTGCTTCCGAAACCTTTTAGGATGAGTCAGCCATTGGCCGGCCTTAGATAGGCCGAACACAAAGGCAAACCTTACAGTCGGATAGGCAGATAGGCAAGCATATATTACCAACGAAAAAACAAACTTGGATAAAGGCTTTCGTTTTCTAAAATATCTCTATCTAGCTAAAGGCCCTGTGATTTCTTTTAGTCTAATCTGCTATTCTGGAAAAACTGCTTTAGCACGACACCGCTAGCCCAGGCAGTCAATGAAAACTTTCGCTGACTTGCTGTGTGCTAGACGCAAGTAGTATTTATGTAGGATCTTCAAATTTATCTTCAACATATCACCTTGAAGCTTATCCTTGTTTTTGCTCTACAACAATCTAATCCGGGCCACGACACGCATTCATATGCCTCGAGCATTCTCTTCAATATTATCTACTGTTGCGTATCGTTGTAGTTGAACGCCATTTGCAACCGGCCGGCCAGTCATCGTACCTTTGATGTCTTCACATTAACCCTGTCCAATCGGGCTCGTAGGGCGTCAGCCTCAGCTCGCAGGCTTTCCAAGGGATGTGAGGCAAGAAGGTCCGTTTGTGCCGAGTGCTCTTTTGTCCCAGTCGTACTTCCCCCGCTACTACTTCCGGTAGCCTTTGGCTTATTCATGCGACACGCCTTCTTAATGTCCACTTCCGTCGTATTTACGCAGCCCGGCTGTCGATGACATCAAGAAAGTTAGACTAACAGTCACAGGACTTAGCTTGGTGGGTAACGGATTTGGCTGCAAATCTTAAGGGTATTCGTCTAGATTCGAATCCGCGCATAGACACAGTCCGTTTCGTGCTGGAAGCCAGCCGTCTGATGAAATGCAAAATGGCGGCGCCGGACGTAAAACATTTAGCCATTATATAGAAATAGCAGAGACACTCTAATACAACAGTAAGAACTTTACTAAGCAACGCTATCCTAGTGTGTATGATATCAACGAGAAACTAAACATCAGATGATAGACATAGGGCATGGTTCTTTGTGCTGATAATAACAATTAAGCTTCAGCTGCTTTACGAAGTAGTTCAGCGGTCAGCCGCAGATGATACGGCTTCTAAAGGCGAAAATCATAAATAGAACTAAAATAAAAAATAATTATTTTAACAATATGTAGTTCAAATGGAAAAATAAAGTAATGCCTCTACGTTGCCATACCCGTTCCTATATAATATCATTTAGAGCTTGAAAACAGATTGATGATGGGGTCTAAACAGTTGTTTTAAGTATTTGAAACAGGCTTCATTGACTTACTTTGCCTTAAGTTCTTTCCGTTCTAAACACACTCACACTATGCACACATATATATATATATATATATATATATATATATATATATATATATATATATAAAATGTTACTAGGATTTAACGATATAGTAAAAACAACAACAAAATTCGGTAGGTGTATCAGTCTTTCATTTTCCACTCAGCTCGACCAGGATTAATATCACAAAGTTCTGCACTTACCACGGGCCGATGGACGTCCCAAAATGCCCTTTCCTGACTGTCGAGCACTTTTCGTTCGATCTTGTCACGTTTCTTATCGACCTTAGCCTGAGCCTCGGCACGCATAAAGATGAACTCCCACTTACGGGAAAACATCTTCTGTAGTCTGGCGAGATTTTCTGCTTCGTAGTCAGCGAGCTCCAGTCGAGTCTTATTCTGCATCGTTCGCTTACAGAGGTACACAGCTGAAGCCATTGAAAAGCATTATATGATATCATGACAACAAGAGAAACAACAATCGCAAAAGAAGTCAGAAGCCCAGGCATCCACAGATAAATATCGTTGCGTTAGAGGAGACCCCGTAGATATAGTGGGAATCGACAGTGGCCAAATTCGGGTGATGAGTCGTGCGCGATGACGATCAAAAGTCAGGCAGGCAGCGTCCAGAGATCGGTAAGGGGAGACCGCCATGGCAACAGGCACAGCAGAAACAAACGTAAAAGACGCTGAGTTAGAGTTAATTAACAAACTGATTCTGGCTGCACACGAATCTCGGCTGTATCGGCATCGCAATGTCCTTGACGGATAATTGAGCTATGGTCTAAGCCGCTCAGGGTAGTCCTACACGTAAGACCCCCTCTGGAAGTCTCGCAGTAACCGGTTGAAACCCCCACTAGATAGAGGAGGTGGCAAAAGACAGTAAGTTACATTAGCATCAACCAGCCGTCCCAGACCAATCATCGGGTGTGGCAGACCTGTTTCATGTGCTCTCTGAATAATCTGTGGCTGCGCCTACCTTCAAATCGACAGTGAAGGCCGTAGCAAATGAAGCGCAACTCTCCGTATGACCGGTAGGACACTCATCTACGCGACAGATTGCTCGCCTCGACCCTGCGTAGGACTCCATATCTATTACGTAAGGACTGCGCAAAATTCAAGTCGTTTGCAATGAGCCAAAATAAATTGTCGCTTTTGTTTGTATAAAGAAATACAATGCAAGGCGGCATAGGCGCGCGTTTCAAGACGAAGGCGTATGATCCTGTCCCTCTAGTGAGCAACTTAAGGGGCCTAGGCCACTACAACATATGGTTATATGAATGAACGAAGTGACACTGAATTCCTAATAGTGTTTTGTAATTGATTTATATGACACTAAATTTCTTTGCTATTATACGATGGACAGAAAAAAATAACAGATAGTACGATTAATCAATCAGGCTAGACAGGTGGTAAATAGCTTACTGCAGTTGTTAGCGTTGTTTAAAAAAAAGGATGTCTCCGTATATATATCAATGAATAATGATTCGAAAAGTAATTGAAGTCTATTGTATGCATCTTTCGGGACGTCAAGTGGACAGGAATTAAACCATTTCTGTTGCTTCCTTAAAATTATACTATACAAAGCACATAAAAAAATTTATACACTTTATTTAATTAGATCATTCTTTTTTACTCAATTGGACTGAATTACCTAAATTTACTACTATTTATCCACGTATTTTGGAAAATTTTGGTGTAGATGCCAAAGGTTATTTCCAGCAAGACGAAGCACTTGCGCACTCTCGCCGTGACGGAGTCGTGTATTTTAATGAGCATCTTCCACACAGATGGGTTGGATGAATAAGACCCATTAAACATTCTACCTGTTTCCCAGATCTGTTGCCAATAGCTTTATCTTGTGGGACTACCTTAGGGATAAAGTCTATGCCTAAAACCACCAAACTGAGATATTCAAAAGATTGAATATGGAGATCAATAGTTCACCGTTATTAACATTGCATTAATTAGAAAGATAATAACTTTAAACATCTGTAATGGAAGGAAAAATGGTACATTTTTATAAAAATTCCTCTCTAATTCAATTACGAATTATATATAACTAAAAATTTAAGCCGTAATCGTTAAAACTGTGCCTTAATCTTTTTGACACACTTTGTATGTATATATATATATATATAAGGCAAATTAGAATTTATTGACGCTACCTGCAAAAGCAGCTAGGTCACATAACGTACCGTAATCGTTGTTTTCAGGTTCCCAACATTTTGATGGCCAAAAATAGGGTGTTTGGAAGCGGTAATAAGTCTGGTCTGCCTTGACAGTCAATACATGATCATCAATCGGGAATAAATAGCCGTATGAGGCGATCAGGTGAGCCAGATGAAGTGCTTCTTGCGTGTCATCAACGTCGAGGTTGCGCAATACCCACTGCACGACATCACAGCCGGTGAAAACGCTCGGGATTTTTGTTAAAAACTTTTTCACTGTTCGAACGGGCACCCCACTCTGTTCGTCCTGCATCGATGCCAATAATTTCTCCATCTAAAGGAAGGAACAGCAGATGAATGACCATAGACGTTAATAAACCTTCTTAGTAGCCTCTGAGAAGGACAAAAACAGAACGTAGCAAGATATCATAAGGATCATAGGTTTCCGCTGAGAATAGTTTGAAAACCAAGTAGATCCGAACTGGTGTTCCAGGGCCATACGTAAATGTAGCAACCTGAATAGATTTAATCCGTTCGCGATTCAGTATCATCCAGCCATTACGCATACGGAGGATATACAGGCAAAATTTGTGATGCACCGTTGAAAATGTAGAAAGGCACTAAAAAATATTTAAAAAAAAAAACATTTTCCCTGGATGGATCTGTAAAGTGTCTAGGGTTGCGTTTAAAACTTTTTTCATACGTTGAATTAAATTTTAATTGAACCCAACTATTTTTCTAGGCAGATTCCCAAGGTCGCAACAATGAAACGCCCATTAGAGTTCATCAACCGATGCCGAGATGTTGCCTTGCAAAAAGGATTATCTTGACCCTATATAGAGAAAATGTATATTTTCCTTACATACATTATGAATATATATGAATGAAGGTAAAAAAAGTCCAGCTAGTTAGACTCTAACTTGACGTTTTCTTCAAATGTGTTTGATTAACCAATCGAGTATTTTTATAACACAATCAAAAACAGTATCCCATAAAACTATAATCGAATAATGAAAAAACAACTTCCTCACTAAATATGCACTCGTTTTTTATATCTTTTTTTTTTTTTATTTTTTGTCATTGAGGACGGCGCTTTGTTGGTTCGAAAAAAAAAAAGCAGCGAACCTGCTGCTTAAGCAGCCTGAGAGCCTGAGGAGCAGAAATTCCGACCCAAAAAACCACTAGGTCACAGTATGTCTCGTGTATAAACATTTTCTGTAGTTGTCCACTATGAGAAAGCATAGACTATTGTTTCAGGCAATGCAGTCCATTAATGTTTAGGTATTTATCGTAAGAATATCCAAGCCTCTTTTGTTCGTGTGAGATTAGCTCCTAAATAGATATAGAATCAGTTTTCATTAAACTGGGTCGCTCGAAGATGCCTTTCTTATGTCCAATATAATCTGTTATGATTAAGGCCTTGTGAAAAAATCAGTCATTAAGTAGAATTGTCACACAAAAAATTTCATAGACTTTTTTTTGATACATTATTAAGTACATATATGCCCCCAATCGGGTTTTTCGTCTATTCCTCAAAACTTCAGAGTAAATTAGTAGCATTTATATAGCACAGCCATTAAATGAGAATTGCCTACGATCATCTCTACAGCAGCTGTCATTTAATCGGGGCAAATAAGTCTCCACTCATCCTTGACACACTTTGTTTTACCAACTCGATACCGTTAGTACTAACTTCCAAGCCGATCGTAATAATACTGAATTGTTTTAACAACAGGTGACGCAGCCCTGGCCTGCCGTCAGCATGGCCCACAACACTTACTGAGGCCTTACAGCTGCATGAATGGTTATTGCGGTTTTTCGACTGCATGTAAAGAGATTTTACGTGCTTGTCCAACATGAAGGTGTTCACAGTGATGCTCAATCCAATTGGCCTGCATTAAGCATTACCCAGTAATATCCATTCTCCTAATGGGCCGGTTTTGCCTCCGGCAGATTATTGCAAAAGTGTGCAGTGCTCACGTCGCGTGTAGCCCCACGATGATTAATATAGAAATGTTGTTTGTTTTCTCCTTCAATATACGATCTACTTAATTTGGATGTTACATGATTTGAAGATAATTATCATGCTTGACCGCTAATTATTACCCCTTGTGCCTCTAAAGGCCGAACCGAGAAAGAAGGTCCTTAACCTTAGGTTGCTCAACACGCTCCCCGTGAGAGTTTGGTGCGAAACATATTTGCGTGCTAATATTAGGGGTGCGTTGTGATTGAGATCCGAAGCCGGACATAGACACGGTTCGTTTTGTGCTGGGAGCCAATCGTGTGATGGAATGATTAACAGTGGTACCGGGCGTAAAACTCGAAACCTAGGAAAATGACGTGATACGAATTACAGGCGAATAGGCGGCCACTATACTTCAATAGTATTATGGTAGCGTCCAAACCAGAACATTTGGGTTACTGCATTCAACTCCGTGCGCGACTTGTTTGCCCTTTCTTTGTCACTATACATGTCCGTTCCCACTACTATATTTGCCCGTTACTTACTTAAGCTATAGTTCAAGCGCTATTTTGAATTATTCTTAATCCTACATCTAGAATCTTCGTCATTGTAACAAAACACCAAACATCGGCTATTTTCCTCACTTAAAAAAAAAGAGACGAATTAAATAACGAAGCTAAACCTCTTAGTCTCGTAGACCGCTAATCCTAATTTAATGTATCATCTGCTACTCGGTCCAAACCTTTCTGCAGACGATTTGATTCGGGTTTTCCTGTCCCGCCGGATCAGTTTTGCGACGATACGCCATTGCGGGGTGACTGCTGCCCGTTTCTTGGGCAACTGCAACGGGCTGGGGTCGTCCCGGGCCGGTACGAAAATTCTGGCAGCACGTGGGTTTGGCGCGCGGCGGCCGCTGGAACGAGCCCCAGCCCGACGTCGCCAGCGAGCCAAACTCCTTCACCTTGTCGGCGTTTCGGCCGCGCTGCGAAAACGTCGAACGTTACAAACTACTCGGGCCACAAGCTCCTCGCTTTTTCTCTTTCAGCTACTCTGAGCCTTGCCTAATTCACAACACCAATAATCAAGCTACGATGAACGATGATAGTTCATGGACTTGTTATATGTCTCGCGCTGAACAGCCCCCCCCTGAACTCAGTTCGCTCAGACACAAGCGACTGTGGTTCACTGTCACCACTAACTGGGCAACAATTGGCCGCAGTCGAGAGCTGCCACACCAGACTGCTGTTGGCTGTGTACACGCACGCAGCCACTAAATAGGAAACTGACGACGAGAACAGCAAGCTAAGAATGCGTTGGCCTGTTTTCTGTTAAGCTAACTCTTCACCCCGAATTCCATCTGACGCAGCAGGTACGCTACGAGGCCAAAGCGGCCCTGCTGCAGGGCGTTTTGCTGAATTGCGCTTCGTGGCTGATACAGCAGCGGCCGAAACAGTAGAATATAATGGCGATGTCCACAAGTTTGTGAGGGAATGGCATGGTACAATCGAATAGTACAGAGGATCTATAGTAGTTGTTGTTGTTGTTGTGCTAGCACCGACGGTTGTCATAGAAATAGTAGTAACAGTAACATTGTACAGAGCTATCGCCGTTTAAGTAACAATGTAGTTAGAAACTAGAGTTGTTACTATCGTAGATTACACAGAGTGACGCTTTTATTACTCTCGTTAGCCTGCAACGCACGGTTGTAGCAGGTGAATTAAATGGTCGGCCAGCTGACAGATGGACGCTGAGTCGATTCGATACGTGTTCACGTATCGGCAGACCACGCTACGCCACTAACTGACGCTATGCTTGACTTCAATCGGCTCGTTGCTGTCAAATCTCGGCCGATCCACTTTATGCCGGTAGACCTGTCGCTCAATCTATTCGTCGTCGGTTACTTCGACATAGTTCTTCCTCTTCCTTTCCCGCTATCGTTGATTAACAGGAGAAATAGTTCTAACCTATTTCTTTCTCTGTTTTTCTCCTTCAGATCAGACAATCACTGATAATACTAATAACTATAACAGTAATAACATAACATTGTATGTACTGAGTTGTATAGATACATTTAGGCCCGCAGGCTCCCTTCGCAAGCTATATGTGACCTGAACGGCCTACAGCGGCACTGCCACCACTAAACTCACTGCATAATCTGCACGCCTGACAGCGGCAGATATAGCAGCAATCAAAGCGGCAGGAGTTGTCTTTTGCAGCGGATAAACAGCGACTCGATTGCATCGGAGGCATCATGTCGTTAAGCGATCTGAGTAAGCGTTATCAGAGTGCCGAATTACCACAGGTAGTGCTGGCTGACGATATTGACGCCGGCTGCGGTGAGCGAGCCACTGATCACGCTAGCGTTGTTTAATGCGACGACAACCTGCGACCGTCATTCAGAGGAAGTTGCACATGAGGGAGCTGCCAATATCTGATGAGCTGATGGTAGGACATTGGCGATGACCACGAATGATCGAGGTTGTAGAGGTGATCATGGCAAAGGTTGCTTCCTTTGCTGACCTAATCGCTATCGTTTGTGTACACACATTTCACTTGGCCGCTTAATACAAACATGAGTCTTTTCATTTCCGAAAATAACTGATGAACAGACAGGGGTCATGCATCAAATTTGCGTCGATCATTCTTCAATCGGCAGTCACTCAACCGGATAGTGAAGTGGGTCAATGAGGCAGATGAATGTGAGATCAACTAGAAATCTACTATAGCTATACAATTTATCAGACAAGCGAAATGCGGCAGCGTGCTTATCAATATCCTTCTCTTTGATTAACGGCACGACAGTCGTATTAACGAATAACGCGTACGTTGTTATTGTTTTCACAACTGCCCCAGGGTCGTGGGCGCCAGCGAAGCCGGACATTAACGGCCAGCCTCGGCCGCAACACGAATTCATAAACGCGTTAGTGGCGGATCGCGGCGCCGCCGTTCGCCGCCGATCTCTACGTAGACGACGGGCATTGCCTGAAGATGCCTGAGACGCTCCTCTGCTTGGCACTTGTCGTATTTGTTTCCCAACTTGTCAAGTTCGGCTTCGTCAAAGTAAACGTTGGTCTTTTTAAAGGAACAAAGACCACACACAACGCGAGGATATTGAGGCGATCACGATGCTGATACGGGTAATCCGTAGGGACCTACTCGCGTTTTTCGTCCTAGTCGTGGTCCTTTTTTTAACGACAGTCGCGACGATTTTTCCCCGATTTAACAAAGAAAGCTCGACAAGATCGAAGGGGCAATTATCAACGCAACAATAATTACTTTTTTGCGATTACTAACTAAGTCTTGATCCTATCCTGATCGGAGTTGCGGCCTCTATCTCACAATATCAGCGCAGCTGGAAGGCGCAACGATGACGGCTTCGGTAGCAAAAGCAAAGCGATTGGTAAATCACTCTAACCAGACGCGATCTGCAACGCGTTGGTCGGTGCGTCGAACTAGAACGCTTCCAGAAACGGTGATGTTTCTACACGCTAACAAGTGCAATGCACAAAACAGTTTATACAAATGTGTTACAAGATGTCGCAGTCGTCAATGTACCTTTGTCCACCACACAGCTTGGGTCCATACTCATTCCAATGGCAAGTTAGGCCTATCCGAATATCGGCAAATTGCTCGCGCCTGCCTTTCTGTTCCGTTACTCCTTCACCGCTCTGACTGCCTGGCACACTCGAGCGCACACTTCTGCAGGTTCCGTCCCCACCACTGAAACCACTTATTCACACCCTAGACGGGGAAATAGTAAGTAAACACAAAATGCTGCCGTGATTGGGGTCCCAAAAGTGATCGCGGCGGCAGCACCAGTTCGGCGGGATACTAAACGCGAGCAGGCGTGAATTCGGCAAGACGGCGGCCAGCTATACGTATAGCAGTGTGAACTATGAAAGCGGTGGTGAGGCGGCAGTGCTAATACTCGCGCCCGGTACATCACGATGGCGCTTCAGTCAGACGGACCGTACTGAAGACAACGGCTAAGACTTCAACTCGACACGGGTTGTGGGCCATTTACGAACAATGTTAATATTGTTTTGCCATTCCCGCTCCTGCTGCAGGTGCTATTACCGCGGCCATAACCCGCATTTATTTATCGGTCTTGCTTCGGGGTATTTCACGCTGGTACCAACCGCCAAGGGCAAACGAATTCGCCGAAATCAATCGGATCACTCTGCAGCACTACACTCAATCCCTAATGCTGTTTCTGGCGAGACTAGTTCGGTCTACCTGCCACTTCCAACATTGCTTTTATCGTTTGTGCAATCAAAGAAATGATGCTTGGCGGCCAACGCCCCCGCTTAATCCCAGCCCTACAGCAATCCTCCTGTTACTTGCCGTTTCTAACTGAGCCCAATGCAAAGCTGCTAGAAAGGCTCCCGAAGGAGCTCACCACACAGCAGACTACAGCAGCAGCTAACGCTTAACAGGGCCTGCGATCGCCAGCAGCAGCAGGACATAACCGCCCCTGCTTTTTAGTGGGAAGCGAGAGGTTCTGAGAGCATCCTCCTCTCTCTTTGAGCCCCCTTTTCCTTGAGGAAAAATAGCCCTCCTCCGCTAAGCCCCTTCCCGATGCCGACGGCATTTTGGGCCCTTTTCGAGAAAGGGCGTATCCAAGGAGAGGTAAAGTGGTCCGGTGATATGACGAGCCCACGGTAACTCGTGCGTACGAAAAGCTAAGATGTAGCGTGGATCACAACGAGAAAAAGCGCGATCTAGAGCTAAGCGGGCCGCATCTTGATTTGCTAGATGGACCAAGAATTAAATCGAGTGATAATAACTTACAGAAAATGTTCCTAGTTGTTGTTTGTAGAGACATCCGGCACATAAGATATACAGGCATCGCTACGATTTTAAAGGTTGGTACATCGAAAGGTGCACCTGTTTCAGCGTTTTTGGAATGAACTTCCTAAGCCTGCACTTGCCCGTTTCTGACCGCTCAAATATACTTAGAAGCCAACAGCGGTCTATGATAATGCAACGCTTGTACAGATTCCACGTTGCGCTCTAACCTTTCATTTGTATTCATATGTATTTAAATCGGAAAAATTGATACTAAAAACTTCACTGAGAAATAGTGCTACTATAACACCTTCACAACGCAACAATCATCACCCTGAAGACGTGGCTAAATACTGGTTTGGCACATTTTTTTATCTTTTATTTCAAGGCTCCGCTTAAACATATCGGTGACTAAGTAGATCGCAAATTCGCCTAATAAGATACATCTACATAAGCCTCATTAAACTTAAAGAAACTTTGCGAAACTTCTAACACGGTTCTTCATATCAGTTCATTACCGACAAACAGTCGCCAAAAAAAAAGAGTAGTAAAAACAGACCTGCAATGCATAAAAACTAAAATCGATCCAATCCTCCCTAATTGACGAGCGGTGATTTCGTTTCAAATTACGCAAAAAAAATTGTTATCGAATAGGGTATATGAATATACTAGATAACGTAACCATCCGGCTGATTTGTTATAAGTGGCGCTTTGATGTTTTGCCCCCATGATTTGTCCAGCTGCTACAATGACCATTGGTGCCACGTCCGGCTTATCTGAATGCGACATTTTTTTCCACTAAAGCTTCAAACTCTTTGCGTTTTCCTACGGTGTCTGCCAACCCAGCGTGGCCTGCCCGTTGTGATGAAAGCAGTCACGTTATGCATGGCGCCATCAGAGCGAACAGAGAAAATTGAGACCAAGACCGTACAGCGAAGGACACTTCGCTAATATCGAGAAACACGACGCTATGGAAACATATGAAGTATGCTAGAAAGATCACCAAAAGTAGGCAAAAAGCTCTGCGAATTGTGCGTCAAATGAAACGTTTCAGGAACTGAAAAGGAAACGCGGGTTCGAGGTTATTGGTGTGTGTTATCTATTATGGAAATATATAGCAGTTTCGATTCATGGATACTCTAAAGGACAAATATATATGGATATTCTTGTATATAGATATAATTATTAAAATTGTTCATTACTAAACGGGCCATATGTATATATATATATGGGCTGGTACGCTCAAATTGGAGCAAATCTTCGTGTGTCATTCGTCATAACAAGGATAGGCTTATTCCTTACTCCAGGTACCATGTGAAGGTCAATTTCGAACAAAACAACAAACTCGTCACGGCAAACAACAAAGTGCCGTTTTAAAATTATATTAAAAAGATTAGCGAGACACAAACTCCACGAAGACAAAACTGCACATACGGATTCTGAGACATCCAATAAATACTCTAAACCGAAAGATTCTCAATCAGGTTTAGATTTGAAAAGCTCGAAATAACAATTTGTTACAAACATCTAGGCGCATCGAAATTGGTCGAAAAGCCATTTTTGATGCACCTGGGTGCTTTGTTGCGGCTGTTTTCAATAGGCGAATACCAGCTGCCGATCAAGTTGGTCAGCAAACGGTTAGTCTTGCTGCGTTTCTTTATACCTCTGAAACATTTTCACCATTTTAAAGCTCTGCATCTTTTTCGCCCGCTAAACGTCAAACTTTCAATTCCACTAGAAGAAAATTATTATATATAGCGTATTTAAGCGACAGTCTAACGAGTTTCTATCTACGAAAACGGCTTGATACACCGTTGAAGATTAATTGCAGATTGAACAAGGAGTACCCCAGAAGTGACTAGTTAGTGGTTTGGATCCGAAGTTGAAGCTCCAATCGCAGTGGATGGTAATTATGTTTAGCAAACGTCATTGACAAAAGTGACACTTTTAACCCATTTTGTTTGTGTGTCCATTGTTGTCTAGATAGATGTACGTTCCGGTAGCTAAAAACATATACGTACCATTTGATTAGGGAAGCTACAAACTAAAATAGATATATCAGTGTATTTCATCTCTAGCAATCAACAACAATCATCAATATAACGGTCGTACAATTCAGTTACAGCTACGATTTGAAGCCCGGGCTAGTCATTTGTAAAATATCAACTTGGCCACTTGGTAAGGTCCTACTAAAACACACTATACGCGAAAATCCCGGCCGAGTTAGGGTGCCAAGGCTTCCAAAAATACAGAGGCTCAAAACGGCCGTTAACGAAACACTGTTTTCAACGACGAAACACTAATATATCACCGATACTTTGTGTAGACTTCAGGTATGCGTCATATGTCATCAAAATCGTACCAATGCCCCTTGAAGTTGAAAGCTAAAATCGATGTCGTTTGCTTTTTAGTGCTCCCACGAACGACACAACCGATAATTTTCATTTTTGACGGCGCAATATTTACAATTGACGCCGAAATGATGATAGCTCGCTTATGACTTAGCGAATGTGTTTATGATCGGTAGAAGTTAACTTTTGGCAAATGTGCATGTTTTCAGTACGGTAAATAAGACGTGAAGGACACGCCATGCTACCATATTCTTCCCTAAGAAAATTTATCGGTGTGAACCACAAGCTACTGTTCTTTTAAGGTCACAGGCATGGTCCTGAATGAGTATACATAACACTACCGTATAGTGCAGATTTAAGCCCGCCGCGTAGCTTCGTATGGAGCTTTATTTAAGATGAGTTGTGACATGGCAACGTCCTCCTCTTTACTCGTGACGCTAGCATATTTGCAGAGGAAATATTTGGAAAGGGTCTGAGCTATTTAATTTCGTAGTTGAAGATGCAATCGCGGTGCTTGGTGAGTATATTAAATCTGACCGTCAGAGATGGCACTTTTACCATATACAACACATGTCGCTGAAATGTGTTTTTGTTTTGATACAGTTCGAAAAACAACAGTGGCAGCATTGCGGCGATGGGCTACACGTGACGGCGCTGGCCGTAGATCCCCTGCAGCACATCAGCTGACGAGGTACTTCTCGAATTACTGCTAGGGTTTAAAGCCGTGCTGCCGGAAAAGCCGCCAGAGTCGCGATAGACCCAAAGCCCAGTCGTTCTTTAAGCTGTGGAAAAAGACCCAAGTCCGGCTTTGCCAGTGGATACGAGTCCCTTAAGTGACCTTTCCACGTCAAACGTTTCGATCCTGGAAGTCCATCTTCCTACGTCTTCCACGCCATTACCCCCACAAATCACGATAGTTGCTGTCCAAGTTTGCGCTGGAGTGGAAAGTTGAACGATCCGCGGGGTATACGTATCGCTTACGAGATCCTCGTAACGGCGTGTCATTGACAATGTATGAAATATTCAGACAAGTTGAATGTGGGGCGTAGGCATTACGCCCGATAGCGTGAACGAGTGAATTATATAGTTACAATAAAAATATTCCTGGTTACGGATAGTTGCGGGTATATAGCGTCCTGCCAATCAGTCAAATGCCGGTCGACACCCATCAAACCTCGATATTTCTATAATATGTATATATATATGTATATATATATATATATATATATATATATATACAGCGCCAAATATGGATTTTTGTTTTTCATCTACTGATTTATCATCAGGTATACTTAGTCACCTAAATAATATTAGAAAAACGTTAATCCACAACCATAATTTCTAAACTGAGGAGCATATTTGTATAATCGTTTCTAGCCATTTTTTTAGAAAACAAAGGCTTCTGCGGTGCGAAGATGTCCAAACTTTATTCAAATGCATCTCTCACGCTCGTATACTACCAATATTAAATTATACTCAATTAAATTATATATATCATCATTGGCATTCGTCCTTGACGATAAAGCATCGTTCTCGTGTCATCTGCCTTCGATCTCCTCGAACATTCCGTGCATATTCTTATTTGTAACTATAAACATGCATATATATATATATGCATTATTGTTAATACCATATCTTTACCGTATGTCGCCTTGCTTGTTTTATTTTGCAGTAATGTCAACACTCTCACCTAACAAAGCAGTGACCCCTATAAGAGGAATAATGGAGACAACGAAATTAATGAGTCGGCAGTCGATTACATCAAACGATGAGCCTAATAGATCCTTTGATGTAGAGGCAGGCATCTTGAAATTGGCTGGCACGTTTTCGCCAATCGTTCAACACACATGAAGGTTACGCGTATACGAACAGGCTGTAGGCTAACAGTATCTGACGCTCACATTATGACGATAGGAATCAGCAGTTACTGAACAAAATTCTAGTTTGTTTAGGAATTAACTATGGTTAATTCAGATATACGAATCTTGGTGGTGATTCAGTGGTGAGAAATCGAAGCAACAGCAAGATCCCATTATCACACAAGGTAGGTCGTGGAGAACCGTTTCTTTCCCGCTACCTAAGCCTAGTAACCCTGTAGTTACCAGAGAGTCGTGTCTTTAATGATACACATTGTTAACTGGCAAACGCGAATTGCTCACTAGGTAATCATGCATTTGTAGTTTACTGTGTTAATGAAAAATGTTTGTGTTGGGCCCCTCAAACATTTCTGGGCCGCTTGACTGAGAATCCTAAGAGGTCAATGTAATGTCGGTTTCACAACTGCATATTTACTACCGTACATTCAAGGACCATTACTAAACCTTTGACTGATGCACTTATTATCTAGAGGGAGTGTCAGAGGACATTCTATTATACGCTTGCATAAAGCAAGTTAATCTGTCTTCCTTGGGTCAAAACAGATATACTGTAAATTGTGTACGCGTAGGACTCTGTTGAAGCAGTTGGTATCTTAACACATCCCTAAAAACGCCTTACGTGCATACAAATATCATTGGATACGACTGAAAATGTCTCCAGGCAGGTAATTTCATGCGTTACATACGCAACCACACAAAGATACATAGAGCCCCATTGAAAAACAAGATGCGTCTCAGTTCGCTCAAGATTGATTGATCCATCCAGCTTGGGTCTCCCCTCGATTCAGCGTCTTTGCTTTTATTCTAATTATTAATATAAAGCTAGATCTTTTTGAGTCATCTGATTAGAGCAAATTAGAGCCCGCCACCTGAACGGTCTACGGAAAGCTTTTTCTCGTAGTCTCGGTCCACAGCCTTGGCGAGTCGGCTGCTTGTCACCTTGCCGGTCTTAAGACCTGACATGAGTTCGAGGTATTCACCGAGCTCAATCTGGCCATTCTTGTTTATATCCACTTCATTAAGCATTTCATGAAGCTGCTCTTGACTGACCTGAGCCTCACCTGATTCTTTCAGGGTTCTGTAACCGTATTTAATAAAGCGAAAAATAAACTTAGCGATATTGTAAAACCTGCTTTTATATTTTACGTTAAATGCTTCGTTGACATAAATGAAATGTTAAATGGGACGCATATTTTTAACCACAGATCTATTGTAAAAACCAGTGAGATTAAATAATAAATCAAATGTATGGTCGCTATGTCACTTGCATATTCCCGGAATATTGGCATACCGTTTGAGGTCCATAACTGTGATGTATCCCTTTCGGTCACGATCGATGTTCATAAACTTTGCGATGTACTCATCCATCTCCTTCTTTGTGAAGGACATTGTTGATCGTTGTTCCTTTGATTCCTTGTTAACAGCGCCACCCATCTGCGTATTGAGGAACTTGGTGGCCTTTTCGATTTCTTCCTTCTTTCGCTTATTATCCCACTTCAGCTCTTCAGCCATAATGTCAACGATACGCGGCAGGCACTCCTGGGTCGCCTGAACGTGCAAGAAGGCGAGACGCAGCCGACGTGCGATAACATCGACGGCGGTATAGGCATATTCTTTTAAGACGGCATATCGGACCTGAGTTAAGAATCGCAGTCAAAAATTGCATTAGACCCCGCTAATCAAGGATACAATTGACGAGAATCCAAATAGTGGACAAACTCCGATGTGGTGATGTTCATAGGGCAACTACGTGAGAATCATCGCGTTGGACTGCCGCGAATTTGATCTTTATGTAGTGCTCGAGAGCTAGTTGAGTGAAGTTCTTATGATGTATAAGTTGTAAAAGGTTTGAGTAGAAGGCGTGAGCTTGTTACCTCAGCTTCAATATAAGGAAACTCCTCATGAAGCCTGCGGCCAACAATAGGCGAACGTTTGCCAGTCAGCGCAGCCAACTTGGCCACGGAAAAAGCGCGATCTCCATAATCTGATGCTAGATGTTTTGCCACCTAAAGTGTTGCACAGATGTTGAAAAAGAAATGTATGTATAATTAATTTTGATTGAGACTGATTAACATACGGGCGTATAATCGTTTAGCAATGCTAGGCTATTTGCCTTCACTATATGCGAGAGTCACCGGATTTATAAACCAGAATAATTTTAATTGCATTCTTAGTTATTATTAGTAAGTGTTGCGCTTTTCTTTAGATATACTTTTTAGCTCCACAGACCTCGGGGTCCAGGCCGAAATCTTGTACTAGCCGAATGTACATGATGGGAGACCAGCCTGATGCGCCCTCAAGTAGGACGTGGTCAGTCTGCGAAAACGCATACTTCGGGTTCAGTGTTTCCTCACCTGGTTTTCCTGCACCATTAGGGTAGTGGACAACAAAAATTTAATTGTTACACCCAGTTTATGAAATTTCTTAGCGACACGTTACATTTAGTGAAAAACTAAATGGCCTTCTACTTGTCCTCAAAGCTTTTATCTATCCTACTCATAATGACCATCGTCCTTATTTAATAAATACTTACGTGATTTAATACATTCGTCCACAGTTTGTTCAGCCATCTCTCTGTATGTGGTCCACTTGCCACCAGCAATAGTTACCAATCCTGAATCGCTGACTGAAATGATATGGTTTCGTGCGATGGACTCCGTTTTTCCAGCCTTAGACTAAAATTCAATACGTTATGTATTTAATAACATTAATAATGTGAAAGGGATAATAGAAGTTGATTATAAATAAGAATTAGACTTAAAAAAAAAACTGCATTTCTTTATATTATGAATGATTAGTTAAAAAAGCTTGCTACTAGCGTCTGCTAACTACTGTCGAATTACTCATTTTTCAGGTGCACTCGTCGACTGGGCAGGACACATCCGCACAATACCCCGTATTCAATATGATCCTTTTGCGAGAAATTGCAGTCTGTAAGCTTCTAAGCCCTATTTAAAAGCAAACACGTGGCTAATTTTCTGTTTGATGAGTAAACCATATTTGAGGTTCACTAAAACTACATAGACACTAAGTTTTTTTAATCGCGCAACGCCTACTCATATCGCAATTTAGGGCATCCTGTCAAGATCTTCATATCATTTGTAAATAGCAAATCTAATTTTACCTTTTCTCTTCCCCCCAAGTATTCCGCTATTTTTTGTGCGTGTTGTACCAGAAATTGAAAAAAAATCGCGTAGAGCAAATTGCCAGTACAGAACCGACCTGTTTGCGTCCTTTTACCTTCTTGCTCAGGTCGAGAACCAAAGGCCGGATGCCGGCCCAGGCCGAAAGAACATCTCCTCGGCGGACGTGAACCTCCGGCGAGAGGTAGTTGCGGATCTCTTTAAGAATAAACTGGATGTCGTCTTCAGTTGGCGCAGGGCTGAAATTTAAAGAAACAATGCAACGTAAGTTTATGTGCGAACTTTGCTAAGTTGGGTAATAACACAAATACTTGAACTAAACTAATTGATTGACTGTGTCAAACGTAACACTGAGGTGAGAGATTGCGAATTTATAAAATTTTATTGAAACAAAGCACTAATTTGATCATTTAAAATACAAATAATATCGCAAAATATACATACTCGTGAGTCAGTTCGCAGGGCTTGTCTGTGGTACCAGCAATCGTTTGACCTTGCCAGGGCAAGAAAAAGATTACACGGCCATCGGAGGTCGCTGGATCAAGGAGACCCATATTCTGAGGACTGTAGTACGAAGGTAAGACTACGTGCACCCCCGAGCTGCAAAAGATAAACATAGCCAAAAAAAGCAATGGTTTTATATATACGTTATAAGTAGCGAGGCAAACCTTTTCAATGGCACGAGAACTGTTATTTCGAATTGGGATGCCTTTAAACTGCCCATTAAACTGTTTTTCAAAGTGGCTTCAACATTTCGTAGACGATACAAGCTGTGTTTATGACAAGTTGTGTGGGTTCATGAAAGTGTAGTTCACCTTAAGAAATACAGAAATGTTCAGGTAGGCGTGTTAGTGAAATCGCCATTTCGTTACTAAGTTCCACGAAGGATTTCACGGCGTAGCTATAACGCTCAGTTTCAATATATCAGGTATTCAAATATTTTGATAGTGCGTGACAACTGGGTGCTTTTTTGTAGAATCGTAGAATGCCTTGAGATTTCACTGAATGGGTTTCACATTGACCAAACGATAACTGAGCGAAAAACAAATTTCGATATAAAGCGACCTCCATTCTCACGGAACCCATGTGGAAAAAGTACCTACCGAATGAAAGCCTTGCTCGGTCGTGGATAGGGAAAAATCCGGTGGCTTAATAATGTGTCGTGGGGCTTCGCCTAGTTAGCATGGAAAAGGACTGATTGAAAAAGCAAATTTTACGACCGTAGCCTTCGTACTCGACTAATACGCCTTTTATATTCCAAACATACCTCGGCTGGCAGATTTTTTTAACATTTGGCTCGTCCATTATTCGGATGTTGTCAGTAAATGGGCCTGTTGCGTTCACAACGCACTTGGCGCGCACTTCAAAACATTCTCCGCTAGCCTCGTCTCGACAGACCGCTCCACGGGTTCGTCCATTCTGCAACAGCATTTAAAGGACTGCAATTTAGTTCGCCCAATTTAGGTGTGCCCAGGAGGCACCGATTGAATAATTCCAATCGTACCTAAGTAAGACATTTTCAAATCACCGCTAACTAAAACCCTAAAACACGACACAGTCATTAAGTTCAATAATTGGAAAAAAAAAATAGTCTAAACGATAAAATTGCTCTACTAAGGATTCGTTCTGAAAAAACCCTTTAAAACTCTTAGAAGCAAGCAGATGTCATGGTTCATAAGATGAACTGCTCAGCATATTGTCTCTGTCACCTGCATAGCGGATACATGTCTTAAACGACGGATTAGATGCGTTTTTAATAAAGTAAGTTTTCAGAAAAAAACAGGTTTGACGGTTCGTGTTTGGATATGCAGGGTGAACGAAAAAATAATTTTCGTTATTCCTGTATTTCAGAACTTTTACAGCTATAATCGAAACGATACTTCTAATTACTCAAACGTAGTTAGAACAAGTAGATCCCCAGTTTGGATTCAATTTTAGCCACATGATTACACGACCAATTGTATCCACATCTCTCTATGTCTCCTAACTAACATTTAGGCTGGAATTGCGTTTCGGGTATCGGTAGATTTCATCGGCAGACACCTCACTGCCTCATTATCGCGGGGCGTGATCGCTTCTACTTGTTAACGACGTTTTTTAGCGAAAAATTACCTGCATTTGCTAAACAGGTGGGCGAAAATCAGGCGACTTAGCAGTACAACCAATAGCTTTCAACCGTTATCGTAGTAAAGGTAGGGTTAGCAAGATTTTGACTCATAGCGCACAAGGACAACCTTTGCGAATAGGTTCTCAGAATTGAGCCGCAACGTAATCCCAATTGAGAAGTAAATACAGATATCTGTAGGCAATAGTAAACATGGATACGTAAGCGTAGATAGATCACATACATGGGCCATCACACACGTGGCCAGTTCAGGGTTGTGATCAAGTGAAACGGTGACAGCTCAAGAGCCTGCAGCAAAAACACTAGAGAGTGACAGCGTAACCACTATATCCACTAATGGGAAAAATCGCCGTGAACGGAATGCTATGTCCATATGAGTGCCATTCGAACAAATTTAAAAAGTCGATTTTGGTTTTATATGAATTATATTGCATCGATTTGTGTACTTGTGTTTCTAGCTCAATTTACACACCTCGGCTTTTACTAATTGTAGCAAGGGAAGCTTTAAATTTGCCCACGCTTGTTTTCTGCAGCAATCTTCAAAATGATTATATTGCGAACTTAAATGACATTACACTGCAGGATATATCAAAAGGATTTCCGATGGTCTTCCTTTAAGTCAACTTTTGGCAACCCCATCTTGCAAATGTTCTGCAGACACTCAACTCTATCTACGGGAATAATACGAAAAATTCACTGAATTTCTACCTGTATGGAAACACTTCCACAATGGAGTATCAAACCAACCATCTTCCATTTTTAGCCAGCATCGATCCCTTATTAATGTTCACTTTCCAATTACAGCCAAAGCATTCAACCACCTCCAAAAGCGTTCTAAACCAATAACGTGAAAATTGTTAATACCGTCCGCTAAGAGTAATCTAACACAGGATTTCATCGAAATACCCTTGGCATCTGGCACAACCTGATATATACCTATGGGGCAAGGCGTGTATCGGTAATCATAGGAACGCGAAACACTACGCGAATTGGTTTATGCGATACGACCTTGCGGGATAGCGAGTCATTCAGTATTCGCCGAAGTACTAAAGGGCATTCTTTATAACGAATTTCTAGAAAGGGCTGTATCATTTATAAATGACACGCCCTGCCCATCGGCTGTGATATATTCTATAACGAGCAATTTGAATTATGTCTAGCCAGTTGCAATGTTGACCATGAAAATATTTGAGTACTACTTTGACGTATATAACGTTATGGAAAACAATGCAAGCCATTCTAAAACAAACGGTTCATCTCAGGCAATATATTGAAGCCTGACATTACCTTTTGTTTTGTTGAGTCCCTTTATTAGGACATGAAAGAATTTTGTTAAGTAGTAGCTTCCGAAAGGTAGAGCGTGGCATGTTATATACGCTTCTGGTTATGTGTGATATGGCCAATACGCACAGCACTATGTCACCTAATTTAAAAATATCTAATTAAATCTGCAGCTCATCAATCTATCATCGTTTCGAACGATTTTTGTCAAAACAGCTAGTAATATATTCGTTTTCATTTGTTCGTTTGAATTTAAAAGAAGAATGCTTTAAAAATAGATTGGTGGACACTAATTGCGGATAATCGAACCATCTTAATTTCTCCGAAAGCTATTTCGGTTAACGTCACTTCGGACTGCTCGGTAAATATAGGTTGTCATGATAATGATTTGAAAGGTCATCGAATAGGAATTCTCAGACCTTAATGTTATATTATGTCAAAAGGCAAATATGGCGATAATGAATGAAACGGCTGAGCTTTTATTTGTAGCATTATCCATTACGGCATATCTACACCGAATCTTCCCGTTCTAGAGAAAGCCACACTTAAACGGCCTTTACATATATTTTTCGTATCAGTTGAGGATGCGCGTTTCACAAACTCTTAAAGCAGTATCATAACTTGCATAGATCATCCCTCAGCTATACCCTTTCCAGCTATTCACTGCACTCAGTATCTAATGAGACTGATCGACGTACGTTCGCCGTAGTGGAAAATTACTCCGAGAGATCGACGTGACGCTACACTAAACTGCATTACCAAGCACGGATGGAATTAGCCACTCTAATCACAGTGTTCAGGACCTAAGGAAGTCCCGCGCTCCAAGTTCAAGAAGTCCAAACGCTAAATGTATAATATAATGGCAAAAAAGTGGACTAAAATAGAATTTTTAAACGACGACAAGAATGGAAGGTGTATTACAGTGTCCTCCTCAGGACTCATTTGTCCTTGCCCGCCATTCTAGGCAGCAGTGCTTTAGGTCAATCATTGGATCATGCAGTACAAATATTGCTCGTGGTGATGTAAGACGCTATAACGGCTGACTCGGCTTATCATACCCCACAGAATGCCAAACGCATCAGTGCGAACGGTCAGACTCAAAGCAACCTTCAATGAATCCTTGACACAACCTGTTAGCTATCACCAGCATGCACAGTCATTGTTTGACGTAACGACAATATTGATTGCACTACTTTTTCTCTTACATTTCTGTCGACATCGATAAATTTTATTAGGTCTTCTTAGGTAGACTAGTTCTAGAGTCTCATAAGAAGTCTCATAGAGAACTCATAGGAAGACGCATATAGTTATGGTCTAACTTTTACGCTCAATCAACTAAAGTTTACGAACAGTTGTAGTTTTTTTGAGGTTTTACAAACCAAAAAATATCGGTGTTATCAAAGGATTTACCTGTGACGAAAAAAAGGTCGAATAGCTTTACGCCAGCTGCACAGTGGGGCGATTTTTCGTGGTGTCCTTCATTCCAGATAATTTTGTGCTAGTCTAATCCAATTATACTTTCAACGATTATGTGCTAGAAGATGATTCCTTAGACACAATAACTAGACTGGCCATCTCTGTTGACATTGTAACAGTCGTAAGTCAGCGTTTTGAAGTGCTGCGCTGGAGCCTTCAAGCACTGCTACCGTATTGTACATGCCCTGAGACGATTTGTCGCTTAATGTTGATAATAAGCCAAACTATGATGTTTATTGCAAACAATAACATAATATATTTCAGTGGTTTATGCCCGTAGCAGTAGGTGCATAGTGACTGGTAAACGAAATTAAATAATTGCAATAGGCCACTCACATAAAACAGTATTATGCTCCAAATGAGAACCGGTCCTACTGTTATTCTAATCAAAGTAATTGCTGTAATGTGCAAATGTGCTATAATAGTCAAGCTCGATAAGGGTATCGTTGTATAAAATAGCAACATAAGAATAATAACATTTCGCGAGGAAAATGATGGGGAAGGTTTAGCAAAAATTAACCGTCTAAAAATTAAGTTCCGAGTATAATGACGTCTTTGCTGGTGTTTTACGATTAACTAGAAAGTCAGGCTCTAGACATCTGAGGCCTTCGTCTTGAGTCGCTTGTAGTGAAGGTACGGTTTAAGGCCAGAAGAGATAATTTATCTCTTCTGGCCTTAAACCATACCTTAGTCCTTAGTCCATGAATAGGACATGAATAAGTTAAACAGCGATAGCCATCAAAATTTAAAAGTTCCGAATACTGATCCGAAGTTGGGCGACTTTAGTAAATGAATTTCCCACTTAAAACCTCCGTCCCCACTGTTTGAAAATCACATTTTCGCTGAAAAGCACCACTTTATATTTTCTATTGAAAAATTTTTCAATAAGTGCAATACGTGCAACGAATAGAATGTGTAATCTACAGCGCCGCAGGACTGACGTCTTGCAGGTGCAAATAATAGTTACGTGAGCCGACGGAGGTTGACTGATTCAAACTCCACCATTGGCATATACCATGCAACTTAAGAGACGCTATTGTTGGTTTGAGGATTGCAATGCGATGGTCGATGGGTAGTTACGTACCGCTACGCACTGAAACCGTGCTTTCGGCCATGGCTCCCAATACAAGCAACTGACGATAATGGAAATTTCAGCTTTGGACTATAATGACTGAGCTAACTGTGTCAGCAAAAAAAAAGATAGTTTTCATTAATGTTTTTTTATTAGTGGTTGACCAATCGAATAATGAGTACCTAAATTCTTACAATTCGAATGTATATACAACTAAACTAATAAAAGAACTAAAAAAATTTGGTAAGTACAAACGTCTGGAAGGATACAACGTCAGTCAAGAGTAAAGTTAAATAAGGTATGAGACGATTTCGATTCGACGACTTATTTTTGAAAAGGCAGATAATTTAGTTAATAAAGGCACGCACAAACCGACGTAAATGGGACTTATTTATTCTGATCTCGTCTCAGCGCAGCTTGGAAGAGATACCCACGAGCGGATCATATGGACCGTAATATCTAATAGGATATCAACATGCCATAGGGTAGATATGGTTAATTACACTGCCTGATTCGCATTTCTCTGCTACGAAAATTAATAGAACTAGTAATGACACTAATCGAAATGTAACAAGCGAAATCGTGTGTACGGACTACTAGGAGTAATGCAGTGAATGATAAATACTTTCATAAAATTATTCGGCATACTACACACATATAATTTATGTTTCTAAAGCCCATACTAGCAGGTGTTTCATATAGCTAAATGTTCGGAAGGCAAAACTTTACCTAACGACTGAATTCTGATAGAACTAGCTTCCAATAAGGAAATGGCCTTTGCAGTGCCATGGTATCCTTTAGCCTCGAAATGTCAATTCAATGAAGGAAAGATTTGAGTACAAGGAAAACAAACAGACGCTAACTATATTTATAAACCAATAAGTAGAACAAGAATCGACAAGCAACGGCTAGACATGTGGGGCCGATTATACCAGGCTTTTGGAAGTAGGGGCAACGTCTCTTCAATTCACACAATTCATAAAAGAATAATCACACAACGTTGTTGCAATTTTAGATAAGCAATCATGTCTAATGAGGAGGACAGCGGTAAAACCGACCATAATGTCAAGCGATGTGTACCACAGCAGTCAAGTAAATTAATTCGAAATGGCCAATTCTTGTTATATAATCACGACCTGTCAAATATAAAGTGATCTATTGTTCCGTATCTTAACGGTCCTTAACTATTATTATTGTGCAATAACTATATCTAAACAAATGTTCTGATAACATGATCTGCTTGTTTATGTGTAATTCTTGAACAACAAACATTCAAGCTGTTTTCAAAATGTTTATCACGACCATCTCTCTCAGTGTCTAAACAGTTCTCGACCTGGGCCTGACCGCCAAGTGAAAACCTGGCATACAGCCAAATTACAGCGTTTGTTCTGTCTAGTTGTATCTAACCTGTGTCCCAAGATCAGTGTGACCGTCTAAAAGAATACCGCACAGCAATAAGACAAAACAATGGGCTAACGAAGGAACCCGTTCAGTATGCGTGACCCGTGGTGCGCAAGAGAGACGGATAGATACAGACAAAACAATGTTAAGTAAATTTAGTATAAAACGCAAGTACGACGCAGAGACAAACACTGGTTGATACTATAACTAAACGTTGCTGGCCCGAAGGACAAGAGAGGCTCAAGGTGCATACTGTTGCTGCTATTGGCACAATTTCCGTAAATGCAAGTGATCTGACTGTTTCAAAAAACACACGCACCTTGTCCTTTATGAGGTTAAGGACCCGAACGTGGTTGGCAACGTTGGCTCCAAATTTTGCCGCTGTTAGTGCTAATGAGACACACACACGTGAGTCGTTATGCGCTCCGTCGTAGTAAACCAATGCACCACAAAGTCGTTCCTCCTGGAGCATCGGGAACAATTCGAGGGCACGTTTTCTGCTGAGGAAATAGCTCTTCTTAAGGCACTGTCGACCGGCGACCATATCATAACATTTAATTCCCACCCAATAGTAAGGTACCTGCCACCATCGGTAGACCGGCAGCATGATCGGCAGTGCGTCCGCGAGATGGGGCGCCGCTCTGAGCAAATTCGCGCGTTCATTCAGCGCCTCCTTCACCATGCGGTACTGTTCGTAGTCTAGATTGAACACCGCTTTCTGAAGATAGCGTACGCCGCCATGAATTAGCTTGGTACTCCGGGATGATGTTCCAGAAGCGAAATCATCCGCTTCGACAAGTGCCGTCGACAGGCCACGCGTGATCGCGTCAAGTGCAACCCCCGAGCCTGTCGCTCCGCCTCCAATGACCAGCACATCATATTCTTTCGTTTTCTTAAGCGCCTCAATCTGTTGAGCGCGTGTTGACAACGTCGTACGGGGCGGTACCGTAGATAAACTACTGGCAGCGTATAAGGTAGAAATACCCGGCACGCTCAGGTTCCCTTCCTCCCCAAGCAGATTATAACTGAGGTATCCGACGGCACCAGCACCTACCGCACCCGCGATCACTCGTGCCCCGAGCATCATTCCCTACCAACTACCTTTTAATGAGCAAGTGGCACGTTCGAATTTCGCGTCTGACACGACTGCAACGATTATACCCAGCAGGCTCAAATCACACCACACTCACAGATTCTCCACACCACGACAACTCACGCACACAACTGCCTCGAATTACGAGTTTACCGGAGCGAATCCCTGACTCGCCACCACCACTCTAAGCCGGCAACTACTCTGCAATAGCACAGTCGCGATAGTGGTTACACTATTGCGCCAGCAGCAACAAGAGTAGTCTACCGTCACACGACTCATACAGCAGACATATGCAAGGTCACCCAGTAGCAGCAACTACTATGGGCAATTTCAGCAACGGCGACTATTTTACCACCGTCTCTGCGCTGCACACAAACGGCACAGACCGCAGGCGAAGGCAGATAGGGATATACACGCTGTCCTCCCGCTTGAGACCGTCTTTGGGCGTGAGAGAATGCAGATAGCAGTATTACCGCGGCACAGTAGCCGCGTCGCAAGAGGTGGCCTAACGGGATGGGACCGACTGCCCACAACACAGCTAGCTCAACTCGCGACGACACTGGGTATAAGCAAGCGGCTCGGAGCACAGCACAGAAGGGAAACTCCGTGGATATAGAAGCAATCGAGTAGTCATGCCAGACCGCGGCTATCAACGGTGCCAGCCACAGCGCAGACTCGGACGGTCGGTGCTTTCCCTCGTTGATGGAGAGAAACCCTCACTTGGCCAGAACTACCCTTTCTTTCTAAGCTGCTGCTGCTGCTAAGGTCCGTGACTGCGCCGGTCCTTGAACGGCCGTCCGCTGCTCGGAAAACCAGTTTGAGTAAACACGGCACGCTTTGCGCTAAAAAATGCCGAGGGAAGATTTGCTTTAAGCCAGGATTTTTGTAAATTACCGTACGTTATGGAATTATTAATAACATGTTACATTTTTCTTCGCATTGGACATAATTCACAGATTAACTGAGGCAGATTATGAACAGATAAATTACTTGAAATGGTCCACCAAATCCGAGTGCTTATCCTTTCTATGAACGGATGAGCCTACAAGATATGGTAAGGGCGGGCTCGATGGCGCCACAGAGAGGAAATGGAAAACCATTAAGCAGTATCTTGTATAGCAGCTATCCAAGATGCTGATCTATCACGTATTCTTTACGGAAAATGAAGTTTTGTCTGATTCAAAGAAACCGAGCCAGATGAGCTGAGACTTCTCAGAGTCAAACAAAAATGTCTAAATTTAAATTCTTAGATTGCATTTTACCCAGATCCGGTGCGAATTGGGAACTTCGTTTGTAAGTAATTTATGCAAGTTCGTGTTCTATCGGAAATATTTAAATATCGAATTCAACTGAATTAAGCATTTACTGAACTAGATTTTTTAGCACTTTGTAATGGTGTGTTCCAAACGGAGGATCATTAATTCGTATTTGATTCTGTAAGTCTCAACTTCGATATTACTATACTCGCTATATTGCTTCACGCTCGTGACAGTTATCTTGAAGGAGGTTTGTCGTCAAGAGAAATTAATGCTGCACAGCAAAATTCTGTAATAATCAAATGCTGAAGAAATAACAAGAGGACAGAAATGGATTTAGAAGGCATTTAAACATTTTAAATAGAGTGAAATGCATTTCAGTAATTCTGACTCCGTTAGTTGATTATTTGGGGTGTCTTCGTCCAGAGAATAATCAGAAAACCCTATGCCGAAGATTCAATTTCTCGGTCATGCTAGAAAATGGAATTTGCTTTCACAGATGCAAAAACATAATTTTCAGAAACTTGCTGCCTTTTTCGTTTTAGGGTAATTTTTATCACACGAAGCATTATTTAACATTTCAAGTTCCTTGGTAGAGCACGGGTTTGTTCCGTTTGGCATTAAGCACATGTAGTGATACGCATTTCGCAAGCATCTTAAATACGCACGAGCTGAAGAAGGTGCAAGCTTGGAATTTATTACAAGTACTGCAGCTGCGAGTACTGTGAGTGGCTAACGAGGGCGCACCGTTGCACTCAAGGCAAAGATTACTGGAGATAGGTAGTTTTTGAACAAGCAACTCCAGACAGTATTGAGTATCCGATCATTTAAAGTTAGCAGCAAAAGCTGCTATAGTGAGGTCTGGCCATATGTATAATATAATATACCCGATCAATAGCGTTTAATTTTTAATTTCGAATTTATAGAGAAACCTCAAATTTATTTCGTTTTTTAAGTATCTCTTTCTTTATTTCTTTGCCCACATTCTTAATACCTCTTGTGTCTAGTTTTGTGATTGAAAACTACAGAACTAATTTAATAAACATTAAAATCATCGGCGTGCTGGATTGAACGGCTATATCTGGTCGCCAATTCAAGCCCCGCCAATGATATGTCTTGCCACAGACAAGCGTTAATAAATAGAAATTTCAAAAATAGCTATTGTCTCACAGTGTAGTTTAATTAGTTTTTATGTAAATAACGTACCTGTGGAACGATAAATAGTTCTATTGATACTTCAGTATCATTCCCTTCCACGTGATTGACAGTAGTTTTTCAAACGGGCGGAGAACACCCTTTTGTATGTATATTTGTTGACTTCAAAGCATTTTCACGAAACAAGTTCACGTTTAGCTTGAGTGCCTATGATCGTATTCTGAGATGTCCGTGCTACTTTTTTACATGCGCATTCAACTTGTATTTGGAATAGTCTATAATACACTTAAGCTGTGAGCATTATAGATTGCGCTAAAGAATTTGCAATCTACTAATCAAGGAAAAAATATTTAACATTTGCTGTGGTCTCTTAAAAGTGTATTCGATAGTTTTCGTAAAGCTGCTGATAGAAAGAAGCACATTAACGATAACGATTTTGCAGCCATATGATAATTTAATGCACGATAACGATTTTGCCACCATATGATAATTTAATGTCCAATGACCGGTCTGTGTGAATCAGCACGCATATATGTTTGTGTGGCACATGCTTACATTATCAACGGCCCTAACAAATTCGACTGCCCCTACAATATCCCCAGAAGGTTCATCGAAGGCCGCTAGGTAGAATAGGAACAAACTCATGTAAGCAGCAAAAACTGACGTAGTTGTGTGGATAAGAAGAAAGCGACCGAAATTTTCACTGTCCCCCCGTAATAGCGTAGTGGGTAACATATTTGCCTACTAAATTTAGAGAAAAGCGACGGTGTTCTGGTTTTTAATCCGGATGCAAGTCCATATTGTACCGTGCTGAAAGCCAAAGCTCTGTAGCCATGCTGGGTTGCTTAACGACCGAGCGTAGAACACGAAAAACAGCTATGTCAGTGGGTGGCCTATATGTTAGTTTGTTTTAACACTGCAAAAAAATTATGAGCCAAAACTTCAATACAGAAAGCGATTCAATAGTGGGTTTCTTGTGGAGAATACCAATTCAGTAATCAAGAAAAAAAACGTCTTTATCTGAACCTTCCAAACAGCTATTCTGAATACCGATGCCCCATATCTAAACAAACCTATTCCTTTAAAATACTCCATAAGAAGCTACTTGACAATGACATTTAGGTGAATTAAAAGAACTGCTAACTATAGGCTTAATAACGTTGAAGAGCGACAAAAATTGGAAGATTATGAAAAATTCCAAGCTTTTATTATGAAAATGCACTTGTTCCTAAAGGTTTATCAAATAACGGTGGAAATGAGTTATAAAGAAGCGAACGTGTGGAAGAAAAGCTAACCTGTTTTTGATATCTAACGGTTTAGGCCTACAAGACCTCAGAGTTTAGCGAAAATTACACTAGCTCCAGTTAAATGATATATTGTATATACGTGAAATGCCCTTGCGTAAACCTATTACGTAGTTAATAAGTACTGGTGTACATCAGAGAACTAAAAAACAAAACGCCTGGTGGCTCTCCAAATTCGATGAACTTTGTGAAACGCTGTCAAGTTCAGTAGTTATGCGATACTCAGTTGGTGTAAACAAAAGCTGCTGTAACTCCAGTTCTCTACACGTTCATAGTTATCTGTTTGAATGCTTAAATTTGTATACGGTGAGTATTCCCATTCATCCCAAAGCTCAGCTGTGGTTGCATGGAGCGATCCGCATCCACACGGGAATGAATGGTCGAAAATACGATCTTTAAAGCTTAGTGTATTAACGTTCTGAGTTTGAATTACTGAGGATTTTACGCGACGACTTCCAAAAGGCTATAGGCATCGTGATTTCTTTGTTTACTGGGAAAGGTTTGAATCTGTTGGCTTGACGTTGCATTTTGCGCGCTTCATAGGTGCAAAGGATAAGCCTTTGATGAATTTCTCTATATCAACTAAGGCCAGCCTAGATTATGTAGTAATTCCAACTGGTTTGACGAACGCATCACCGTCTGAAAACTTGTGGATTTACGAAATCTGCGGATATTTGGGATTCTCGAAATCACTGAACCCATTGATTGCTGCACGCGCCCACTGCGATCATCCGTAAATAGCTAGCATGCGGAAATTACCTGTATCATTTTCACCCGGGACGAATGCTGATGCCTCTAGCGTACTCGTTGTATTTAAATCACAGTACACAAATGATTAGACAATAAATAATAACATTACCTATAAACACAACACATTTTTTCGCATTACGTATCGCCTTTACAGGATTTATTAATACTATAATGTCATAATTATGTTATAGATATTTTGTATGCATTTAATACAGCGTCACTACCGTTATGGCAGTGAGATAGTATATACACGTTCTACTCCAAGGAGAGGATTTGTCGTCTTTGTCAATGAGACAAATTTGTCACAATTTAGACGCTAGCAAGATTGATCTGCCTAAGATCAATCAAGAATTAATTCTCTGAATTAATTCATTTCAGACTGCCTACGTTTAAGCATATCAGCACACAATAAGGTTAATATATTTCATAGGTAGATATTCACATGATGACCGACCTGCTTGGACGCATTCGCAAATAGCCCGAAGATTAACGACCACTCCCATCCGATTAGACATCTTATAGGAAAAAGTATGGTGGACTATCCCCAACTGGTACCTTCGCTTCATTGACGGTTATCTAGACGTTTAACACACGACATTATAATTCATTTATGATGGCTGATTGCCCACTAATAGTAGCCTTTGAGACAGCCTGTGCCAAGCACGTTCTAATGTAATAATACTACTTTGTCTTAACACCATATATTATTGAAACTACGTGAGAGGACATTCAAATAATGATACGTTCACATACTGTTTACATATTCCCATATTCAAACAAGGTTATCTAGGAAACTGTCGAAACTGGCATTTCCCAGGATATATACTTCAGTCAATTCAAACTATAGTCTCGCCTCCTCCTTCCCACACTCCACTATTACTCACGTTTGTTGCAAATATTCTTCATATAATGCCAACTTGGGTTGCAACCAGGCTTAACAATAAGCTTTCAATATGGAGGACGAACTTGGAAAAACATACTACCTACGAAAATGCAGCGCCGGAGTCAATAGCAGAAAAAGAAGTTGAAGAGGTCGCAGCTACAGCACTAATAATGTGGTAAAAAATAATTGCATTAATAAGTAAAGCACAGAGGCTAAAGCAGCTCTTGTCGACGCCGTTATTACTCTTCGGTCAAAACACCAAATTACGTTGCTACATGCTTTTACATGCCATATCGCCTCTTATGCAGATAGGTACCCTTAAGGTTGACGCCCAATTTAAATCAAACAAATAATGTTGATTTAAAGAGGTGTGCGTTAACCTACTATTAACCAAAAAGCTACTTATTGGTATCTAATCACGTTTTGGGAAGGTCATTTAAGCGGAAAGGTTACCACTGTCAAACAAAAAGACATCGTACATCTCAGCGATAACTTGTCGCCCCCCAAAATAGCGGTTGTGCAAAGCCTTAATAGCCATATGCATTTCTGACGTTTTCGAAAATTCGACGAAAATTTTAACCTCAATTTGAGCGTCCTCTTCTTCACCTTGTTTCTCCTTGTATATGGTTACCTTGTTCACTGTGCCGAACTTGCCGCACTCTTCTGAGATCTCCGGCTCCAAATCTTCGTCCACCTCGTCCTCGCCGACCATATTTCTGTAGGGAAACGCAAGAATCGATATAATGTTAGATCTTTCCTTACGTTTAAATGTCCCTAAAATCTCTGCGAAAACAAATATCTATTAACTATGATGAGAAGTCGACTAGCAATACTGAGTTCTGATGAGGTTCTTTTGATTTACTCAATGTGGCCATACCTGAGAATCATGACGCACTGCTCACGGGTCTTGGTACGCATGAGTTTCTTCATGACGGCCAGCCGGGCCCCGCCGCCCTTGATCGCTACGTCTCGCTCGGTGTCCTCGGAATCACCGGGCGGTAAAGGCAGCTCACGGCCATCCTCCAGAGACTCGTCTAACATAGGCTTTTTGGTCTCTGGAGGAGAACCCGTCGATGCAGTCGGCGGTGGAACGGGCCCCGCCCCACCAATAGGCGGAAGCGACGTTAGAACAGTTGGTGGGGGAAGATGGACCTTCGGCTTGCCATCAGCATCAACTTTAATAGAGAGTTGGCCAACCGAAAACACACGTTAGGACGGAAATCGTCGTTGTATTATCTGCCTAATACTGAATGTTATCTTAACACTTCAAAAGACGTCGTCATCTCAACTAGAAGTTCTACACGTGCGGATGGGTAAAAAGTTGCAATGAACAGCAGTAATACTGCAATAACATTTGATCATTCTCCACTTGCAAGAGAAGACGATCTAAGGACTGAAATAAATATTAACACAATTATGTACGATTTCGCTGTTAAAATCTAATCTAGCAAACTTCGAAATCAAATAACTTTTGACCTCGCTCGGCTAAAATGATGGTTTCTCAATTTGTGTTAGAGGTTCTTTTCGTTATTTTTACACGCTTGTCCCAGTGTCATGTCATTCGCGCTCCTGTACGTAATTTCTCTATATATAGCTCCTTGAAATTGATATAGGATACGTTTGTCAGCCAATTCTCTCAGGCTCCAGCTTCTTTCAGGGCGTAGAAAGCTTCGTAATCAGACGGATTTAGACCAGGCGAATAAAACGTAAATCAACGTTGGATATTATTTACCCTTAATCCAATGACGGCAATGCGGTCTGGCGTTGCTAGCAAATAACCAGACCGCACGTTTTAAAACTTCGTGCCAACGATCCATGAGTATTTTGATGAAATATCGGTATTTCAATTTCGGCGAGTACGCAGCAAATGCCTTTGATATACATTACAAATGGCACCTCCACCTTACCTCCGAATTTACTTGACACTGCCATCAAATTCGATTTCTCTTCAGCGACGCCATTCTTTCGCTCGACATCTTCCTCGGGTGCAACTAGAGACAGACCCATGCTTCGTGTACGGCAACTATGCTTTAGGCGGGTTTTTCGTTGACTAAACTTCCTCGAATTGCATGTGCAATACATCATACGTATTTCCAACTAGCCTGAGGCCAATCGATCCATGGAGGACCCATTTTCTGCTCAGTTTCCGCATTTTCACTGTTTGGGTTGTAATTTACGGGCCAAAGGCCGTAAACTGTCTTCTCAGGGAAAACCTTTTAGATTATGGTAATGTAATTTTATCTTCCTAATCAGTTTGATTACCTCTTTGTTTGTCTTCAATTTCCCTTTTAAGACGTCTGCATTATTCACATACTGTCCTTTTGCATAAAGGCTTCATTCTTAATCTCTTCAACAACCTTCAATGAATTTTCGCAGCTCTGTGGCCTTTGAGGAATAAAAACTTGTCCACTGAACGATGATTTTTGAGATTAAAGAATGTTTTGTCCTGGAGTACAACCGGTTTTCACTCAGTTTAATAACACTAGAGTATTTAGTTTTCGTTTTTTAAATTCTATTTTTTTTAAATTTAAATTTCGTCTGTTAACGCCGTGTAGTTCAAAAGTTATTCAATTTAAAAGTCCGTCGGATTCTGCATGTTAAACAACCACAATCGCGTCTACTAAGCTATTTTAATTCATTCTATATGACTGCCTATACACAATACAACATGTGTGATAAATAAAACCTCCTATATTTTGTCTACTCTATTCCACAGTAGCCTTAAACCTGGATTACTCACGCGTGACAAGTCCAGGCAGCAGTGGGTTGGCAGTTGGGAGCCCTGGTACAGTTGGAACGCCATTTCCAGGTTGACGGCCAGCTGTAAGCGTCCCAGTCGTTGGTATCGCTTTTGTGTGCAGTCCACTGCTTTCGAGGGCGCGAATCTTCGCAGCGGCGGCGGCGGCTGCGACCGCCGCAGCTGTGGGTAGTGGTCCAGCTTGTACTGGGGCTACGGGGAGAACAACGCCGAGACTACCAAGGGCACAATCGGATGGAGTGATGGCGCGACCTACACGCAGGAACTGGCCCCCCAAGTCGAACAGATTCATCGAAGTGATGGCATCCGATGCGGCCTGATTCGTTTCATAGTGTATAAACCCGTATTCACGGTGTTTCTCGTGCGGAAGTGTACCCGGAGCTAGCTTGCAGCTCTTGATTTTGCCGAATGCTTCAAACACAGAGTGAATATCCGTTTCACTTAGATCCTGATGAATTGAAGCTATATAGATCCGTGACGACTGCTTGGCATCCTCCAATATCTGCTCGAGAATGGGCGCTGCTTGGTGCATATTGGAACGTCGGCCCACCTAAAAGTCAAACGCAAGATGAATACTTAGAATATTTACAACTTTGTTCGATAGAGTAGTCATAAATGGATTCTAAAGTATAATGTAATAATTCTTATGGTACACGCGTCTGGAAAATGTCAATATTATAAATTCAACCAACCTTAATGCTTCGTCCTCCCATAAAGACTCCGTTCATCTGTTCTAGAGCAAGCTGAGCCGCCTCAGGGAGCTCGAATTCGACAAAAGCGAATCCCTTATGTCTTCGCGTAACGGTGTCATACGACATGTTAATAGCCTTTATAGGTCCAAATGGTTTAAAAGCTGTGCGGACAGCGTCTTCGCGTAGCTCGTAGCTGATGCTTCCGACGTATATGCGACACATTAATACCAACGCCTGCATCGAAAAGGCAAGACTCAATGTATTTGACACATACTAAAATAATACGGCAACTACTGATCCCGCAGTGGAATGTAGGGCTAGATTGCTATGGTAATATATTTTTAATAAAAGCAGTGAAATAAACGATTACATCACTTGAACCCTGCACTTCGTTGGATAAATTAGAACAATTTATTGTGTATAAGGTAGAAAAAAACAAAAGACGGACATTAACAGAACTTAGTCGTTCCAAATATAGAGGCAAATTATTACATTTAGGATGTTCACTTTGAACCTGTGTTGTTTTTAAGAGCTATAGCTTTGGAGTACATGCCGCTAACTAATTAACTGTGGTTGGTAGGTTGCGTAATAGGTCCGCCTTTAAATAGACACACGCTATGGTTTAGCTACGAAGCTAGTATAAATTTGCCTACGAGAATTTCTTTAGCGTTTATTGTTAAAGGCAAATAATCACCAAAATTTCGCGTCTTTAAAAGGACAAAAAGCCTTATAACAAGATAAGAGGTATGTACATGTAGTTAATTCAACATTGTTGAAAAGTCCTATAAGAAAAAAAAAAACAATTCAAAAATCCATACTCCACGTTGCTCTGCGAAAGAAAGGGGCATTGATCAGCGGTCGAAGCCGCGTGGCTTCTACTAGCGCCAGTGCCAGATAGGTGCGGGCACAGAATGGCACAGCTGTAAATTATATTATAGAATAACTGTTGCTGCTCTTGTGTTTGAAGCGGCTAAGGGCGGCCGCAATATTATTCAACAAAGTAGGATTAGTTTACCTGATAGCGTTCAAGGTTTTTCTGTTGCTGACTATGTGCCATGGTCTGTTTGATGATGACTGTCTTGATACTCTGCTCCATGGCGTACTTTTTAGCTTTGTCAACCATTTCCTTCTGTTCGGGTGTGAGATCTGGCATTTGGAATGACCTAATTTTCTCGAGTGTCACATGGGCTTGCGCCTTCAACGCACCTGGACCCGCAAGAACCGGCCCGGTCTGGACGCCTGCAACAGCAACTATGTTAGAATTAAGATAGTAAGAATAAAGTTAGCACTAGGCAAGTACTTCACTAGACCACTGCGCTCGATACTGAAAAAGTGCGCGTCTTTATTTTAAAGCGCTCTGAAAACTTCCTTTGCCATTCTAGTGGAAAATTGGATAAACTGATAGGTACAGGTTGAGCAAAAACCGCCCAAAAAATGACGTTAAATACATTCGACAACTTCCGAGGGCCACCTGGAGTGTCACAGGATCCAGTTGACCCGTGCGGTGACTTGCTGTCTTCATCTGTTGATGATCAGAGATTCTAGGCTCCATAGATAAATCCATCGGGTACGACATCGACCACTACTGTAATTGTGGACGATAGAGAGCAGCAAAAACGGCCAGCTGCTAAAACAGCGCTAAACACAAATTGTCACACGGCATAGTTACTCTCGTTATGTTAGTAGTTGTTTAAATGCCCACCATTTTCTGCCAGAAGGCCATAGCCAATAAAGATAGGCAGATATTTATGCCAGGTACACTAATAACCACACCTGTCCATTACAATCATTAGGACTAAAAACTTCAGGCACTGACGGATTTTGTGCGTTCAAAATCAAATAGTGCTACGATTTGAAGAATGGTAGGAAAAGATAGCTCTTTGGCCCACTGCACCTTCAGGTGTTGTTAACTTTTCGAGAGTAATTCTTCTTTGTCTCCACAGGAGACAAACTGCTATGCTTAAAGGAGACGTATCCTTTCAACAAAAAACTTCAGTAAGTAATGATATTAGCAGTGTGTCCGTAGGTGCGTGCCGAGGTTTTAGCCAGAGTTTTAATATTTGAATATATACTAAAATCAGTGCATACTACACTCAGATGGGAACGCGATTATACAATTATGGCGCGAACATCAGTCTGCCATGTACAATGAGCTAAGCCTACGGACGCTACTATATTTACTATATCTGTTTTATCTTTAGTAGTCTGTTCTAATAGCAATAAAGGCTATGAACTAGTTGTAATTTGGCTGAAAAAAATTAGCTATACAATTGATTGGAGATGCACCACGCCGGTACACGAAAGTAGCCCGTTTAAGCAGGGGTGCCTTTTTCGGTTATCCGGACCGAAAACCGAGTGCCCAGCTCGCACACGCCTTCAGGGCCGACACATCCACTGAGAAGGAAGAATTAACAACAACAGAAGATAACACAGACATACACACACAGACAGATCGCACAGATATACAACGCAAAAAGAGTTCGCAGCTGCTCAGTCGGGTGTCAATCGAGTGCGGTTCATCAGTACCAACCATCGTTCGTCAGCTGTACAGAGAAGCAGATGAATGCATCACAGATTGTCTCGTATTCGGGCACGGGATACCACCATTACCAGATGTTCTTGGCTCTCTGTATTAAAACGACAGCTCTTCGACGATAACATCGCAAAAAAAGCAAGCTACAATCATGCCATAATGACTATGCTTTTCAATATATATATATTTTACCAAGCTATATATATATATATATGTATTTAAAATAGACAATTGTTAGCCATGTTATAGAGACGTCAACGACGTTTTTTCATTATCAAAATTCCAGTGAGCCTATGTGAGCACAGATTCATAGCATTGCTTTGTCGAACGGTTTAGAGTTAGTAAGCAGAACAGAATTTATTCTCGAAGTAATTTTATAATTTCTTGTTGCTGGTATCGGAGAGATCATGTCTGTTGAGAATTGCAAAGAGAAGCGTATACGATTCGTAAGGGAACCCCGGATGTGCAGCTCCCGCCGGTCCCTAGTCGGTCTCAGACGATTGTTTCAAAGGGGGAGTTTGGCCAATCATCATCTCCGTACGCGTTTTACTGTCTCATATCCGGCCGCGTTGTCCGATCACCGTTGTCTAGTCCATTAGCGCGTTTCAAAATAACGACATTAACGAGAATATCATGAACAACAGAAGAATAAAAAAAAAACACAGAAGACAGCAACAGTACAGAACACAACAATAACAAGTCATGTTGTGTTTCACTCAATCGCTCGCTCGCTTTCTTTCTCTGTCTGATTTTCTCTTTCGGACGCACTACTTTGTCGCTAACGGCTGCCTGATCCGTATGTCTCCCCATCTCGCCGTAGTCAGTCATTCCATTCAGTCAGCGGGGGGCGTAAAAAGGAGCAGACTTTTCCTCCGGGCGGCGCGCTGCCTGCGCGCAGTACGTAGATTGATTCAGAAGACCCACTGATGACTGCGGGGGTCATAACGGGACAACGTGTGCTGTGACTCATAGGCTCCACTCCCGTCAGGAGTCTGCCTCTAACTTCTATCTAGAGGTTACCAGTCTCTCTCGTGGACGGACGAAAAGGAAGGATTGTAAAGATTGAAAACAACAACACAGAAGAAAATAACACGAAAAACAACAACAACAACAACGACAGCAACAACAACAACAATAACAACAAAATATCTATATATATATATTTTTAACAGCGCGCTAAAAAACACGGCAACTACAACATGAGATCACCATACATTTGTCACTGAATCCAACGCTACGGGTAATCAGCACTGGCAGTGGTACAGTGCTTATTTTCTTTGTGTGCATATTCGGGTTTATACAGTTCTCTTGAGAAATGAGTTAACTAAGAAGTTAATCTGGACCGCCAACCTACACAGCCGCAGCGTTCTGCGTAGAGATCATCACAGGAACGCAAGTTCTCAAGTCGAACTCTCATCATAGTGAGAGATCGGACACGGCCCGATCGCCGTACCCCGTCCACAGAGAGGCAGGCATCCAAAACAAGCTGTTGTTAGCGAGCAGCCAATCAATCAGTCTGTGTAAAAAGTGAACTTCTTTCTTTTTTATCTCAGAGTATTTTCGAATTTTCATCTTTCAGCTATGTCACACTATCTATATTTCTCTCTGTTAGTCTCAGACGGGGCTGTCTGTCGGGCCTGGACGGTCCGGTCACAGGGCCGTAGTGGCAGGACGATCCTCTCTGACGCTGCTTGGGAGGCTTGTTTAGGCCACAACAACGGTGGTTTGGCCTGCTCAAACCTGTACACACGAACGAAGTTACACAGACAAGAAAAAAGTACAACAGCAAAATGTTTTATTGAACGCGATCGGAGGTCTGAAAGCGATTCGACAAGACGGGACATCACAAAACAATCGAATCAACCAACCATCAACGAGCGAGCGATTATCGCCGCCAGGACGGCGATGCGAATTGAGAAACTCGATCGGAGTGGGGTTTTCAACAGGCTTTCTTCACAGCTGATTCGGCTGAACAGAGGCTGTAGTTGCTGTAGAAACGGTTTTCTGCTGCCAGTGTTAGTCGTTGTAGTAGTAGATATGGTCGTGTGTATTTGGTAGTACGTTTCTGCAGCCCTCCTATGTCTTTTTATTTTAGCCTAGCGTATGAACCCTGCCAGTATTGGAATTGCCACCTCTAGATTCCCCAAAGCACGATACCTGTAGTGTTAGGCTAATCCCCCTGGAACCAAAATTACGTACCACCATATTTGCTGTCGATTTCCGCGTGTCTCGAGCTGTCCGCCTGCCACATGTTGACACCAAGGTTTGCCTGCAACAAGACGAAATCGTGCAGATGCAGCGTGTTCGTTAGATATGAACGGTTACCCCATAACTTTATACACACAAGTTTAAATAATAGAAAGGACAATAAGATTCATACATAGGACGAAAGATATTAAAAGCGAAGTCAAACGTGAGGATGTGTCTGCATGAACTGCGACATAATGAAATGATGGTTAAGGCAAGGCAAACGCAAGTGATGAACTCTTTAGAATAAAATTTGCCGGCCAATAACGAGGCTGTCCGTCCAGGCTCAAAGCAGTCGAAATTGAGACGTTGATCAACTGACGTATATGGCATGATTTTCTGGAGCTTACCTGTGGCGTTGGTAACGGCCTACTCATCGAATACATTGTAAATATAGCGTATCCTCCAGCGCCTTAAGCCACAGTTGGAAAACAACACAAATTCTTGCAGCACTTCGATTGCGCGTCGAGCTGTACACAAAACAAAGATGGCTACCACTGCTAATAGCCGATACACGCTGGGACTAAATGCTGTGCCCGAGCATGGCGGTTTGCATTTTGCATCTAGCCTAATGAGTATGTGGCACTGGGTTTTCTTTCGTAGAAATCTAAGGATAAGCAGTACGTAAAAATGAATCCCTACCCCCAAGCCAGGCAGCCCGCCAAAAGAAGCGACGCGAAACACTTCCTCAAAACCTAGCGTTCGTTAGCTCAATCTTCCTGAAAATCAAGTCGAAAGATAGTGAGCGCACAACAGCACTTCAAATAACTATGCTGCAGTCGTTATTGATTTAAACACTCTATCATCGAGCCGTTTCGCCAGATCTATGGCCATCCGAGTTATCGGAAAAATCGGACTTTTCCATTCGTATCAAAATAAACTTAGCTGAAAGGGATGGCGCGCGATTTCGAAACGGAGAACCTTTACAAGCAGTTTAGTCAAAAAAAAAAATCAATAGACGAAGGATATGGATACTGTGCATTTGTGGTTAACCTTGTTTTGTTTACTAAGAGATTATATATATTTACCAGAATAAAGTGCTTACCTGTACAAGAATTCAGAAATTGTCTTTTCGAAGGAATCTGTTAACGGAATGAATATAACACATGAGAACGCGTTCTAACTACTTGTTCAATACAGGTTACAGTACATTCACTAGGCCATTTTTCAAGGTTCATAATTTAACGGGTATGACGATTAGAGAATAAAAACAGACAAATCTTCTGACCATTTTATATAAACGCTGTGTTACTTACAGAAGCCTATTACAAGAGTCTACAAGCCATGTGCTTAAACATAACATGCCAAGGCGATGGAATTATTTATTTTATTATTCCCTGCGTAATTTAGGATAGAGTATATTAAATAATGACGTCACATCTTTTGATGAGATATTTTTTGACCGTAGTTACTGCCTCATAGTTTAGAAGAATTTATTATTGAGAGCATTGTAGGTTCCCAATTAAAAGAAAAATTTAATAATGAGCTTTTTCGGAGACTACCAGTACTAGTAAAATGACTAGTAGCTTGAAAGAATGCTTCGAAGATCTCTTCAAGAGAAAATCGATTAGGCATTAAACATCAGATATCCTATATTCAGTGATACAATATCTTGAGTGGGCTCAAATATATTTGGTTTGATAGCACTATTTCTATTAAAAGAAAAAAAAACGTAAACAGTGCAAGGCCGAGATAATCGCGCATCGTAAAATGTAAATGTCAATTTTCTAACATGGCTTTTCATTCAGCAAAGTAATTTTGATCGTGAACGAGCCCTTAACAACGTGAATGTATCTATACACAAAGTCGTATTTTTTTCCGATCAAGGTTTTGACAGAAAGAAGGCAATTAGAAAACAACTTAAATAAATTACTATCAGTTGCAGTTTATATTTACTTAGGCCTGACTCATGAGTAGGCTATTTGTCGATTTGTTGTTCTGGTGTAGTAAAACAATCGCCCCTCAAGTAAATAAGCAAATACAGATGATCTGCGCAGACAACAAATTATTAATACTTGTTTCGAGTTCTCGAGGCATAACGCGGCGATTCTGCTTGGACCTACACTTCAGATACGTATATTACAGTAATAATACAAGCGATACAGTAAATCAACCTGCCCACTATTGAAGTAAGACCGTTACACAGTGAGAGTAGGGATAGGAGTAATTAATAGGCTACTTTTTCCAAGACAATGTCCACAATAAACTATCAGATTAGAGATTCGCCATTCTTTGAACATTCATGAAGGAGGCTTGAGTGGAAAAAAGAAATCAACGTAGATGAACAGTTAAGTTATCCACTACGTAAGAGGTCTCCACTGGGGAATAGAGCGTTTAATGCAACTGTGTATGTGCGCTCTTATCAGTAGCTTACCAAAGTATTGGGAAGATGAGCCCCTACAATAGATACTGCAGTTTTTGAGAAGAAAATTATCTTCGAACGATTGTTTTCAGGTTTTTATGGTGATTGCTATGATGTTCAACAGTAATAACCGATGTTAAGCAACACTGGACTTGGATAGTACTTCGAAGAAAAGCTATCACAATGACTGCCGAGGTTTCTCATATATTTAAAAAACAAATTGGAAGCTATATTTTGACTTCAGATATCTTTATATTTAGGTATCTAAAGCTTTAGTTATGTTATTTGCACTTATAGTTTTATAAGGCTTTTTAAGCATACTCACGAATCTTAAAACATCCATATGTAGCGTTTCCTTTTACTAGCCCACATTTTTGACAAGTTTTTGAGGGAATCATTTTTATATATTTTTATAACAATTAAAAGAGAGATGTGAAATAGTAAAAAAACTGGGGTAGCCCACACCGTGGACAGGTTTAAACTTATTACTCGTCAAAACAAAAAGTTTTTAAGCGGTTATAATTTTAAGGTAGAGAGGTCAAATTCTACTATAATGCGCGAAGCGAGATAAATATACGTGAATGCTTTCTATAAGTCCAATATTAGACCTGTTTTTATTATGTTCATTCAATTCTATTTAAACAAGAAGTATGGGCATCATTCTCAGCTACGCTCTATATTTCTTCGTTAGTCTCTTCGTATACAATTTAACGGTTGCCAAAACAGCGAACCCAATAGCTTCTGTTCAGTTTGCAGGCCTTCTCCTCTATCCGGTAAACTTCAGTAAATATTCCATTCAGTAAACTAAACTCTATTTAGTAAAATAAAGTTATGGATGCTTTGCCGAAATATTTAAAACGGTCGTGTGTGTAAAAAACATTAAATACTGTTTTTTAGATTACAGTAGTCACTAAGATTTTACTGAATTACACATCGATACATCTAAACAATTGCCAGTCGGCGGGTAGTGCTTTAGAGGGTCAGACCTCAAAAACTAACTTCGCATCAACCATAACGTTCACGAAGGTATGCATTCCGCGTAAAAGTTCATCTTCCTCTGTGAAACCTCATAAAAATGCTAAGTATACTTTCAAATTCTGCTAGCATATTCTACAGAATCACCTTCACTTATAATTAACATATGTATACGTTGTACATTTTACTTAACCCTGAAACTTTATGAAAGGCCTGCGAAGTTGACAACAAATATGACAACTAGATATACAACAAATTCCTTCTCATAGAATTGCATCACTTGTCAGTAGTATTGTTGGTTTTTCTAACCCAGCTTGATTTAAACAGTATTGCAAATTGCAGATATTTTGAAGAGCGGTCCTTCTAAACTTGTCGACCTTTCGATTTAAATTGAGGATCCCTTTTTTATGTTGTCATGTCACGAGATTTATAGATGACTCCGCGGCTCTTGAGTTCCCGAATAATTCCTGAGGGCAGCCTGCCAGTGACTGATACGGCATAGATTCCCGGTAGGCGTTGAGCTAAGATGAAAATAAATTTTTAATTTGAGAGTACCAAAAATCATAAATGGAATCACTAATTGGCGTTAATGTACTCCGTCTATTTATAGTTGTAAAAACTAGACTGGCTTTTCACAGCAAAAATTTGGGAAAAATATGTAAGTATACGATCAACTAAGTTAAGACTGGAAGCCCGGAGCGGGCAAAGAAGGTGAAATGCTTGTATTCATCTTGCGTTTGTAATTAGTCGTGAGTTACAAATGTAGGCTACAGTCAAGGGCACAGCTATTCATAAATGCCAGTACATAAGCATACGATATTATCAGCAGGTGAAAATAAAGAGGCTAGGCAAACGTATCGGTAAATGTATGCTTTAAAACAAATAGGAAGGCATTCTTTAGACATCCTGAACGCGCAGCAACAGGTTCTCTAGACTTCTAGGTCTCTGATGTTCTATATCTTTTGTCAATCATTTTTTGATACAATGCTAACGGCACAACACATAAATAACAAAAGAAATGTGCCGTGTGCATCGACAAGATGGTGCCCACATGCAAACGCTACAAGAAAACACTTACCCATCCTTTGCCACTTTGCTACCCAGCTGTCTTCTGGATGAAGAAGAGCTATAAGTCCATCGAACTGTGTTGATGTACAGTGATGCACCTGTTCCCGATTGCCTCGCATCCGAAGGTAGCGGTCACAATTTTCGCAGCCTGTGTCTTCGAACTGGTCCACTGACTGCACTCAAAGAGTTGCAAAATGTATGTACATGTGTTGATTAACAAACGGTGCATGCAGAGTAGTAATAAGAGAATCGTATATGGAGTTAGACGCTTGATTTTGTCATTCGATATTAATTGTATTTTAAAAGCACAATCCAAAGTAATTTTACTTGACAAAAGTAGAAGCTTTAATCCGCATTAGTTTCACGTACTGTCACTATTTAGTAACGCTCAAAAATGTATTATGTTATATACAGTAGTAAAATTGCATTTGGGCCCGTTTGCATCCGTTATGTACCAGCGGAATAAGTACCAGTAACCTGTATAAAATCTATCATTATTATTCCTTCCTCTCCGGCAGCAGACTTTGGAAAATGTATCCCAACATAGTTTCCCCCAAGGTTTTCCTGGTGCGGGACTTGGTGTGCTAGCAGGCGCGATAAGAAGAAGCATATACAAATGCTTAAATACTTCTCTAATGAACCCTTATAATAACCTTATAGCAAGGAAAAGTGATATCCTTTATTAAGAACAATGGGAGTCAAGTTTATTAAAAAAAAACGTATTTAGGGTTGTTTCGCCAAGAGAGTCTTCATTTCTTTGTACGTACTTGGTTGTCTGGAGCTATTTGGAAGATTAAAAAATTAAATGAACTTTAACTTTGTATTGTTAGGACACAAACTTTGATAAATATTTACATCTTAAGTTTAGCTATATTCTGAATACCAACCATTGATTGACTGGGCATCATCAGTATATAAAGAGTTTGGAGTCAATAATATCTTTTAACATTGAAAATTAATAGTTAATTATTAAATTTATTTTTCCCGAGGCTGAGAGCGTTAGTCGAATCTTATGAATTAGTGAACATATTGGGCAAACAGACCTTTAGCATAACAACAATTCGTTGATGATGTAATAATTTTAAGAAGAACAATCGGAAGGTTAAAGCCTACAGAGTAGTCGACAACTCTTTAAAACCTCTAAAAAGGAAAAAAAACAAAAGAATGATATTGCAGACAAAAAAAGGCTTTTGAGCCAAACGGAGCTTGCATATTGCTACTTGTCTGGTAAGTACGGGATAACTCGAAGTATGTATTATAAAGTTGTAACAAAAAACAGCTAAGATGAAGAGAAATAGTAAATCCGAAAGTTCTAATAATAAAAAAAAAAACAATAAAATCTAGAAAACTGAGAGCTAAACGAAAACTAATAGTAAAAAACATGTCTGAAATATTCATTCTTTCGTTATGAGTCCTGAGATGTACGCATCTACTCCATAGTCTTCAGCCTGCCAATTTTGTTGCTCCAGGAACAAAATATTGTTTTGCTAAAGGCAGCTTGGCGTTTTCACCAACATTCGACCGACTCCACCGAGGCTTTCATTTTCGAAGAACGGATAGTTAATCATTGAAGATGTGAAGTACGAAACGATATCATTGCCGCTAAACTTATCATTTTGTAATAACCGATGGGCTCATAGTTGTGGATGGCCAAGGGACTGGATACATCAACAACCATGCACCGCATTTCTGTTACTAATGCGCAGTTTAAAAGTTATTCAAATTTTCGACTCGCTAAATAGTTTTGGACAACATAGTAACATAAGGGAGGCCTTAAAACAATTTTTTTCGACCACTTAGTGTGCATAAGAATTGTCCTCCTATTACGAAAGAAGTGTTGTGTCTGAGCCATTTTCTTCTGAATATTTTTTCTACAAATTACTCAAAGGAAAATAAGTTTTTTACCTCCGAAAATTCGTACAGAAGCGGGAAAACTCAATTTCTTTTTTACGCATTTTTTTTTTATCTTAGTTGTACAGGTCTTGAAAGCCTAAGAAATATTTACACTTAAACCTTTTATAATTTTCAACGGCCATCGACATGATCATCGCATAAATTTTATTGATTACCTGATTTAAATTATATGCAACCTATAATGTAATAGAAAGAAAATACTTTTTAAATCATATTTAAAGTGTCAACCATGAATGCCATCACGTTAAATATCGGAAACAATTGACAGGTTAGATTAGTAAATAGGTTGAAGTATAAAAACTACCTAAAAACAAAAATCAATTTGAAAAATCCAAGAAAAAGAAGACAACGAAACTTTCCTTATCGTATAGTTGCTACCTAACACGTTTATATCATTTTAATACGGAATTAGCTTGACTGCATCGCGTTTACATCGATTTATTATACCATATTTTGGAAGATATCCAAAAAAAAGGAGAGATTCTTGGGAAGCTTCCCCAGTAGTAAGGTCTAAAGAACAGCGTTTTTGCAAAGAATTCGCTAAGTATGTGTACAGTCACTTAATAAAAAAAAAAAGCTGTTGCTCGAATGGATTACAGTACGCGAATATGTGATTTTTAGATATTGATTCCGACAACGGCGCTAAAACTTCCTGAATTCATTATGGGCCAAAGCAGTCGAACACCAGCACCTGTTGATTAAAACTTGGAATTGCTGAAGTTTCTTATTCACACTTAATAACTTGTGGCGTGAAAATTTTACACAAATTATTACAAAGCAAAAGTACCATCCAGATAGCAATATGATACATCATGGGTTTTAAGTATTTTTTTATAACGATAACCAGTTTAAGCTCAGATCCGATGAGGTTTTGCTGTTGTAAAAACAAACAAAAGGGTTATTAGTAAAAACTTTTAGGTTTTCATTAAATGTCTTGTCAATAGAAAGGTTATGAACTAAAATACGTTTTACTATTAAATATAATAGAATCAATTGTTGATTAATAATTGAATTTACAAACACAAAACGAGATCTAATTTGTGTTTCAGAGAATAATCAACGAATGCAACGAATTCTATGAAGAATTTGTTTTGTGCTTTGCCTTAGTTTAGATGCCTTATTAAAAAAAATCATTCAAAAATATCTCATAGGTATCAGTAAGCTTGGGCTGTCTGCACCCATTTTTAATTTACCTTCCGGATTTGTATGGCCGCTAATTTTTTGAATATCTGCACACTATTATTATCATTATGCTGATGAAGACAAAGTTGTACCTTGACAAGTGAGCAAAGCATGCAAGCTCGAAGATGCCTTAAATCTTTAGGTATATTGTCCATTGACGCCGCAGCTGAACTGGAGCTGCCACCGGCCATTTTTACGAGTTGATGTAAACGATCAATTCGGAATACGCGCTTTAAAAATTATCCAGAGAATAGTCTTCTTTTTGCCAATACAGCCGCAACTTATATCATACAACAGAACAGTACGTTATCTTATTTCTTATTCACTGTAACAGCGGTGACAATATTCGTCATGACGTAATTTTGCACTTGACCAATTTTCTTGCTCTCGTTGCCTCGCCTTGTTCTACTTGCTGATGTCAGTTTTCGATGCGTTCCTCTTACACTTCCGTCTATAAGAGTTCTTCAGCTTTTATATATGTGTGTTATATAGAAAACCGGGCAAGTGAGCTGGTAAAATTTATTCAAATGAAATTTACTCAGACGGCTGTACAACACTTGGACACAGACTGTTTTTCACTTTTTGCAAAAAATTAGCAGGTTCAAGAGTCAATCTTTTTGCCCTGTAAAGCAAGAGTCTGCTAGGATTTCAGACGATCGTTAACGAAGTCTTGGTCACCTTTCACCTAGCAGCCCAGTTAGATACGACCTGGTTATGCGGGTAACAGGCTACATCAGTGTGGTGGCCCCTGACGCCATCCGTCGGCGGTGCATGCAATTCAGCTGAAATACTCACAAGGATGATACAACAAACCCAGAGCTCGATCTGACAAATAGTTTCATTTTTCGACCCCACTTCCTTTATTCGATTTCACCTCGTCAACGCTTTGCAAATATTCTGCCTACTTGCCTACGATCAAATGTCATCGTAACGCAGCAGTACATAAACAATAAGACCTAGCTATAATACGGCTATTGCGCACATCTGTCCAGTAAATTTTCTTAGCTCTCTTCACCGAAAACTTATTTGGAGCTCTCACTAGTTAGTAATATCCAGCTAATAATGTTTGTCAAACAAACTGGTAAGCGTTCAAAGCAGACGAAGGCCGCGAAGACATTCAGTAGCATTAAGTGTAGAATAAGGTCAGCGGGACACGTATAAAGCTTGCTTGGCTTTGAGCCCTAGTGCATGCATTTCACGGCTTTCGTAGCGACGTCCAAAGACGCTCAAAAGCTAGAAATGGTCAAGTACTTCAAGCAGAAGTGCGCCAAAAAAACCTATGAGATTCGAATGTAATCAAATTTAAACTCGATGAAGGTCTTTGACGAGTATGTTTCAATTTACGCAGGCAACATAATTTTCAAAATTTTTAAATTTAAACTATAGTTTTTTAGAAGGAGCACGCTCCAGTATATTTTCAACCGTGAAAGTAAGTCGTAAGAAAAGTAAAGGCCTATAGATCTATATAAAACTCATCTACGGTTCGGAAACAAAGTTTTTTTTCCTGTTAAAGCTCATTTACAGGTCAACTTAGGCGCCTATCAAAAAATTTTACCCGACAAACATAACGCCATTAGAATCAGACTAACATTAATGACTATTATACGAATGCAAATGAAATCAAACCCAGCAAATACTGGATTCAGTGGCATTACTTTTTCTTTTTTTTTTTTATTATGGCTAACTTAAAAAAGCCTTCGATGGCCAAAAATTTTTAATCTAGCCATACAACATACGTACAATAATTTTGCTACCATAAATTTCAAAACCAATACCCTATAAAGTACTTTCATTCTGCAAAAAAAATTGTCAGGTTTTCACGTTAATACTAAACAAAAAGCTCGAAACAGTAATTTTTAAGCTTGTATTAATAACTGACAGTTAAAAAGCCATTTATATATCATGAGTTTTGTCGTTTGAGAAAACGGCCGTTATAAAAAGAATCGTGATTCAATTAACGAGTAGTGATCTATGATAGCTTACAGGGTAACTTTATGTATGGTTAAAAGGCCCGTTTATGAGTGGTGTGCAGTGAAAAGGTTTAGGTTGCAATGGTTTTCAAGATGGTTTATTTAGCATCGTTAGCATTGCGTTCTTATGTCCATAAGCGGTGTTCTGTATACGCTGTACGTGCACGTATTTAATTCATAGACAAAAAAAAATACAAAAAATAATACACGCACTTTTTTCCATTCAATTGACGTCAATCGGTCTATAGGCAAATGGCTACAAAATGCCATATTGACTCTTATAAACATCACAGTATATAAATACTAGTAACACACTCCCATTAGCAAACACCTGTTATTAAAAGATACGGTTTCAATAGTCTTTTGCTTATTCGCGTCAACTCCGTCCATTCTCTATTCTGTCACAATACATTCTACGTCTTTGTTTTGTTACTTTTCTAGTCGTCAAGAATGCGTCCATCTGATGCCTTTAGATGCGCGAAACCGCTCACAGTCACCAATTACAGTGCTGCATTTACTTCACATTGATCTTACGGCAGCAACGGCAGGAGCGCGTAAGCGTCATCCATTCATCTGCTGCTGCGCTTGTTGCCGCTGCGGTGGCGCGACAATACAAACTCACGGTCGGCGACGAATTGCTGAAATTTCATCTCGCCATAAACGTCAAAGCCGATTTCGTACAGGGCCCTCTTCTAGCCACAGCCGATGTTCTGACCCAAGCAAAGCCACCAAACCGGCCGCTTGCAGACTGTACGGTATGTTTTGCATCCTGTCTTTCTTGTTGAGATTCTCGTCACTGATTTACAATCGCCCGCCAGCTGCGGCGCATCGTGGTGCGAACTGATTCACTGCGTGAGCGAGGGAGTGGTGATTACGGTAGTGGTGTTGACGTTGATGTGTTTTAGTTGAACTGTGTTGACTTTGGGTGAGTACTGGCCAACAGCGAGATAGAACACCTGCGGAACACTATCTTAGCACACACGGGCACGGATGACCCTCTGATTCTATAACTGAATAGAACTCGGTTTTTTCCTCGTTCAACATCAAGTCAATGGACGACGCGCCTGCTCCGCGGATAGTTTTCCTTACCGATGCCAGGACCGATTACCCAGTTTTTTTTTTTCTCTTTTTTTCCGAACTCAAGTCGCCAGTTTAACGATCAGATGACTCCTCATCTTGACAGTGAACAGCAGGCAGACAGGTACTGACTAGATTAGAGTCCAAGTGAATTTAGTGAAATCAAAAAGACAAATTTCGGAGCCCAGTCAGATTGCTGTCCCCCTCGTTCTTTTGCAGGAACCACCAGCCACCAATCAATAGTCGATGTAGCGCCTAAAGGGGAAACATTCACCGGAGACTACTTCAGCAACTGACGACTGTTGCCTTTGGCTGTGTCGGTGTCGTGTGAGGTTTATGATACGCCGGTAGAAAGAGGTTGTCTCATTTTCACCTTCTCACTTGTCTCCCTGCAGCTAAAATTATCTCTTCTTACTCCCACTTCAGGGATCAGGAATAGAATAGTGACAAACAATGACGACAACGACAACGAAGAACCTCAGGAGTCTGCAGTACGCCTGCGGTCTACAATATTCGGTTGTCACTCTCTGTTTGCTCCCAGGTAGAAATCTCGGGAATGGACATTGCCTCAGCAGAAAACTGCTGAAGATCACAGCAGCCGAAGTACCGATTGCTATGACGGAGACCATCATAGTGTTGTTAAGAGCCAGCGCTGTTGCCATCTATGAAATCGCCTGCTGTTTCGGGATAACCGCTGTTGCGGTGGTAACAGCATAGCATTTTGTAGTTAAGAAGTGCAACGAGGCGTAGAAAAATTATATTGTGCTAACTGGTGAGGTAACTTGGTGGTAACGAGATTGTCGTTAGTGTTCGTGACTTCTACTGTCTTCGTGGCAATCATCATAGAAGCAAGACTAGTCACAAGGGCAGCGTTACAATATCATAACAAGCAGCAACGAAATCCCCTGTCGCTACATCGGTCTTCTGCACTTTGCTGTATGTTTTCTCCTGTCTACCTAGCTTGCTCGTTCTGTGCTCATTACCTCGTTACAACTCGTTCGAATGGTGTTCGCCTTCTTTGATCGATCAACGGTGGCCGCTGCAGGCGTTTTCATCCGTCGTCGTGTACTCCGCCCTGCTTCCGCCCCTCAATGCGCATTTCCGGACTCCTCCAGCAGTAACAACGGGAGTGACTTTCTTTCCAACTATTCACAACAGCTATCAACAGCGGTAGTTCTGTTAGCGGTAGCAGTATTACGACGATCTCTGTCACAGCAATCATTACTTCGTCTGCTGCACGTACCGTGTGGTCTTCAGCAGTTTTCTGCTGAGGCAATGTCCATTTCCGACTTCTACCTGGGAACAAACAGTTGAGAGTGGAAGTCGAATACTGTAGACAGCAGGCGTACTATAGGTTCTTCGTCGTCGTTGTCGTCATTGCTTGTCGCTGGTCTATCCTTGATCCGCAGTTCTCTGTTGTTATGCTGTAAGTGGGAGTAACAAGGGATGATTTTAACTGCAGGGAGGCAAGTGAGAAGGTAAAAAGGAGACAACCTCTTGCTATCGGTACATTGTAAATTTCACACGACACCGACACAGTTGAAAGCGACAATCGTCAGTTGTTGAGGTAGTCTCCGGTGAATGTTTTCCCTTTAGGCGCTACATCGGCTATTGATTGGTGGTTGGTGGTTCTCGCAAAAGAACGAGGGGGACAGCAAGCTGACTGGGCCCCAAAATTAAACTTTTTATTCCACTAAATTCAGTTTGTCTCTAAGCTAGCCAGTACCTGTCTGCCTGCTGTTCACTGTCGAAATGAGAAGCCATCTGATTGTTAAACTGACGACTTGAGTTTGGGAAAAAAAAAGCGAAAAAAAATGGCTAATCGGTCCTGGCATCGCTAAGGAAAGTTATCCACGGAGCAGGTGCGTCGTCGATTTGCTTAAAACTGAACGATGAAGCCGAGTTTGGTTAATTAAAGAATTAAAGGGTCATACGTGCCCGTGTATACGAAGATAGCGTTCCGCAAATGTCTTGCCGCGCAGTTAGCCAGTACTCACCCAAAGTCTGTTGGTGAATGTTGTCGGTGCAGGATGTTATTAATACAGGCGGTGACAAGTGTATAGGAACACCGTACTAGAAATAAACACATACCAAACGACAACAAAGAAGGGATTTTAACCAGAGCTGTAGCAGCGAAAACAACGCCATAATCTGTAAAGATGATGCGAACGGCGACTCTGAGACTGAAACAGGACTACCTTCGATTGGCTAAAGAGCCAATTCCGTACGTGTGCACAATACCCGTACCGGATAACATTCTCGAGTGGTAAGTTAATAAAAAGAGATACAATTGATTAATTTTGATGCGTACTTAGGCAAAGTGGCGATTCAATCTTTGGTCTCAGTTTGGCACCGTAATTCCATAGAAATGGGGTACGAAAGTACTGGCATCTTAAATCCTCACAGCTTCCGTCACATTTTAAAGATATTTCAGTAACAAAATCTTATTTGGGTGCAAATTTTTATCTAGAGACGCTTCAATAGAAGATGGTACAGTGGACTAGTCTGCCAAATTTAAATTAGCCACAGAATAATAATTAAGAATACGCAAGCAACGAGGTATATATATAATATTGAAATTCTATGCTCAACTAAAAATATACCCTGATGATTAATATAACGTTGCTTTTTACTTGAAACACGGCTCAAAGGGCGTTATGCGCCTGAGCGTGGTCTACAGTATATGACGTAAACGCCGTATGTTATGACATCTAGATAAACAAGCGTGCGAGCTTACGAAGTAAGTCCACATCGAACAATTCGCTTGCGAAGTCGTTATCTAGGGAATGTGATGGAGTGACTGTCTCTGACTGGATCCGTCATAACCATTTAATAATAGCATGCAACAAGTTTTTATTGCATGTTAGATCCACGTGTCTTTTGTTATTGGATTCACATAAGATTTGTTGTGAATGCCATGAGCTGTTTTGTCTCTAGCGGATTGCGGCTCTATTATAAAATTCTTACGTATTTTTCATGGATCCGTTGTTGTTTATTGGGGTTATACTTCTTTAGCATATACTAACCGGCTTCCAAGAGTATAGCTAATAACGAACTAACATTTTTTACATATATAATGTTCATTGCATGTTTCAATACGGCGAATTCCTGTCTCTAGTGCGTTCTAGTAAGCGTCCATGTTTGTGATTTTTACTTAAGGCAAATAATCTTTTTATGTCTGTTATAAAATGTTATCGCAGAACACGCAGTTGATGCTAATTACAGTGCTACTGACTCACAAGACAATCTACGACTTTCTTTGATTTTGTTTTGTTTGTTTGCAAGAAAACTGGATTAGTTTTAATCTGCTATACGTGGTTCTATTTCCAGGCATTATGTGGTTATTGGTACTCCTGATACGCCGTACCAAGGTAAGACTTCAGAATACTGTTTGCTACCTAAGTTAGTTTGATCGTAAAAGATACACTCTCATATTTCATTTGAACTTCAGGTGGTTTTTATCATGGGAAGTTGGTCTTTCCTCAGGAGTTTCCGTTTAAACCGCCTTCCATCTACATGAGCACACCAAATGGACGGTTCGTAGAACAAACAGAATGTTACATTTTAGTGTCCTTGGTTAGTTTTCCAGAGTAAAGGTTACAAAATGCATCTTTGTTGTTGTTAGGATACACTTTTATTTTTACGATACACTTTTGCGATACACGATAGCTTTTGGAGGATGCGGAACTTCAATAAAGGATAACGAAATTATTACCAATGCATTGAATGAGTAAATTATTAAATAATAAAAATATTAATTGGATTATTATTTGTATCAATAATAAAGGTCAATTAAAGGAAGGTACAAGAACGGCTGTCCACAAATTGTCTTGACGCTTTTTATGTTCTTTCATTCAGTTATGTTTAAATACCGCTATCGCGATGTATGAGCTTGTAGGGATTTTGATAAAATCAACATGTGGATAAACGGATCAGTAAATTGGTGCAATTATGAACAGAAAACGTAAGAACATCCTAAGGAATTTGGGAATTCCTAAGGAACGTTTATCAATATAATCAATATTCTGAATAATCTTTTCTGCCATCTCATCTGATTGCGATGTACGAAACTTTAGATTCAAGACGAACACCCGACTGTGCCTTTCAATTAGTGACTTTCATCCAGAAACGTGGAACCCCACGTGGAGCGCCGGTCCCATCCTTCTGGGTCTTCAAAGCTTCATGTGCGAAAATACCCCAACTCTTGGCTCGGTTGAATCCAGCGATCATGAGAAACGATTGTTAGCGGAACAGAGTATCGAGTTCAATCTTAGGGACAGACAATTTTGTGAACTCTTCCCGAAACTTGCCGAGGTACGAAACAAACGTTCGATCACAGAATCTATTAAAAAAAAAATATCATGATGGTTTCTTTCTCAAATTTTTGTAACGTTGACTTAATATTTCACCCTATATACCTATACTTTTTTTTTGAACAAACCCATCCAAAATTGTCATAGTGGACATGTGTTCATTCGATTCTCGATTGGTATTAGAAATTCCAGAACAAAATAGCGCTCTTGGGATCTAAGCGAAAATCACCTATTATATAATGCTTCATGCGAAGCGAACCCCCTACTGTAATTCTTTAATTCTTGTCCTTAAAAAACTATGTTGTTGCCGGTTTTTGGTCGGCTTCTGGATGATCCGACGAAGGAAAGTCAAACCAAAAATTCTTACTAGGCTTTAAAATTTATCAAAATAATGTAGAAGCCATATTTGATGTACATGGATTTTTCATATATGAATTCAGAACCGTTCTAATCTTCAAAAGTTTTCAAAAAGCTTTCTGCTCCTTTTTGCATATTAAGCGCTTGCATTTTTTTCACCTGCTATCAGCGCCAAATTCAACTCTCTCTAGCTGTATGTAAAGTGTTTTTGCATTTTAGCAAATTATAGCAATATTGCCTGGCGCAAGCTTTATTATAATAAGCTTGTTAGCGGATCATGAGAGGAATATTTTAAAATTTCAGTACGCAATATAGCTCTCAAAATAAAACTATGCAATCATGGTAAATAATATTTAGTATGTATAATGGCATATAGTAATATATAAGGACTCAATATGGAGTGAACATGATAATCGGCAATTGCATTCTTAATACATGCAAAACGTCTTAGGAATAATTTATAAGAAAACATCGACACTTGTCTCCCACTCTGTAAAATACGATATAAGCGAGATGCTGTTTACTTTTAGCTAATACATATTTCCAAAATCGGCCTATAAAATCATTTTGTGAAAACGTGGCTAAGCATTAAAACCTCACAGGAGATTGTTTTTGATTTGCCCGTTACATTAGTTATCACTTTGCCGTTTGTCTTCTGTGGAAAATTTTATTTACAAATTTTATAGATATAAAACTTATATCTATAAGTTTTATATCTCCATATATATATATATCTATAAGTCGTGTAGGCTTTCTATTGTAGATGAAGTTTATTTCTTATGTTCGTGAATACTGACTCACCGGTAAATATGCGACCGTGCTAAATCCTCAGGAGTGCCGCGATATTCTAAAAAATCGTGAAACAGAACGGAGACAATTAGAGGCACTCGTTCCACCAGCTATTGCGTCCGGCGTTAATCAGGTGAGACTTTTAAACAGTTATATGCAAACTCGTATTAGTTCCACTACTATTAACAGGTTTGTGCTAACTACTTGTATTTACAGAGGTAGAGATCATTGCAAGATGTTGAAACCAACAGGGTCATCAAACACCCATGTTACCTTCTCGCTAAGAAGGCATATTTAATGTTCTTGGAAGTCTCGAACTATGTACTCAGTAATTCTCACCATGATAACGGTTTTAGCTAAACTCCATATAAAAATTGCAACATAATGCTCATCAATGTTTTAAGTGGTACTTGCCCAAATGTATTCAAAACGATTTTCTAATCGTTTTTATATGCGTTTTTGCGTTCCAAATGACCTTCGCGACCAAATGCTAGCAAAGGATTCTCCACATTATCAACAAAAAATAACCGAGGCTTACTTAGAAGCAATCGGAAAGTCAAAAGTGAACCCGTTCAAAGCTGACTTCTGATAGTAGGGAAATCAAACCGAAGGTGACAAAAGCGCCGTAAACTGTAACTGAAAAACATCCTGACATCTCCTCATGAAAAGCGCAGCACAAGTTTGTGAAAGCAGATGTAGGTATCTTGTGCGACTGCTATGCGATAGTTGAATTTTTTAGGTTCTATATGATCGAACTTAAAACTAGCAGTATTCGTCACGCCAAACTTTAGATTCTGGCGTATAAATAGTGCTTACCTCAAAATTCGTTATCTGGTTAAAATCGCCTTATTAAAATCGTTATTTACTTCGAAAATTCACCGTGTTCATGCCTGGCTCATTGCTAGGAAAGCTTCAATGTCTAATGGACATAAACTCGTAGCGTATTTCATATCCTTTCCTTCAAACCACATGGACGTTTACCTTCATGAGACCGCCTGCGACACACTAACTTCATTCTATTGGTCTCCTGTTGGGGTCGACCATCGAATATTCTTTTAAGGGATTCTTGTCGAGAGCTGGACAAAAGAAATCGCTATCTTACACTAGCCACTGACAGTTACAAATATTAGCGAACTCAGATTAATGACACAGAAGTAGACAATTTCGGCCATTATAATAGCCTTTCGATTCCGATTGCAGAATGGCACCGATTTCATCAATTCAAGTCGAAGTGAGTGACGCAAGGAGCGCGCGTGAGAAAGCTTAAAGGCGAGAGGTATGCCTGTGCCCGAGCGGATGGATGAATGAATGTTGTATGGCTGAGTGACCAATTCAGTATATATACGCTCCGGACAGCTCCTCTTCGACTTTCTTCTTTGTTCGTTTCGCGATCAGCGCTGAACTTTAGCGAAAAACATTTTACTCGAACATAGTCAAAGAACGGTGTGCTCAGTGTCAGGGAAGGCGAGGCAGGGGTGGAAGGTATCAGTGATCAACTTTGTCTCAACTCAATCAAATATCTATTTCTGCTTCTGTTTGTACCTAATCGTAAAAGATCTGCGAGACTTTGTAAGAAGTCAGTTGGCGGGCGGTCACGGAGGATCGCGTCGATTTCCAATATATGTGCAGAAAGAAGCTGTGTTTGCATTTAAACTACGTATTTTACTCATCGGTACGATATCAGACTGCTCTTTTAGATTAGAGGACATTCGTCTCTATCGGTTATACTTTATTTTATGATAATAACGTTGACCTCAAACGGTAACCTTAAACCTTTGCAAAGCTGAGGGGAGTCATGTCGGTTATTGCTGTAACTATTCCCTTCGCTTTCCATTGTCCTCGGTCATATTCTGATTCACTGAAAAGTGCAGACAATTTTTTACGAAGAAAGCAATCGTGCGACGATTTTGCCACAGTTGAGGAATTAAGAAAGAATGTAATTTGTCTTTTTTTTTTTTTAAGTATCCTTAATTTTACAGCTCGTCATTAACGAATTTATAATGACGATGTATGGTAAACACTAACAAGTTTCCTGTCTCCGATGCAGTAAGCAAATCTTCTGCTACGTACTTTGTGTGCGTTTTAACTCTAAATTTTTTTGTCCTTCAATCACAAATGTCCCGTACCTCTTAGGAGCGAAATCAGAGACTCATGAAGCGCAGGTCGTGTAGCGGTTTTATAATTACTGGACATTATTAACCGTTTTTTTTATTGTGGCTTATGTTTTTTGGGGGCCGCCGTTTGGCCTCTTTTGGCCTTGTTACAGATGCAGTCTTCGTTAGCCGCCGCTCTGACGAATCTGTGCGTTGTCGTTGGCTTCGCGGCTTTCGCGTTTGTTGTTAAATACGTGATTACGCTGAGCGGAAGCGACCAAGAGCATCCGTGATGACTGGCAACGGATGGAACCTAGCGCCACTTCTACGTTACCTTTTATTCATGTCAACAACAACAACGACAATACATGACCAACAAAACGACAAACAGCGAGACCAATAAAGATATTTATGTTGAAGAGAACAACAACAATGACAACAGATTCAAGAAATAAAAAGCCAGGTCGTCGAAGGATTAAAGATGGAAAAATACACTGACTGAAGACAGCAACTACCTTATAACCCATAATTCAAGATAGAACTGATCAGGTATGCAGGCGCCAATGGTCATGTTTTCGTTTAAACGAGTCAATTTTTGAGTGAAACGGAAACAAAGTTTGCACCTATGATTGTCCAGTGCACGGTGTTGAAAGCATGATAGCCTTGCAAGGGGCTGTCGAAGGTAACTTTGCCAATGCGCACTGATGCACGAAATACGCGAGCCTGCTCTCAAGAAGAGTGAATAGGTGGCCAATGCAGGTTCACATATAAATGTTGATATTGGTATGGTGATTTATCAACGTGAAGAACCAATGGAAAAAGCAGTCAACAGTAGTCAACTAAGGCACCAGTGTGATTGGTTCGTTTTCTGGTGTAAACTTTGATATATTGTTTTGTAAAAACATTCAGGAATGCCGCCACTGTTGCATGAAGGATACTCTGCCTTAACGAGGAGCGATTAGGCAGATTATTATTTTTATGGGCTAAACGGTATTTAATGATGCTGAATACGATCATGATGGTGATTGATGTCAGTGCTCTTGAGGTAAACTACGCGTAGCTCTGAATATGCGAGCGAGTAAATACCTCTTTGTCGCGGGTAAAGTGATTTCTGGGCATAATGTAGCGATTCTACTATCTTCTCATGATATGATGTAAAACTAAGTGCAGGAAAATGCTGGCTGTGTCTACCTCAGAAGAAATGAAGAGGCGAGCCGATGATATCAGCATGTGTGTAAAAATTCCAGGGTACATGTAAAAAGCTAAGAATGAATAAACTGAAATAAGGAAACAATAAGAAAAATAGTAAAAGATTGATAGTGAAAATTAGCACAGGACAGTGTGACAGCATAAATGTGGTAGAATGGGCCTATAGATGGCGTGCCAAAACATGTGTTCGAGCAGCATAAGCGGTGTAAAATTTCGGATAGGGAATTTGTAAACGCAACCTGAAGTTGTTTTATCCCTTAGCAAGTGATCCTTATTGAAAAGAATAGGCATGAAGGACATCAATTGAAGGTAACTATTGTTGACATTAGAAGAAAATTCGCGTTATCTAACAAAATCGCACTGTACGCCGACATGAACGGAAAGAGGTATCTATTGTTATAGCTTCTATTGATCTAAAGAAAGTCGATGAGTTCATCGTCGCCTGCCAATTTGCAGACGGCCTTCCATCAAGTATAATCTAATGTGATTACAATTCTACACCGAATGCGCTGAGATCAGTTGCGCTTTGTAGCTTCCAGCTTATTTGGTAGAACTGGACCGTCGATATAGAATTTAAACAGAAGCAATCACAACAAAACACATGCATAAAATATATTACCAATAGGGCAAGTTTCGGGGGTGTGCCTGCTGGCGAAGTATAGAGTGAACTGCAATGGGAATGTAAGTTACCAAAACGGTGAACTGTGACCTATATGATATAATGATTACCCGTCCTTTAAAAGAAGGCGTTTCGGTGAGAAACTGTTGAGGGCTTGGCGATACACAGGCCGTGAGTATGATTTTGCTTTGAAAAATAGTTCTATGTAGATTACTGAAAATCAAGTGCGAATTTAAATTGTTTATGTATTGCCCTAACAACGAAATGGAGGTTTGAGGACTTATAAAAAGTATTTATTTTATGCTTTGAGAAATAATGATAATAATTGATAAAAATATGCATATTAATCAAAATGTTTTTTCTAATAGTGAGAATAGTAGTGTCATCTATACCATTATTGTAATTATCTTGTTGGTCTACTTTGTACAGGTACATAGTTAATGGGCCTACAGATTATATTCCATTGAAGATGTACCTGAACTAAGACTGTCATTTTAATTACCGGAAATGTACAGAGACGCTATTAGTTTTAGTTAGTCTAGGAGAAGGATTGCGTTGTAGACAACTTTCAGTTAAAATTTCGGCAATCCTTTTGAGTGAAGTACAAAATAAAAAATTAGTAGCCTTCATTTATAAACGGTGTTTAACGAAGGGTGCAACAGTAGGCGGTGCTTAACTAAATCAAGGCAAAAGTATAGATAATTAGTGATGGCAGCGATAGATAATTAGCCATTTAGAAGCGGCAAGGCAACATTATTCGCAGGAAGTCAACTGAACGAGGACGAATTCAACTGAATTTTGATTTAATGAAAAAAGTGTAATGTCTTAGAGCGTTTTGATTCGACAAAAGCCAAGGTTTTTTCACGAGAAGTGTGTTGCACTCGATAATATTTACTACTCGTCATGTTTGAGCGAGAAACACAATAGATATCTGTGTAAGAGGGAAAGCTCAAAGAGAAAGAAAAACAAACCAGCTTTGATTGTAATTCAGATAACCTTACAATTGCTAAAAGTCAAAGTTCATGTATGGTACTGTTACTAAAGAGATCGAAATCCTAAGTCGTTCAATATTAACCTTAGTTCATGTATGGTACTGTTACTAAAGAGATCGAAATCCTAAGTCGTTCAATATTAACCTTAAATGCTCCGTAACATGTTCGGACAGGCGTCGCAGCTATTGCTGCCATTGGCATCACGCATGTTTGCTATGGTAGCGGCCAAAATTTAGGATCCATCGTTGTTTGTTGTATTGTAGTTGATCAGCCGCAACAGTTCGGGAATCAAGAAGGTCTAAGAAATAGGCTAAAGAAAGTAATCCAGTTATAAAAAGGTCAGACAAATTCGAACGGTAAAAATAGCTATCGCATCTATTTTTATAATGCGCATGAAATGTTTCGTATTAATTATCTATAACGGAACCACTATTGCATCTAGTGGATCTCTGTTTTAGCGATCAGTAGTTGTTTTCATATCTCGGGAGAGATATTTCGCAAAAAAGAAAATATGGGCAACATTTAAAGCCCACATGCAATGACAAAATGACAATTTTGGTTTTGCTGAGCAATAGGCAACTAAAAAAAAAGCAACTGCTTTGGAGATGCCAGGAAAACTTATTTAAGGCATAACGGGGCTAATTTTGGTTGTCGTTTACTGGACTGATTTTTCAGAGAATACTCAGAGAATATTTCAGAGAATAGTGTTTGTTGCCTGGCATTGTTCTGATGGGAAACGATGCCTTCCCTCTGTACTAATTTTGGTCGACTTTTCTTAATAGCGTATTGTAAGCAGATAGTAGAGGTCCGAATAATCTTTTTGCCAAACGATAGTAACTCAAAATGCTATTTTTAATGCCCTTTCTAATTTCATCAAACCTATCTCTTTTTTGAGGACCGTCTGGGCTTGGCCACAGATTATGGAGCTATATTGTTTTTTTTTGTAAATTTTTATCGTTTGTGAAATTTTCACCACTCGTAGTCATTGAGTTCGTTGCGTTTCTATGAAGTTGTGTAAATGAACATATGGTTGATGACCGATGAACTAAATACTTTTACGTCAATTCGTGTGATACCTAAATACCGAGCCTTTTTTGTAGCCTGCATTCCTCAAATGGTTTAACGCTTTCAGAATATTTAGTTAATTAACGATGTAGTGGTTACTAACGTATCGGCCTTGCTCTATTCTCGAAATAATCTCATCAACTTTTTCTAATTGGTCGACCTCCATAAGAGACACTTTTTTTCGTTGCAATTTTGATAAGGAACCCGACAGAGCCATCTTTGATAACGCATCTTTTATTCATCTAGGAGACACTTTACCTCAAGTACAAAGAAAAGGTATCCGAACAGCTTAAACACACTTACTGTCAAATCCCGCCTTTCAACTGAGTCTAACGTCGACTCATTGTGAACATCTGTAGACTGCAGTACTTTTTCGACAACCCAATGTAGAATGCTGGTACAAGCAAATCCAATGGACGTTAAAGTTGAATAACTTTAAGTTATGCGCTGCGAACCGACAGCACTCGGCTGGTAGATACTCCTTCTACAAACTTGTAAATGAAAATCGATTGAACTTACTTTTGGAGAAACTGGTTCAAAAGAAAAAATTCTTTTAATCTTAAGAATTAATGCACAATGATAAAATTTTTGTTTCCCAAAAATCACAGCAATACGAAAATTCGCCAAATATTGTTGAAGACATCAGGCAAGAAAATCATAAGCGAAAGCACAGTACGTAAATGGCGCAAACGTTTCCAAAACAGGGATCAAAGTGTTGAAGAGCACCAAGGGGATAACCAGATATCAAGATATGAACGACGAGGACGCATGGTCGCGATGCAGGGGGATTTCTACGAAAGTAAAAATTGAAGTTTCAGCGCTCTCTCGGCTGAAACTGGCATTTCACATATAATATGTTGTAGGATTGTAACCTGAATACTGAAAACGCGGAAACGAGTCCTTCAATGGACCGCTGATACGGCAATCTAAAGTGCGCAACCTGGTTACTTGACGACAACGTCAAGTGCCATCGCTATTTCTTGGTTATACCCTTGGATTGAAAAAAAAAAACTTGCAAACTTTCCCAATCTAGATCCGTGTAACTACCGGGTATTCCATGTTCTAAAAAAGGCAACCGATGGGCAAGCGCACTCCATTATCGAATCACTTTGATAAGCCTTAGATAGAGAAATTACGTATGAAAATACGAGTGGTAGGGATATCACTGTCCAAAAGCTGTCAAGATACCGGGACATGTGTGCAGAAAAAATTAAAAAGGGCACCTCTAACACGTCTTGAGGTATCATGGTTTCAGCCCTGCTAGCTTAAAAATTACTTGATTTCAAATTCTGCCGCATCCACTTTTAACTGCCTATATGTATATATTTTTTTTTAATTTTGAGTGTGCTTGAAAAATATAAATATCTAGACACCAGATATGAATGGTAAGGCGGCGCTACGTCAGTGAAAAGTTAATATGATAGGAACTCCTTTTTACGTTGTGATGTATACCTTAACGGCATTTAGAGTAGATAAAATTTACCTAAAAAATTTTCAGAGTACCATGTTTTTCAGCGCGAAAAGAAGCCACCTACCTTTTTATATTCTTTTGAGATGTACCTAATATCGTGAAATATATTCGTTACCTATATAACGAGTTGTAGCAGAGAAAAAACGCGGGTTTGCAACTATAATTCCAAGACCCAAGAACGCGCCATTTATTTACGAGAAACAATTACATATTACAGTATTTGCCGCCCACACCTTACATTCAAGTAATTTTTGATTCAATATTATTCATTAACATTAATAGTAGCGTTGTTGTTATTAGCTATTGTTAACTTTTGTTGAAGTCATTATTAACATTCAGACAGTGTATTTTAATGGCTTGTCAATAGCAGAAAAGGTGGAAAACGGGAAATAATAGTACATTGCAGCAAGCAAGAGCTAAACGAGGCGATAGGCATCGGGCACACGGATGGCGCGGACATGCTTGTGGACCCGACATCGTCCTTGTGGATATGTCGACCACCAAAACAAAACAAAGGTATATATATATATATATATATATATATATATATATATATATAATTTATGAGCTAGTTATATTGTGAAAATATAATGTACAATCTCTAAGCGCGTCGCACAAATAGGCGAGGGTTTGAAAGGAACCCGGCTAGTGGTGTAGCGCAATTCTGTTGCCCCCAAAAAAAACCTGCCACAACTGTTATCCTCCTAACTCCTTTCGATGAGTCAAGTCGTTACGAAATCGATCCTCACCGAAATGTCAGCTCCTACTGCGTAATGAATGGAGAACGTTATTCCCTATTATATGATTCTCCACTGCAAAAACTGCAAGTGAGAACTGACTGCATCCCATACAATACATCAAAAAACCTATTAATGATGACAAAATAAAACAGAAAAGAAGATTTCAGATTTCCTTGATCGACGATAAGACTTCTGTTCATGTACGCAAGTATCTAAATTCGTTCCCCAGGGCATGCTCGACAGCAGGCGAGGTTATGGACGTCGACTTGGTGGCACGCATTAATTTAAGCTCAATTATCGATCACACCCGTTTTAGTCATTACAGTATTGGCAGTTCGTAGTCTACTTAACAGAGGTCTCGGAAACGCAAAAGGTCGAAAGACGTATCAATAACTCGATATAATCTCGCTATGCTAAGTCCTACTCGAACGGACTGCAAGCAGAAAGATCGAGTGTTTTTTGTTGGAACTGTTTACTAGAAGAAGATAGTAAAAAGTAAGATGTCCTGTATAGCGTTGAGAGTTGATACGGGCACAACGGGATCAAGGCAAACAGCTAGACAATTAATAGTTTTCATAACTGTAAATAAAAACTAAATTTAGCCATCGCCTGATCAAGCACGCTATTTATCTTGTCATTCGAGTTGTTCTAGCCGCGCCTTCCTTTGTCGATCTCGACGATCTGAAATACGAATCGGTAAGATTATAAAGACTCAACGAAGTCCTTGTCAATCAAGTTAAACCGAGTAAGTTAAATTTTGATGTAAACCAAATTCACGAAAAGCTTTTCGACTCTACCTCTTCTTCAGGAAAGAACTAGCATCATCGTCGACCGATTATAGGAATGCGCCCGAACAAGTCTCATTTCCTAACCGTTTAGGCCATTCCAAATGTCAGATACAATTCATCCAATCACATTCCTGTGGTAAGGCGTCTAATTATGAAATTTTCTCGGATGCTTCATTGCGTAGTTCACTAAAAAGCAATCAGTGCGTTTTGCTGTACAAGTGCCAATGGATAGGAAGAGCTCGATCCTCCTGTTGAAATAAGGATACTCAAACTGTTCCATTGTTTGCAAATGGGAGTGTCGTGCACCTAAATATATCATCAAAAGAGGACGTTTGTTTTTTCGCGCTTCGCAGATGCATTTTGATGGTGATCGATCGGGAGACACGATCGATGAGTAAACCGTTATCCAAGTGACTGCGTCCTCTTGAACAGGGCAAGTATCGGCCTAAGCCGAACGAATATTTGCTGGTCTTAAAGACTTTCTTCTGTCAATTTTGTGCAAAAGAAATAGATGAAGTTCGCTTAAAAGTTATACTACGCGCTTCTTGTCGATATATAGATACCTATAAAAAGTATGCTATATATATAGGCGTAACGCTCATTTTTGCGTTGCATGTCATATATGTGAGCATTATCAAGAAGGGCTTTTATGGCAGGAGACTTATAAACATGATCACCTTGAAATGCTATAACATCACTTGTTATAGCTATCGCATTTTGCAGTGTGCGCATCTTTTAATAGATGCGATGTCCTCCGTACGAATGTGGTTCGGCAACACTGAACCGGCTGCCATGGCGCGCGTGTGAGTGGCCATGGCCCCGGGATCTATCGAGGGGGTTAATGAAAAATTTGGCAAGTGGATTACCATTTCCGCGGTAATCGTGCAAGCTGCCACCTGGACTATCTGTGGCTAACGACTGTCGTCTCATATCCGATCCCCGGAGACCTGGGCCCATCACCATTTCATCTACGTGACTACCGCATCTGTAACAAGTGATAAGATATTAAAATTCACTCGAGATCCATATATGTATGAAGGAAAACTTCGAATGGTAAGAACGTGGTAAGTAATGATACGGGCAAAAGTGGCCATCCCTAATAGCTAAAGACCGCAATAACGACGATATTTATATTTTGCACTGTGTAAGTTCAAAACTAAAAGCCCGGAAAGAAATGTGATTCAGTAAAAACCGCACTCTCCACGTGACAGCTTCGTTGGACGTACGTATTGTTATGCTATCGTTTACGTCTGAAGCAACAACAACTACAGCTTGGATGATGCATTGGTGGGCCGTGAAACTCACTGATTATGCAGACGAAACTTTTAAATCTGCGGTTATCTTTTGCTGAACATCAAACACGCATTGCTATGAAAGACAGTTCAAATAACTACACGTCAGTTTCCGGACAAACCTTTTGTTCGTATTAGCATTGTTTTGTGTTACCGGCGAGACAGGTCTCCGAGAGAAATAAGCCGATGCTCCAGTTGACGAGTGAAGACCACTTTTCCAGGGGTCACTCTGGGTGAGCCCTATAGAGTCCATTGGGGTCACGGGAAGCCGGCGAAGAACTGCTGGAGTCATTTGCAAAGACTCCCGACGCTCACCGGGACTAAGGGGTCGTCGTACGCCAGGTGGCACGGGCTCAATCATACTCTCTCGAAGTGGATGTTGATGAAATCTGTAAAAGAACGCAGGGATCGAAGGAAAAAGAGAAATGAAACAAGTAGATTGTTTACAATCGTTCTTTATCGTAAGAGGTATAGGAAACTGATATTATAAAGAATAATATAGGTATCTATCTCATTGAAAAAACGGAGCTGTGTGATGAAATTACTTGGATGATACTGTGACGAGCAGAGATAGGTGAAGAGTGGAATCAAATGTAATTTTTTTTTATCAGTAGTAGCCTGTGCAGTATAGCGGCACATCCTAACGAATTGGCTATGCTGCAAATGAAAACAATGCATTTTTAGTCAATAAACTGTGCTACAAAGTTTTATTGAACGAATACAGGTTTCTTAGAACCGTGGGTGAAACCATAAACGTTCGTTCTGATACGTTTTACAGAAAACTCATTATGGACGATTCGAAAGATCGCGTCACGCTCCCATGGCAGCGAGACGCGCCAGACAAATCACACGCAATAATCAGACCACAATATCTAAAAGTCCGAAGTGACGTCGAATACTTCTTGTTTGTTAGTAGTAAATTAATAGGCTTTATTGTGAAGCAATTCCATGCACGATGTCAGTGATATCGTTTGGCGCATAGGGTGAGATATAGGCGTTGGTACGTTTACTCCTAGGTGTCGAAGTTGGGATTTATGTTTATATTCTTCTGTGCACAGACTGATAAATTGCCTGGGTTTTTGATAAATAAATCTGTAAATTGGACATATTTACAAATAAAAAAAGGAAACTTCGAGAAGATCGTCGAAATTAACGTAAAAAATAAAAAATAAAGGCCGATCACTGTTGATTGAAATGAAAAGTGCAATGTTAGTTGAGTCAGTATTAGCTGGCTCCATACAAAGGCCACGCAGATCACGAGATGTTTAATAATGATCTAATGTTATAATTAATTGTAACGAAGTAAAGCAAACAAGGCACCACTACCGTAATCACTGTTATTGGACATCATATGTTTCAAAACACCTTTAATAGTAAAACCTAAAAGCACAAATGATAGGATCAATTTAGTCTGCTGCGTTTGTGTTTTTCAACTAGCACCTGCGTTACTGTCCGCGGCTTTTTGAGCCTTATACATTTGAGCTTTTATAGCAGATCACTATCTGAATTTTTGTATAATTTTCATATTTAATTACCTAAGCAATAGCCAGAATAGAACAACGATACCTTATCTATGCAAACAGCTGCACATTTAGCGTTATTTTAAGAACAGTTTAAGCTAATGCCGCTGAAACAGTAAAATGTACACGATTATTTTCTAGTTCGGTACCTTCGATTTTGAGTCCAGAGATAAACGAATATTTTTAAAGACGAATTGTTCATGGTGCAAATTAGGATACCTAAAAATTGAAAGTAGGTGATGAGACCATTTCTTGCTTAATCTTGGACAAAACTTTCAGCGAGACGTCATTACGTACTGGCTTTAGTTTTCAGAGAAATCGAAAAAATTCCTATTTTAGTTAGTCCGTCTTTTGTCAGGTCGCGCTAACTGGTTCTGTTGAGTTACAAAATGCCGATAGTTTGTAACCCGTCGCGCCTTCTGATTTGAACTACTGCATGTAACTAGACACGTGCTTTGATAGGCAGAACGAGGAGAAAGATGGCTAGAGAATACCTTGGTCAGGTGAAGCTGGTTTTGTTAACAGTGTCCGCGAGACAGATTTCTGCGAAATGTAGAAAGAGCTGTGTGCAAAATTATGGTTCGAATATAAATTACGGAACTTTTGGGTCCCTTCATCACACCTGCACGGGGGAGTCTTAATAATTTTAAGAAGTGCTGGTGTGTTCCGTCAATAAACAATGCCTAACGGCTTAAATACCGGACAAAAAATCGAAACACTAAATGCCCTGGTTCTTCAAGCCCTATGAGTCAAAGGACTCATTTGAAAATACGAGCAGTGGTTATAGAACGGCTAACATACTGTTTACCCCGTCGTTTAATCTGAGTATCATACAAGAACGTATAACTGGCTTTATGAAGGGAATTAGGTCAATTTTATGTAAATACCCTTTAGTCAATCCGGTTACGCAAGTATTCGCTTTTCTATGTGTATCTTATTTCTTGTATTACGAGCAGATGCCTCGATATTGTTCCGCACTATCCCTAAATATTCCATTTCGTTAAGATCTCCCTAACATCATTAAGTGCACTTTAAACAGGTTTGATGGACACCATTTGTATGATAAAAACTCGCAAACTTACATTTCATGCATGGCGAAACTTCTACAATGTAAGTCCTAAGTCCTTTACATCTCAACATCGCCAGTTTCTCATTTCTCAACGCAATTTGTTGCATAACCAGATGGACACCAAACAAATATATATAGGCGTATAACGACATATCAATGAATAGGTATCGTTGAGCAGTTCTTACATATACAAAAGGGCCTAACGATAGGGGCCTGTCTATTTAGCCTACATCGCCTAGACTGTTTTTGTTTCAGCAATCCGATCATGAAGCGTTCGCGAAATCGAGTCGAACGTATTGGCAAAATATGACAATTTAGCGCTTGCGAATTGTGGTTTCAATAGCCGCTTTTGTGGTCAACTGACTAACGCTCGTCAGCATGGTATCGGATGTCTGAATAGAGCTATAGAAGGCCAGATAGCCGAGTCAGGCCATCTGGCCTATTGAGATTTACTTTTAACCGGTAATAGCCATTATTATGCTAATGACAACAGCTGACGATGAAGCAGAGTAGCAGCCTCGGGGTGGCGTCAACAACGACTACATCAGATTTTAAAATACCCGCCTATAAAGGATCTAAATAAGCGAATTAATCGAAGAGGAAAACTCGACCAAAACTTTACATTGTACGCCGTTTATCTAGACGTATAATTTCATATACTGTCTTATTTACACTACGTATGAGAAGGCTTTTTTATGATTTTAGTTGGTCAAAGGTTCAGGCCATTATTTGAACGCTGACTAAATGTCTGTATATATGTATGTGTAGATGAAAGTGGTTGTATTTAAATTTTGGAAAAGTTCATCGTAGATATTATTGAAAAATATACAAATGAGATCGTATTTCTCTTCTTCTTCTTCTTTTACAGTACAAGAATACAGATGGCAGCACCCAGATGAAAAATATAATTTAAAATCTATGTTATAAACCAATTAAGATTTATTAACATATTGGCCAAATAAATAAAGCATAATATGATATAGAAACATATGCGTATGACTAACGGTTTACGGAATTTTTTTTCCAACTAGACGGATTTCAACCAGTTAGATAATATGGTTGACTTGTCTGGAGAAACCCAGTTGTGCGCATTTTCCTATCGCATTGGCATTACTTGGCACGAAAATCTTAACTGCTGACTAGATTCTTATTGGCGATACTGGCTACCTGCTTCGGATAGATAACCGCGACAATCAAAGGTAGCGGCGCTAGAATCGAGTGACAACGATGACAATAGCGATGCACCTTCGACGCATTTGCGGCTGCTGAGCCAGCACGCAAGCTTTTAGCCCTTCCAGGGTTCTTTCAGTTGGCATCGCGTTACTGCTGCATCATATGCAACCACCACAGCGCCTACCATTAGTGGTACAGTTATTCGCTTACTACGGGAGATAGCGATTTCTTGTTTTCGCTATAGAAAGAAAGAGAGCCATGGCAATAGAAACTGATTCTTCCACTAGATGCGTTCAGGTCCGCAAGCGAGGCTGCCATCGGCGACAACGGCAGGACCGGTCGGTTGTCGCGTACAGGAACGCTTACTATTGCCGCCGCTCGTCTGGGTACCGAATTCGTGGAGAACCGTTGCCGGCGCGGGTTATGGGGCACCAGGCCAGCAGCTCAGCAGGCTGGCCTCTTTCCATTCCGATTTCTCAGATCTGACCCGGCCGAATGTCCGAAAAAACCGACGAGAACCACTACGTTGCTGGCATCAGCAGCAGCAGCAACAGCTACGCCTGTGCGTCCGCCAGATCAAGTCCGTCGGAGTCAATGAGAAATGAATAGCCGGTCCGCATGCCAAATCAGGAAGCCGGAAGAAGGGCAGGCCTCGCGGCGCGAAAGAGAAACAAGCTACTGTGATAGTCAACGGCAGGTAGGAGAACCGGCACATCCAACAAAAAACAGACCGCAGAAAGACCACTTGGACCACTCTGGGCTCTAGACTCGTCCGCAGTAGTCTCGTTCGTTGAGGCAGGCTCCCTCAAAAGGCCAAAAGGACCACAAACAACATGCCGTTCGGACCAACACAGACGTTCAAATGTCCAAAATGCGCTAAGAATGTCTATGCGGCCGAAGAAATGTTGGCTGCAGGTGCCAAGTTCCACAAGTCGTGCTTCAAGTGTGGACTTTGCAATAAAAAGTAAGTCCACTATAAAATGGTGCCCTGAATGATATAAACAAAGTGGGAACACACGAATAATCTGTACGTATTATTCAAGCCGCAAAAAAGGATTTGTACTTGCTCGGAAAGTCTCCATTTTGCTGTTCTATTGCATAGTAGGTCTTACGAACCATCTGATATAGTTCAAAATGCCTTACAGACCCTTGAACTGGAGATGCTCGGTTTGTCGGCAAAAATCATGTCTCTAATTTATTCAAATTTGTTTTGCTTACCTTATAACTTAAGTAAATTTTTCCACTGAGGGTGAAATTGTTAAATGACTAAGCCGTTGAGTGAGACATTGTTGACTTTTCTCGCCAGGCTTGACTCCACGAACGTCGGGGATCATGGTGGGGACATCTTCTGTAAGCAGTGCTACGGCCGTAAGTTCGGACCCAAAGGCTACGGATTTGGCGGTGGTGCAGGAACGCTCTCAATGGATAAGGGTGAACATCTCGGAAACAAGGAAACTGCCATGGATAACAAGCCTTCCTCTTAGATAGTCTCGTAATCGGATCGCTGACCATCGTGTCCCCATGGGTAGAGTCATTTATGTGCGATGTGGAATTGGATCCCAAGTTTAAACAGGACGAAATACGTGTGTGTGATGTAGTCCTCAATAAGAAATGTTTGTTTAACATCACCTCCCACAAGAATCTCTCCAAAGCGTGACGAGCCTTTTGGTTAATACGAGAACAAAATTTTCACCCAGAAAACAACATCCTTTGGGAACCCACCGTTCTGAGACGCACTCTTTAATTTGTTGCAAGGGTAGAATTGCCTTGTCCATAACAGGTATATACTTGCATAAATACTTCTTATAAGAAGTACTTGATGGAGTAAAGAATAATTGCCCTGCAGCCAACGGAATAAATCGGAGTTGAACTATTTATTTAATAATAACAAACATTGATAAGTGTCCTATCTTGAAGGAACGGACTGAATAAATGATGTATTTTTCGTTACCCGCGCCAGGCGCAGATGTACGTGTTTTTTGTTAACTAGAAATACCAATGTACCACGTGTTTGGATAAACGATAGAGATAAGCTAGAAGCCGTGAAGAAAAATAATTAGCCTTTTTTTTTTGCCGTGTTACAGTATTATGTCTACGATATCGTATACTACTGCGTCCCAATCGGCTTCCTAATAAATTCAAATATTACAATCTACATTTTAAATGTTACATGAATGGCTGTATTTCGAGTAAGACTTCGAGTTTCACAAGATGAAACCGAAATCGTCATAAAAATTACGTTATTGAAATTCACTTGAGGCGTAACAAGACATAGCGTTATCATATGATGCTCTCGGTATATTACGCATATGGATACTGAAACAACTGAACCGCATAGGGGGGATGCTACCAGCTATACCAGAAGCTGCTAATAAGTCCGGCGTCGCATTATACTACAATTGTCTATGACGAACAAGCTCAAGAGGGCTGATTGAAATCTACCGTCTGCAATAAATACGGAACCGTTTTTCGTACTTGATCTGGTGGATACAGAATTATTGCTACCAGATCTCTGGAGAAGTTGCTAAAAAACGCGTAACAGACAAAAGCCATAGTTTCTATAATATACGTGTGCACCTGAGTGCAGTCTGCCGTGTGGCAAACTCAGCACCAACATATTTTGCTCGAAAAAAGGACCCGCATTGTATTCGAAAATATTTCAGACAGATCAGATAGCAATGAGAACAAGAGCCGTCATATTGGGGCTTTCTTTCTTGTGAGCTTGAGAGCCAACCACTCTGCTTCTTTCCTTTCTAACGAAGGACTGCTTCACTTAATTGCTAGAAGTCCTTGAATCAGCATTAGACGTGCCTAGTTTTGGCAGCATATAGGAACCGTTTCGTCAATAACTGCAGAATAAGCATGCAAAGTAAAAGTAACAATTATACAGGTACAAAAAAAATATTGCAGTCACACAGGCCAAGTTTTAGTTAACTTAACAGCTCTAATTTTTTGCTCACTGGCTATAGCGTTGGTGTCCTACAAAAAGGTGACGATGTGCATATATACTACTTTACACAGATGGTATTCTCGTATAGAATTCGCGTAGCTTGAGAACATTCGAGTCGCCAAATATATAAAGCCGGATAAACCTGCAACTTATATGATTTCCCTGATACGATTCTTAGGAGGGACACTTAAAAAGACGCCGTCTAGGTAGCTGGGTATGGATTGTTTGAAAACTGTTCTATCCAGAAATTTTGTGGATCGATACATGTCGCTTATTTGCTTTTGAACCAATGATGAAGCCTTGCAGCATTGACTGAATTGTATCCATCCAAGTTATACGAACAGCGGAAAAACATATGGTGTTACTCGTTTGAACTTGGAACTGCATTATCGAATAACGAAAAAACGTGCTAATTTTCATTTGCCGGCCACAAAAATGAGGTCTAGGGGATGGAAATATTATGGGACTTTAGACGAAGCCTTAGTTCCAGGCCCGACAACGTTCGAATGGACTTTTCTTGAGGTTTCAACTGTCACCGATGTGATGCCATGGCCAGAACACGATGTGAAATAGGCTCCCTCTGTCAACTTACCCCTTAACCGATAAAGAAGTTTTTCGAGCATCTTATGCGTTTACATCATAAAGATGATTTAAGCTTCGATAGCGAGTGCTCGTTGGATATGTGTTAATGAACTGGACGCTCTGACGCCGCAAGAACCCTGGAAACAATGAAGTCATAGACGAATTACTCCGTCTGTCTGATTTGTTCAACTTACCCAAATCGTGGAGGAGGCTGGGCAAGAGGAATGTCTCTTCTTTGGGGGTTCACCCCCATTGGAAACGATATAGGCCTTTCATGGGGTGCGAGCTGTCTGGGCGAGGGCAAACTTAAAGCGTTGCTTCCTTTAACCTTATTGACCACATCCGTTGATGAGGCATCGCCGCCGGACGGAAGCTGCGGGTGCGCCAGGCAGTAGTTACTGAGCGAGCGTCGAGTTGGTGGGCACTGTTTTCCGAACAAAGTTAAGGGTAGGTTACCCGACGAAAAAAGGTCATTCGTGGACCTATGCAATTGTTGTCGGCCTTCAGAAGATGCTTTTATGCGCGCCTGATGCTGGAGTAAAGTTGTAGAAAAGGTATACGGGGAAAAGCATCAATAATATGATCAGTTTGTAGTCAAATCCACTTTAGTTTATATGTTGAAACTATAATGTATTCAAGTTCTCAATAAATCAAATTAACCTAACGTAGACTACAATTTGAGCGTCGAACTTACTCCGGACACTTCTCCCATATGAAAGTGCTCAAGGCGCTGGTGCAGGAAATCCATTGATCGGTGTTGCTGTAGCGAAGAAATTGGAGGACGTTGCCTGTTGTGGCCACCTCGGACGTCTATAGCTTCCTTATTGAGACGATGTGCAGGTCTTAAACAAGATGTTGAATTTGAAGGATTAGGACGAAAACTAGAAGGGCTTCAGCATTGCAAGGTTCTCGTGTGACAAGTACTGTACATTAGATTTTACCTATCCATCGGAAGCTGCTAGAGAAGCAAATTAAAGTTAAAGCAAGTGGCTACCTAGCAATCTGCACCTACCTGTAGTTCCATTCATCGTCAGAACTGGTGACTGTGTCGTTCAATGGAGTCTCTCCTACCTTCCTAACGTCTCGATCAGCCAAACCAGCATCTGCAGTTCCTCTTCTTGCGTCTTTTGGAGTTGAGTCCAAAGACCCTACTGGTATGACTGTCCCAGAAGTCAGCGGTATATCGGTTCCCGCTAACATTTCGTCCGATCCGATCCCTGAACTTTTGCCTAGAATCGAAGGCAAAAGATAATAAAATAGAAAATACTACTTGTTTATATTCGTACTCTATATCTATATAATACGGTATTTTCAACATTCACGTTGATTAATCATTGAACGTTACGTTCCCGGTAGAGTGCTGTATAAGGTAATTTATAACAAGCCAGGGTAGCGCGAAATGCTTTTTTCGAAATATTGATTTGGTCGTTAATTTTAACGTTTATAAGAAATAAGTAAAGCGTTTTCCCATTAATTTCAGTTTGCGTTAATTTCGTCGCTCTCCAAACTCAATAGTACCATATAGAGGCAAACAGGGAAAATTAGGTCAACGGTATTGTAGAAGGCAGTCGGTGCTACAGAAAAATATACCAGTATAATCGCCAAAATTCCACATTATGTTGCCAAAAGAATTGCGAGAAGATATCGATTGAAGACACGTATGTCATCGGCAAGAGGATCCTAGATGATGGGCTATATGATCCAGAAGTGATGCTATGTGGGCCAGCATCTGAAGCAATTAACCATTCTACGAAGTGAACGCTTCTTCCAGAGAGGCTATGATTGCTACTAAATAAATCGACCCCCTTATAGTCATTTTCTGCCAAGTTAAACAGGTTAAAGGATGTGATTTATTACCTACTATAGGTCCATATGAAGTTCCGTTGCACAATACAAAGCTGGCTTTTAAATGACTTAGCTATTGGAAGATCCGTAAGTTCCATTTTCCGAACAAAAGAAGAACTCGAGCTAATTCAGGTTATTCGTAAATAATTATCTATGATTTGTGATGATAATTATTCCTGATATGGTGCTAATGTTGAGACTATTGTTTAATGCAACTTACCTGTCACGTCAATTAGGTCGTCAACATTCTTCTCAAATGCGACCGCATCTCTCATGTTGCTAGAGGCAATAGCACGTAATATTAATTTGATTAGACCTATTTCTGTTTGACTGTTGTATCGCACTCTTCAAAAGGTGTCCATTTAAGTCTTTAGAGTTTTCTATGAAGGTGGCGTCGGTGGCGTCCGACGGTTTGCGTATTATAGACGCCGGGGTAATCATCCAACATAACTTATTGTAATGGCATACAAAACGGAACTTGCTTTCCATTTGTCTGTCGAATGTGTAACTTCGGCATAGGCAATTTACCGATAAAAAAAACGAGCTGCTTATTTTGCTTGTTTATCGTTCAACAACAATTCAATGGAATGCGAAACCAATATGCCCAGTTGCCCTATTTAGTCCCACACTTTGGAATTTCGTTAACGAAGAAAATCTGTAGTAATGTAAGAAAAAAAAACATTGAAAGATTGACAGTATAGAAATATAAATCAAGCTTGGTAGAAAAGCAAAATTATTGATAGTTATAAAAATTAATTAGACGTATCCATGTTTCCGCTGTAATGTCGGTGAATAAAGGACGCAGGTCCTTCTCTAACTGATAATTGTTTCCTTGTCTCTCTTATTAAAAGTTCTTATATTTTAGAACATTCTAGGATGCATTGAAAGGGCTGCCGAGTAGTAGTCGGTCGTATATCTATCTTGGATAAATAATATTCTGTTGCCAATAGTTAATGAAATTAACTGGTGATGGTAGCGGTGCTGCGTAGTTCAATGAGTACGCCTAAATGTTATCGGCCGGAACTTTTCTAGCAAACTGTTTGTTGTTGGCGCAGGACAAAATCACTCTATATCGACATCTAGCATGGTTTCAATGACTCATTAGACAGAAAAAGCTTCGACTAGCACCTGCCGACATTTGCTAGTGTAAACAAAGGTGACGGGGTCTTCTCGTTTACAGAACCTTCAGATACTTCAAAGGTTACTTAAATATATATTGAAGAATATCTTTAAATCAAGGGTCTTATTGAATGAGTCATCTCATTGATTCAACTTTCGCTTTTCGAATGGGACCCAATTCGTATTAGGCCGAGTAAAGTGCTCAAATGATATCCGAATGTGATTCGCGTATGCTTTCTAGAATTTACCTGAGCTGTTGGACGCAAGACGAGTAGCCTTATTCGGCGTTTTTGGAGCTCGCGGTGAGGAGATTATGAGCGCCCCATCTGGAGGACCAGAACTATTTTGCATGTGAGATGACTGGCTAATATGCTGATGATCACCAGGACGTTGATGGTGCTCCTTTAGCTCGTTGGATTCACCGTGATGGTCCTTGTAGTCAAGGCCCTCATCCTCCTGGTTAGTGAAACCATCAGGCAAAGTTTGGCCTACAATGGCCTGGATTGTCGAGCGTCTGTGAAAGTAACCAACATTTTACAACCGGCATTTATATTCCACCAAATCTTACTCCTAGGTGTCGATATTATTATTATCCGAAAGCCCGTGTATGGTGTTTCATGAAAATGTACTTTTAAAAATTTAATAACAAAATAAAACTATACTATAGAATTTATGTTATTGTTTGATAGATAACAGTTCCTATTATTAGTCAGAGATTTATATCAGGTCTGTAAGTAAGTGCACATAGCCTTACAACATGCGCAAAAGAGAGAGGTATAATAATTGAAGGCACACCTTAAGTCGATGCCTTGAAGATTGCCATGCCGTCTACAAACGGTGTCATAATCCTTTGGAGGGAGTAACAGGGGTCCCTGGTTAACTTTGCGTCCTTTGCCAGTCCCAGCCCCGGTGCCTGAATTGGCTTTAGAGCCAGCTAATTTCTCCTTCAACTCCTGAGCTAAAGAGTCATAGAGGCGGGCTACGTGCGGGTCCCGTGGTAAAAGTGAATCTGAGTCGTCCTCTTGCGAATGTACAGGGGCCCCAGATCCTGGTCGTTGATCTGTTTGCTGGCTGCTTTGGGACTGGTGACTTTGGCCTGAGATTTGACAGCCTTCTTGACCTTGAAGGTCGTGATACAATTGCTGCTGATGATGGGGCTGGAAGCTGTGAGAGCCATGATGAGCCGAATGGCCTCGAACGTTCCGATGAGCCTGACTTTGGAGGCCTACATACTGATTGTGATTGTTTAATAAATGGTTTCTGTCAGGAGGTCGTGTGTGTCGGGTCACGACAGCTGTCGGCAGGGCCTCTTCCTCACACACGCTGTGTATAAACAGCAAACGTAAATTCGGGTTAACCACCGTTTACTTTAAACCCCGGCGATCCAGCTATTTGTGGTTCTCAATTATAACATCAAATATTCATAAATCGTTTCCCTAGAGTTATCCGTGTTGAGAAAATCCTATGCCTGTATTTAGTCCGATGCTTAAACTTACTAAAGATATACAATGTTCTCTTTGTTGCAAATGGTTCCCTGCATATGTCCATGATATAGCGTAGATATAATATATGGTATGCAATATAAAACTTTTAATCAAAATTTTTATTTTTTTTTGGATTGACATTCGAAATACTAACGCACTAACGTATTCGTAAGCACATACCTTCTTTCAAGATCATCAAGATGATCGTCAGCTATTTTATTTTCGATGTCGTCCATGTTGTCCAAGTCAGGATCATCGTCATCATCCGTACGCGTGCTGCGACCGTCGGAGCCTATTAATCTGTGTGAGCTCCCGGAACAGGTGCGTTCACCATGATGACCACTCAGTCCCAGCCCGCCTGTAAGAGGTGGATGGCCTCTAGATGCAGTCTCCCTTGGCGGCATCGGTCCATCGAGGTGCGCAGCACTCGAATGAAGACCAGGATCTCCACCGCGCTCGCCCAGCCGTGCCTCGACTTGTTCGAATCGACTTCTATTTTCTGGTCGTTCGACAAGGTGTTCTAATTGCACTCGAAGAGATGTCGCTGTCTCAACAGAATCGCACCTAAATTTCAAGCAAGCAAACAAACAAACAAACAAGGGGGAGTTTAATAAACGATTATATCGTAAAACGTTGTTTTGAATTAGAGTGTTTACTGTATGATGTGCGAATAATTAATATTTTTAATCCAATTCCCATGTATAGATTAATGATAGCGATCAATATAGTTGTCTCGACGTTTGATAGACCCTTAGTAACCAATGCGCTTCTATTCTAGTTATCGAACCACAACAAGCAACGGGTCTTTATCAACTGATCGAAACCAAAGAAAAAAAAAAAAAGGAAAACAAAGACATCAATTATGATTATGTCTATCTGCTAATAATAGTGCCTCAGCTGAATGTACTAAGCGGCTAATAAAAAACGTCAAAATAATGAAATTATCCGTATCGAGTTTGGTATTAGGCTGTTCACCGATAATGTAGACGTGAGCCCACAGTGATAGGACAACATGTAAAAGTCTGAGCGTTTCATCTTTTCCATCTTCGTTTACAAAATATAACGTCAAGTGTATTAATGAATATATTGTTTTCGTAAAATTGTCTCTCATTGTCATACCTCGAAATAAAATCCAGCTTTTCAAAAACCAGTCTAAAATGTTCCATACCGGGGTAAGTATCTAGTTTTCTATGCATGTACGTTTCTGGCAAACAATCTCGAACTGAACCACTACCGAACCCATGATCGGCCGGCCCGTTTCAACGCATCGCCATTTCCCTCTTCCGTTTCGTCGACTATCTTGGCAAGACGTTTGTGTCGTTTACTGTACTGGCCGTTGTTAGAACGGCCTTTAGCTATCGCAACTGTAATCGATTGAAGCCGATAACGCGGGTGACCCTCGTCACCGATCGAAGTACTCATCCTCTGCTTGGACCGTCGTAAACCTGTGCGTGCGTAGGTTTTACGTAAAAACTGAATAGCGCTGATAGTGACACACACAGCAGTGGAAATCATTGTAGTATTTTCTATGGATAGCGACATGGGAGCGTTTTTTTGTAACGTTTTTTTCGCTGTACAACGATGAACTGCAGTCCCCTTAAAGGACATGCCCAATTCGGTCTATTCTTACTATATTGGTTTGCTGTTTGAACAGTGAGTCATTTAGTTCATCAGCTCGGCCGACGATAATGATTCTAGCGCTGGCGCGAGATTTGTGGTAAAGCCCGCAATTGTAGTAGCAGTAGAAGCCATAGTGATGTCCAGACGGGATTAACCTTTTCTGCAGTGACGTATCAAAAATATGAAAAAAATTAAAGAGATGGTAAGAAAGAAGAAAGATGTCGCTACTGTCGTCTGGGTCACCAACGCGGCCAGATGGACCAGTGCTGTCCAGGAACTTTTCGGTCATTGAAATCTTTTCTTCGTTGTACGGTTGCGAGTCGACAGGACGATCCGAGCAACAGAATGTCGCTCGTTAGACATAATAGGGTTGAGTACGCTTGACTTCGGAGCAACTTAGCCGTCAGTAGCTTCGATTTAACAGGTGATAACCGAGTCCTCTTTCTTGATGGGCAATGATGCCGTTCGTTGACAGCCAGCTGCAAATGGCAGCACCCAGAGTCAACTTGGATTATTTCAAGAGTACCGTCAGGTAACCAACCAATCGTGGAAGATTGCATTGAAGAAAATCAGACTATTTATTGTGACGTCTCTGCCGGAGGAAACGAGTAAATTAAACGAGAACAATTTCTAAGGCTTACACATGGTGCAGTCTACAGGCGCTCGAGTATATAAATATTGCTGGCAGGAAGTATTCCCTAAGTTCTAACGGTCACTATATCGTCTTATAGAGTAGTAACCGTAATAGCTTTGAGCTAGCGTCAGAATCCGGACCGTGCGAGTATTATCTAATGATCATCGTTTCGCTTGCAGCTACATGTCTAAAATAAGGTCTATTTTTATTCTAATTTAACAACTGACTCTCAAAACTAACCTAAACGTTTGCACTCTTCATATATGCAGTGAAATTGTGTTTGTACCAACACTAAACGATACTTTTATTCTTAATATGGGTCGCTTCATCTTGTCCAATTTCTATTATGACACAAGCCTCTAATTAACAGGTCAGCACAAGCCATTGTCATTAAAGACAGTAGCTAGGCCTACTTTTTTTTCCTTATTTCTGTATGTACTACCTCGCTGCTTTACAGATCTACTCAAAATACAGCGTTATAACGTATATATTTCGTATACACACATATCCTATACCCCATAAAAGAAAACTCTGATTTTTTATTAGCTAATTTGCTTAACCTAACTAGTTTGAGAATCATCGACTTGAAATTTTTTTATCAAAAGGCTTAAAGATTTTACACATATGGGACCTAGAGATTTGACACGGCGTTATATTTTATATGTAATATCTACTATGGTAACGGTAAGGATCACCATGTTGTCTTTGGGTTAAGGCATAATGGGTCTATAGTCCGCTTCCCTGCGCAAGGCTTGTTCATGGTACCTGTATGCATGTACGTGATGCGGGCACCGCGTGACTGGATTGTAAACAAGCAGGATACAGCAGACAACATCAGCATGTGGGGGACGGGCTTGTGTGACACACGTTACTGCATAACCCGGAATCAGATGCTTTACCTGCAAAATCAAATATAGAGACAATGACATTATAATAATTACTTAGAGCATATCGCAAATGGAATAAACTTTGTTGATTGCAATAAGCCCACGAATTAGTAGACATAGAAAAAATATATCTTTCTATTTAACATATTCCATACGAATATGAAAGGTAGATAAGAAGGGGTAAACCTTGACCCGGAAATTACGCTAACATGCCAGATCGCTTTCTTAATTAGAGGCCTTCTTTTCAATCTTAAGCCATCTGTCTTTTTGAAATATTCAAGAATTTTTGCCAGTGCATCTTCATAAACAGACAAACAGGATTGAAATAGGCTTACACACCGTAAAGATCTTTCTTCTTAGACTAATTTTCCCAAGGTTTTGCCTATCTTTATGTCTTACTTCGCTTTTGAAGCACGTCCATTAGAGAAACGCGACTTCTGTTTTGGTTTGGATGAGCCCTTTATCGGCCGTGACGTTTATAGCGATTTGTTAGCTGATATTTCGTAAACGGTCGTTACTAAGAGTAATACAACCTTCGCTTATGATGCGTAGAAGATGTAACGTTTAATTGTTGTTTCTCAAGCTCCCTCGCTGAAAGGGTGCATTTCAATTAATTGTAACTGTGGGAACGTAGTCATGCAGCCGACAATTCTGGCAATTGTCTTTAGACAGGATGGTTGACTGGATCAGGTATTTGTTCTTTTAGAATGCTCTCAATCAGGGGCTCCGGACTTTCTCTCAAGTCTTTAGCAGCTGAAACCGTGCCCGTTCCGTTCTCAGATTATTTCTCTGTGTATTACAGTCCTTTTGCATATGTACGAGTCGGATTGTCAATGGTTACAGAACGACGTCAACCTTTCTTTCAATGGATCTGTAATTCTTCACTTACCGATGCAGGCTTCATCTTGTCCACGCTGTATTTGAGCCTGTTTTTTTCGGCTTCGTTTTCGATTCTCTGCTTTCTCTTCGCGGTCAGTTAATTAACGAGACCCTGAATTTGCGTAATATGCATCCGATAGTTGTAACCAACTGCATGAGTGGTTTACACTGATCTATCGCGGTGTATTGAATCTTAGTGGATTGTAGCATGCGCATATGAAATCACTAGCACTCCTCATTCTTCTAGATTTTGTTTGAGTTTTTGAATGAAAAACAATTGCCTTTTTTTTTAGCCTTTATTTAGCCTTTTTTTTTTAGTTGAACCTGCACCTCTTTGCGACTTGACGTTCTAGCCTGTTCTTCACCATTTTGCGCGTATTGTCATAGGTACGTAAGTTTTGTCGCTCCCATTGCAGGAAGCCTTGCGTAAGGCTCTTCAAGGCAGGTATTCTTCGGTTGCGAAACGTTCTCTCTTCCACATTGGGTGACCAACAGAGTCTCTGCCACAACATCTAATAGCACTTCTAGATAGATACGGGTGGCCTTCTGTAGAAGGTGTTTGTCTCACATTAACAAACTTACTGGTTTCGGAGCGTCTGCTAACTACTTGTATTATAGACATATGTATGTAAGTCGCAGCTGGTCATAGGTTGTTCGATAAGACCGCAGATTCGTACGTTGTTGTCCGAGAAAACTAACGAATTTTAACGCACATGTACTGCAACGCGACGCAGGATAGCGCAATATCGAAAGTAGGCTAGGTAAACAATAAAAGCGACCTAGTACGATTTTTAACGCAGCATAATACAATAATAAAGTAAATCGATTGCATGAACAATGTACTGAGTCTCCTGTAATAGAGGAACCGAAAAGAACATGTTCCAATGGCACAACAGTGTCAACTCCATCGGAATAATAGGAATAACATGGTAATAAAGCAAATACAACAAGCTGGAGTTCAGAATTTGAATTTAGGCTAAGCAGGCCTGATCTCGTTATAGTGTGAGAAAGGGTCACGATTAGAAGAGGAGGTTCGTAAACAAATAATAGTCTCGGTTAATTCAAGTGTGCATGTGTAGCACGGAAATTTCGCAAAAAGTTAATTACTAACTTTTAAAGTTTTTTTAAAGTCCCTAATTAGTTTTCGCCTTAGGTAAAAGTAAACGCATACTGAAACTGGATGGAAGCTTGGTGCCGGTAGTCATTTTATCCCAATATTGAAGCAATGCTTAACGGCAGTATCGGATGTGAAACTTGTGTTTTTTTCGTTTATGATTACCGCTTCCATCTTCCATAGAGATAGGCTTTCCGTTTCAAGGACACGATAGATTCCTTTATCTAGGCAAGCAAACGTTTAAAGACCAAAGTTGCTAGGAGCCCTCTGAAGATAGCTGATTTTTTCGAGGCTGCTGCTAGCTATGATTATTAGGTAGAATCAACAATTCGTTATTTTACGCATTTTATCACTCTTAGGTATTTTCACTAGAAATCGGAACTACATCTTCGGAATAAAGTTCGTAGTAAGTTTGTTTTTTAATTGGATACACCTTCTGACTGTTCCCTTTGTAAGAGCAAGATCTTGGAATCATCTTTCCGATACAAGATTTTTTTCAGATTTGTAGGTATATACTTACCCTATTATTTGATTGTGGCATAATGATAATAGTATAATATAATATAATAATAACAATAATAAAAAAAAACGCTATTTTATCTATACTTATGCAATGGGGTAGCCTTAGCGGGAGCGGTATTTTCTATATGTGGGCTGCCTAGAGACTGACAATGGTCATAATCATCGTTGCTGTTGTGCTTGTTACCGAAATGTTTACCAAAAAGTCGCTCATCTGTGACATCAACATTTCATAAATTTTATTAAATGTACAACCGCAATAATACGTTATGAGCTAAGGGAACCCTGTGTGAGTCCAGATACAAGCCAATCGCAGTAATCAACAATAATCCGTCGATTTTTCCAGCAGCCGTGTCGCTGTTTCTGTAGCTTATAGTGTAGTGGAGTGTGGGCAACAGGAAACCCGTCCGTAACCATGATGGCTTGAGGTCATCCTACGCTCCGCCTTTTTGGGAAGCAGCAACCCCAATTCGTAAGAGCTAGAAGAGCTCTACTAGCTCGTCCATTGCTTCCCTTACCTCCGTGTCGGTGGCATTAGAGAAAACAGACTTTGCGAGATGCTAAAGCTCGAACATCCGCCGAACTTTAACAAAACCGCTTCCATATTCTAAAATTTATCCCTTGTCTCCATTTCAGCTAGTTTCTTCCTATGTTCTTGTCACTGTTTCCGCCTCCGAAGTATCACAGACTCGTCACTTTCGCCCTCTACCTCGGAAGGCATGTTAGAAAAATGCTTAGATAATTAAATACGTGTGTACTTACCTATAATTTATATATATGCGTAAATATTTGTGTGTGTGTGTGTGTGTGTGTGTGTGTGTGCGGATACAGTTCCAAAGTTCAGTGAAAGCGAATCGCCAGTTAAATTGAATTTTTCATGTTTCCGATCTTCTTGTACAAAAAGTTCTTCATATCGTAAGACGTATCTTTGTGCCACTTTCACTTGACTTATCAGTTCGTTTTGAAAAGCAACTTTAAATAATGGCCGCAAGTAGTTATCAGCTTCTGTAGCAGCAGTTAAAACGTAAAAAATATCAGCTACGAAATCGTAGTGTAGTTGTCGTAAAAATCCGAGTAATGTTACACATCATCCTCGGTTTGTTCAAAAAAAAATAAACGCTGTCTTATTTGGCTGTCAACCGAAGTAGCTAGTGAGGGAAGCGTCATTTGAAGTAAACATGGGAACGACAGATATCGCGCTAAACGTTAACGTAAATACATAATTACTCAAGACTACAATAACAAATTGAGGATAATAACTTGATAAAGCTGCCGCATTTCCGTACCTTATACACTTCGTTGTACTTTCATAATGTATGTTCTACGATGTAATTAATTTGTTATCGCATGGAGCGCATTAGCAGCAGGTACCAGATATCCTCAACTTCAGGCTTATCATCATCTAAAAGGCCGCAAGGGCCGCTGTGCACAGGGTTCTCTATATCGCTGCCCTTGCGGAATACGCTTGTGAAAGAAATCCTGCTAGGATTGTTACAGTCCGTTCGATAGTACGTTACACTAATGTGTTGTCATTACGCTGGATAGATAGAAACGGTGGATAAAAACGCAAGCCAAGCTCATGTACGATTTCCGCCAGCTGCAAAACTTCAATACATTTGTGTTTCGCAGACATAACACGAACAATTGATGAAGACAGCAACAAAGCTTTACGAAGATTTACTAGAAATCATTCGTTCCGTTAGAAAGATTTCGTTCAACTCGAAGATGTGAACTTATTGTGAAAAGAAATTATAACTTTTGGCAATGCAAGCATTATCTAAAGTCAATTCAACTTGGTTACGGCTTACCTATCAAATCTTGACAAGTATATTCTGAATGTCCAAAACAACCGATTAGGCTTTCTTCCTACTACTACTACTACTTATTAGTTCTTTCGGAAAATCTTGTGGTTGGTAAGTATTTCTGAGGACGCATTTCGAATAGAGTTTGCACTTCTAATCGGGCTCCAAGTTCACTTCACCACGGTCGAAGCACACAATAATAACCTTTGACAGCTCCCGTATTGGGTGAACTATCTGTGCAGCATCATGTGTGACAAAAAAAGAGCCCGGTTTGATGGAGCCCCGTTTTACGAAGAAAAGAAGTGAATATTTTACATGAAACTACCTAATTGGGAAATAGATCGTAGGATTTTCGTGTTTAGCCATGCCCATGTACACCCAGAACTTTTACCCTATTAAATCTTTCGAGCCTTACATGCAGTACTTCCGCTAAGCGCCACTTCAGACGACTGACTTCCAGAAAGAATGCAGGCGTGTCTATTTATGTTCGACTTTGAACCTTGACCGCCTCACGCGTTTCTTTTGACACAAATGTTTGCTACTTGACCACTATGACATCGCCGACACGAAGCAACACCTTCTCTTTGGTAAGAGCATGCCGTTTTTATTGGATGCTGGTTCAATTACGCCCTGTTCAGTGATTGCTCATTCTCTCAGGGGCTAAGACATTTTGTTAAACTATAACATAAAAAAAAAAGATCGAAACTCGCCATTTGGCGAAGTTATTGAGGATACCGTGTTTAGTTGTTAGAAGTGCAGTAGGCTGTTCCTGTATTGTACCGTACAGCATCTTAATTGAAATGCCACGTTTGGGGCCCAGATTCGCTCAAATCGTCACGGTATCGGGGCTACCTTCTGTCGTTCGTTATCTCAGCCGAAAAACTCTTTGCAGAATATTGGCCACTTCCAGAGAGTATGGTCATTTAGGGTGCGATATGGTCATATTTAATATAACATTAGTCTAGCCACCTTAAGGTCTTCAGTTAATAGCCAGTATTGATGGGGACATCGCAGCTATTTTTTTGTTTCTTATATGGTCCAAAGCTTTGTTCGAGTTCCTTTAATTCTTTTAGGCGATTTTACTTTTTCGTAATGGTTATAAGTTGGAGTTATCGCTTGATACAATCGGTCACCACCTAACCCAACCTTCGCGATAATCTCGATTGGTACGTTTTTCATGCGTTTCGTGCTCCCTATGCTTACCATGGCGCTCAGCCTTCCATTACAATTTTCTATATTTTCAATTGTTAAGCTTGCGCCCAACCCGAAGCTCATCTCTGGGCTCGGCATAAAGTTGCTCCCACAGCATAAGGTAAGAAATATGTTCGGTGGTACGGGCGTCATACTTGGCTCTCTGACGCATATGCTTGAGGCCTTTTAAACCATCATTTTCTTCTTAGTCTTGGCCCTTACGTCCCCTCCCAGAGCGAAAAGTCGAATTAATCCACCTCTTAGGCCGCGTTCATAGCTTCCTTTAAGGCTTTACATCCGGGCAAGCATCCGCAACCGTTTCGACTGAGCGGAGTGGTGACCTAAGTTAGCACTTATCTACTACGGAGAACATGTGCAAACTTCGTGATTAACCTTTCCGCGTACCCAGGGATAGCTCAGATAGGATAGATTAGCCGGTAAAACAAGACAAGAAGTCACCATCTGTTCAGAAATTAGGTTCAATCTATAATCTGCATGAAATGTTTGTCTTGGCTCTTTTTTGCGGAACATCAGCTAGCCGCTTGTGTATATATTTGATAGGCAATATGTATCGAAAGCGACCTTCAGTAAATAATGCCAAACGACCGGCTAACCTTAACGCTGTTTGCTTGACAGAAAAAATCATCCTAATTTAAAATTTACGATTCAACTTTTTTCTATTAACTTTTCGTATCGGTTGATATGCCTTAAGCTCTAGCACGTCAATATCATTTGTATATATGGTTCAAGTAATTGCATAACTTACCTAGTTGATAGGTTATCGTGAAGCTGATAATATTAACTAAGGGCCTTGTGTAACCAGCCTTAATTAGATCAATATAGCTTATCCAGATCTTTCCCTCGAGTAGTACTTTTAAGTATTTTACACCATCTTCTTGTTTTGTGCTATGCCGATAAAGCAAAAACAATTCATGAACACGGAATTCGGACCACGGACAGATGTAGACTGAATTTCGTTTTATAACCCTGTTTTCTCTAAACTGTTTATGTAGATTAGTTCCATGCAAGGATATGTTAGAGATATGTATGCCGGGTCCTTACTCCGTTCGAAATGCTAGATAATTGCATACGTTAAGTAAGCAATATCAATAATTCGTCAATATCAATAATAATAATAAAAAGTAAGCAAAGAAATAATAATTCGGCCGCTTCTTCACATACTCGGAAACTAGATAAAAATTCGATTACTAAACCAATTAATAAGTAGTATTTAGTAACTGCTGGTCACCATTAGTTCACTGGGCAGAGTGAAGATTAACTTTTCCTGACACGAGCTAAAGGAAGATATAAATTAAGCTGTGATATATGCTTCCATATAACAATCGACCCCTTGTTGTGGCCGCCTTGATAAAACCCTTGCGTATGTTTTAACTCCGGATGGCGAACATACCGGATAGCTGTATCCAGAGCGTCTGTTGGCCTTGCCATTACCATTACGGCCCCCTCATATGGAGCGCTTGGCGCGAGTCGCCCCTGAGAACAATGTTTTGTAGGTATCTTTTATGGTTGACTTTGTGCTTAGAATGGCATCGGTTATAAACGCTCCTATTCAGCCACATTTTATCTTCTTGTTATAGAATTGCAGCAACAGGTGTATGTTAGAAGGCTATACACCCTTTACACAGAGCAGTTGTTATGGCTGAGGCCTAAATTAATGTCTTATTTTTCTTAGATAATACAATTGTTTTAAAAAATTTGCCACGTATCTGTATTTATCGAATGGGCCGTTAAAATCAACACTGCCAGGAACATCAATTTGAACAAGGGTACATGAACCTTAACCTAACGCTCATATGTCTTATTGTACCTAGAGAATCGACAAGATTAAAACGTCGATTTATAATGATGTACTCTTTCGCTAGCTTTGTTACGGGCTTTCTGCTCTCCGAAACGTCCCTCAAATTTCTTCAAGAGCGCAAAAACTATGTTCACCTCGTCAACTAAATATGTTCAGTTAGCAAGTCCATTCTCTTCGATAGTACGGGCCTTCTGAAAGGGAGCTGAGCCTGGCTAAGAAAAGCCACAAACATACTTAGCCAGTATTGCCATGTCCTCTTGGGATCAGCAATATATAAGTTCAACACAAACTAGTTGGGCTGTTTAGGTGCCTTGTCAAGACGACAACATCCAACTGGATCATCAGCTATTCCTCGGATCACGTACGAGATCAGTCGGACGGCTAAGTGAGGTGTCGAGTGGCGTCCATAGCGTAAAAGTGCAGGTTCATTCAGCCGTCCTAGCGGGCTGAAATAGCCACTTTGGACGTTACTGAAATTGGGCTTCATTGCGCATATGCTAGATTGCGCGTTTTCGCGGGTTCAAATGATGCCAAAAGATATGTTCATCCGGAATTGAGCCTCATCCTTTTCACATGATTGAAGCTCCAGCGGGTTAAACCTCTATTCGTTACTGACTATCTGTTAACGAAATTTTTCTGTAAAATACTGAAATTTCCCATTTCGTTAATTTTACCGTATTGCAGATGCTCGGCAATTACTTATCGACGGTGTTCAATCAAATGAACAGCCACTTATAGACAATTCCCTTTTTGGGTAATGGCTTTACAACCGGCGAATGTCACACATGTTTATCCAAATATAATGGTATTTAGGTATGTAGTGAAGTGGCATCAGTATGTAAAATCAAATATAAGTGCCATAACCAAGTAGTAATAATAACAGAGAACAGAATTTTTTTCTTCTGAACAATTGAAGTCATTAAATAGTAACAAATGAACAGGAATTAAAAAACGCGTCTATATTCTTTTGCATTATCTAGTCGAAACTCTGCGAAGTTGCAATAACCACTTCGAAATAATAAATAGTCATAAAAACTAATTAAAAAGCCAGACCTATTTCCCTTTTCCGTTTGTCTCAGGTCAGGTTCTTTAACGGTCTCCTTAGATGTATCGGCTGTGTTCAGTGTGTAAGCCGATCTCGTACCATTTCACCAAATGTTTATTGCAACGTTCTCCCTTTTACGTTTGGTACTGCAATGAAGCATTCGTTCTAACGGATGGTCCTGTCCAGTATGAAACAAGTTCCTATGCTCGATTTCGAGCCTAGACCGCCCTTCTATCCCTACGGTTAGTAGACTAATACGTTTCCATTGCTGGAAGACCCACATGTTTGTTACTGTCACCCAACCAGGCGCTTTTCGTGAACGATTGACACATCTCATCTGGGTCGTTTATTGAGTCACTTGCTGATAGAATATATTTTTCATTCTATACCTACTATACAAGGTTGATCTGATTAAAAATGTATAATTTTTTACCACGACAATATGGGAGCTCAACGAGAAAAGAAGTTAGTTCAGGCAAGTGTTGAATACACGTTCAGCATTTAGTGCCTGTACATCAATTAATATTAGCCTGTACCAAATGTGTATCTATGCTGGAATCTGTACAATATGTATTTTTCGCTAAATGCGTCACCTGTTCCGTTTTGCCGTTGTTACGCGAGCCTGGTCGAGAAACATTTTGGACAATTTTTAATCCTTTGCTGCTGATCTGGAAATGGAAAAGTCACACGTATATCGAAGTGTACATTAGCAGACGAATACGAACAATTTCCCTTTCTCTACTGTACACACTAAATAAATTAGAATCTGCACGCGGGAAAATAGACACGCAGCTACTAGCGAATTTCGGCTTAAGTTCTGTATTGATGTTATAATTCAATAGTTAGATACTAATAATTAACGTTTAATTAGCTAGTAAATAACGCATAATTCCATTAATGAATTTCTCTGAAAGCCATCTACTTTTTATGGAGGTTATGTTTTGGCAGTACTAAGGAGCATACAAATTTATGCGCTAAATGATTGTATAATTCGAATTGTTTTTATATGTCGTCGATGAAAAAGAAAAGCGTAACAACAACTGCACCGATTGAAATCAGGCCATATTTAAGTCAATGCTCGCTTTTCATTCTAAAGAAACACATCACTCCACTTGTTTTAGGCCAGCGACCTCTAGCGGTGTCTACCATCTCGCAACGACTACATATGTAAAACGTAGAAACAATGTAATCATATAACTAACTATTCAACATTATAGTTTATCACCCCTTTTATAAACTTGTGAAGACATATATTCCGCATAATAATTTTAAATGATACCATAAAGTAACAACACAGTATACGAGAGAAAATAAGTTGACGATTAAAACGAATCTACATGAACAGTAAAAACATTCTGTCCTACACCTAAATCTCTACCGCAAGTTTACCCTAATATAGGCCTCCTAGCCACATCTCCACTTTCCCTGTAAGACAGCATTCACAGTACAAGGATGACCACTACCATTTGTCCTATATTCAAGTAAAGTAATAACAAATCTAGCTTCACTTGTCCAACATCATCCTGAATAAACAAGAACAACTATAAAAATATCTATATATATATATACATAAAACATTTTACCGTTTTATAAGCTAACCAGCAATATTTGCATTAGAATTTGGGCTGTCTGAGATGATCGCCGTAAGGCAATAACGTCATTAGCATCTGGTATCATCATATGGACGGCTTTGCGTGTGTATTCGTAACTGTGCCATGAAAAAGGCCGGATACTATGCGTAGATAAACAATGCTCTAGGTAAGCCCACCTGCAATTATTAGTGGGTTCGAAAATTGCTATTTGGTTCAAAGTCATCGCAATAGCGGTTATCCACTATCTGATACTACCTGTTTCCAGGCTGTTTTGTATAACGGATAGATTAACAAGATGAGGAGATTGCCATAATACATTGCAGTTCATACGCTACCTGTCAATGAGCCCCATTTTTTTTGGTTGATTCATTTCTTCAGCTGATCTGTGAAAGTAGCTTATTTTTTCCGAAAATGGAAGATCGTGCAGTAGATATTGAATCGAATCAACTTGGCTTGCACTATATATATATATATATATATAGTGCAAGCCAAGTTGATATATATATATATATATATATATATCTGTATAAGTTTTTTAGTGAGTACGATGGTATAATATAATTTTCCTAAATATAGTACGTCCTGTAGGAAGTAGTTTCGGGCCAATCATAACACATCAAGATCTTGCATGGTTTGCGCAAGATTTGTTGGCAGGAAAGATTGCAATAGGCACAATTTACAAAACACAAGCCCCCTTATTTCGAACAATGGTTACCAATTTGTGTCAACCTCAATGTCATGCCGATGGTACTAATGTCAACTCAACGATCAGGTAATATGTGTCTCACAGGATGATAAAATCCAGCTTACGAATGATTTAATATCTATGGGACATTATTTCTTTTCTTTAATCTTCACATGTCTCTGAACTTGTTAGGGTATACGTATTATAATAAACCGCATGCATGGCTTTTCCTTCATTTTTTTAATATAAAAAAATAATTCTTTATTTGCATTTTCTTATCATGATTTTAATTCGGTAAAAAGTAGCACTTTGTTGGTCTTGGCGTTAGGACGTCTAGAGAATAAATGGCCTGCTGATTTCCTGGCGCAGACGAAGCAAAGATCCTCTGAGACCCCCTTCCCCTGGCTTGCACAATGTGACGTACAAGTACAACAAAAGCGACGTTAAGCTCCTCAGTATACTTAGCTCTATCCAATGTCTACTGTGGAATATTTATTTCTATCGTTATGATATCATCGTCGGTTCGGTACGACTAGTATCATAACTATCTTCGCGAGTTTGATGGCAGTTTAGTAGCAGCTATTTCATCAGCAGCGGTTACAGAATCCAAAACAAAACTAAAAGCCCCGATAATAAGACCATAATATTGACGCGATCAACGCCAACGAAGTGTACGTCCACAACAAGAACAACAACAACAACAACAGCAGCAGCAGCAGCAGCAGCATCAACACCACCACCACCACCAATAGCAACAACAATAAGCAATAATAGCGCGTGCTATCGCATCGTAAAACCTCACCCCAAAACGACGATGTAACACGCCATAGATCAACGATAGGGCTCTCGCCCATATTACATACTGCTAGGGCTCCTAGAAATACGGAATTTGTGTTATTAAAAAATTCTTTTTTCTCAATATCAACAAAAACCATAACAGTATTAACAATAGCAGCCATAACAAAAGCAACAGTTCAGTGGGACTTTTTCTTATTTAATCACAAAAAAACTCGTTTGCTTTCGGCAGAACAGCAGACATTCGGGGGCCTATAGCACTGTTAGAATGTTTCGGCAAGAAGCGCAAATAATGCTGTAGCCATGGCCGTCCCAAGATGTGTAACCCTCCTAACGTATCTAAGTGCCTCGTAACGTTTATACAGTGTGGTACTGTTAAGACGGGCAAAGTTTTTGAAATGTACTATTATACTATACTGATCTAAAGGCCTTTTTTTCTTTTAACATATTTTCGTGTTTTCGTATCGTCGTTCGTAAAGAGCTGCACCAGAGGAATTGCGGAGCAAAGCGGCTTGAGCTACCTATAATATTCAGCGAAAGACCACCGCCGATGCGATAAGCAGCAGTTACCCGCAAAGGCGATTATAGAACGAGATGCACGCACAGGAACAGAGGAGCTCAAGCGCTAAGCGCTCGAAAAGAGACGGGGAAAAACCATAAACGTCAGTATTTGTCACTATCAGTTTTTGCCACCGCTGCTGTTTTCACATGTACATTTGGGATTTTCAATAACGACAAAAATGATTACAATGGCCGCGTAGGCGCCAGCAGCACGCGATAAGGAATGCTACTGCTTATTACCCTAGCGAGGCAGTCTTTTGAAGGTGATCAACAGTTGGGTTGACTGTAGCTTAGAAGCGAAGCCGCTGCAGCTCTTGTCTGGAAGGAATATCAACGATAGCCTATGTCGGCGGAATCGTCATTGCTTTGCTGCCACTATCGTCCTGTTCAGCGTCGTCTGCTTGGCGATCATTGTTTCTATTCTGTTGTCCTTGTTGTTTGTGGTTGTTGTCGCTGATCTAATACTGCCGTTATCTTACCGTAGATGGTGTCGATTCTTCACAGAGATATTCTAATATTTGTTGCTGCTACTGCTGCAGCAGTCACCCTGCGAAATCGTAGCAGCAGTAGCCCTAAGGGAGGTCCAGCTGCCCTATCATCCTTTGGCAGTACCATGGTTTTCACATTTCTCCCTTACTCCTCGACCCACAAAATCAACGGTTTTCGCTATATCTGACATTCAGATGACGCTCATCCCGACGGACAGCAAAAGCTCCGTTAGTCCACTAGTTTCAGCTCCTGCCACTGACCAACCGTAACTGGTCGGGATTGGTTGTTCGTCATGCACTTTTCGCTTAATTGTCTGTTTCCTTGCCTTCCGCAAACTCCTATCTTTCTTCTATACACCCGTCTAACTGGTCATATATCTGGTTCCAAGGCTATTAGTCAAAAACATGCACGCGGGCGCGTCGTATGTGGCGCTTTTCTAGCGTCCACGCACGGAAACGAAACCACCCCTAAACAGCAACTGGTAGCGTAACTGGCACTAATAGAAATAAAATGAGCCTGCGCAATTGCGGCTGTATTGCGGCATGTCGGCGATTCGACATGGCTTCGTTCACTGGTCCCGTAAGCCGTCACCTTTTGTTTCCTCAGGACGTGCGATAAGGGCGCCCATCGTCCACGGCCAAATGAATACTGTTGTCTTGATGCGTCTGAGCACCGAACTAGGCAAAATAGGTAGCACCGGTCGCAGCTTTTAGGACGCGAGAACAGATCACATGTTTCGGTCAGTAGCCGTGATTTCGATGGCGCTTCGCCATATTGTCACTAGGAGCGCAGCAATATTTAGGAGCGCAGCAATATTTACGCAGTTCTGCCAGTTGAGCCAAAATAAGGCGAAAGGTGACTGCGATCGCAGGCGCTTGGACCTGTTCTTATTATTTGATCTTGCTTTGACCGCAGCTTGTTTGCTACAGCTGCTGTAGATCAGCGTCGCGCTCATGGTGACTGAACGGGCGAGCGCTAAGTGGGGGCCACATTGTCACAACGAAAATTTCACTTTATTACTTGAGCTGTTCAAGGCCCTGCGATGATTACTACTTGCTCAGTAGCGACAGAGCTGCACCTTAAGACAACAGCGCACCGAAGGACGGCTCGCTCAGTCCGTCGCTGTTATAGTGCTAGGTATGGGGAGTAGTAATTCGTATCTGCTGGTCACTGCCATTATTGCTGCTTCTGGTGTCGGTGGTGATAATGCGGCGGCAGTTAGAATTTGACTCTGTTTTGGCCAGACGACCTGAACAGCTACGTTGCCATACCACCACACTATTCCGTGATAATGATTTTACCCCTGTGCTATTGCGGTTATCTGGGGCTAGCATCAGTGGCCAGTCGCACCACGAGGACAATTCAATAGTCCGTCCTCATATTAAATTATTGGCCGCGTGCTGATTGCTGTTGTTTCCACTTCGACTCAGACATCGGACATCCGTCCGTAGCCTGAGTGGCCTGCATCTTCCGCTAGTGACACCGCGCTCTACATAGCAACGTAGAGCGAGGCTGTCGTTCGTTAACGACATGGTCTAGTATGATTCAACACAAGCTCTGCTACAGGTTTAGTTACAGCGGTCCTAGTTTTCGTTTTTCCTGATCACTGACTGGCTGTCGTTAATATCATTCCGTTCGTGCTTCGTTTTTTTTTTTTTTATCTTCTCCGTTTTCACTCTGGACGGGGCTGGTGCTAGTGCAACAGCTGGCGCCGCTACGGATTCGACGTCTGCTCTGATCCATTGCGACTACAACTATAGCCCCTGCTACCATTTCGTTCCCGACTCTATTATATCCTTCTCGTCGTTATTGCATAGAATATTCTATGATTCCCCATTCATTTCTTCCATCTTCAGTTCACTGCCGATAGCAACAGCGTCGACTCTGTCCAAATCGCTATTATTGACGCCATTGTCGTCACCGACACCGGTTCTATCTTCAGCATCCTCGGCGTTAACGATATGCGAAGCGATGTCATCTTCTCCGTCCTCGTCGGATTCGTCCGTTAACGCTGTCTTTGTCAACGAATAGGGCTAAATGGCGCAGACGCGGAAAACACATTGTTGCAGTTTTCAGTGGTGTATTGAAGGCCGTTCGTCCCTCATTAACCATAACATCGTTATATGGCTAGATCAACACAGTGAAGTGATACTAAGAATCGTAGAAAAACTATGTAGTAACTACTGTTATCGCCGCTGTTACCAAACTGCCGACCATATTTTCGATAAATAGATGACAATGCGGCTTGTTGACTCGGCGATCACTGGACAGTGACTCGCGTACGCGGATGATAAGGCTTCACTTAAGCTTCTACGTCTGACTCGGGCAGCGGAAATGGGGCCTATGCAATAGACAACAATGCGAGAAGACGGACGGCTATAGCGGATAACGACTCGATGTATGGGCAGCTGAGCATTTATAAAGTGGCCTTTTTCTTTTGCGAATGCCATGCAAGTAGCACGACGACCCCATTCAATATTTGCGAAGGTGTTCGAAAAGGATGATGGGCATCATTCAACTTGTTAATATGGCTTCCTCTTTGTAGATTGTCTCAACTTGAATACGCTAGAGGATCACATATGTATGGGCTGTAACCAGTACAATATGGCATTGCAGGCCTACTCTTGTCAATAGATGACATATGGAATAGTAACGTAGCGCCTAGTATCAGAGATTCTCGTTTAGCGTAGGAACGGACCAGCTTTCTCGAAATGAACATCTAACACGCTCCAACGTATAAAGCCAGTCGGTACCTGTTACACACACGACGATTCGCCTGTTTGATACGATATATATCGTAGTCGACAAAATAGGAAAAGTAAGGACCAACGACGTGCTAGTACGTTTCTGAATATACGATTCGAAGTTCTGTTCGTTCCAAGTCGGAGTTTACTGATCAGGGATTCAGGTAAGCATTCATATTTTCGTATGGTAAATTCGTTCGATAATGATGAGATCCGGTGCGAAAAAATACAAATTACCGGTCCAAATCCTCTTTGTTTTCAAGGATTTCTAGAGCACTACACGAGCCTGACTGTTTCTATCGATCTGCCATCATCAACTTTGGCTCTTGTTAAAATACGACAGAGACAATTGTGCTAATTGGATTAAACAACTGCTAAGAGACACGTATGTGTTTATATTAAAACGCTAGAAAAAAATCCCTTTGTGGTGAAAAAATCGGACGGTGTAATATTTGTCGCATTAAATCCTACTCGTTTCGCATAGATACAATATTTTTTTTTTGTACTTTTTGCATAAGAAGAGATAGGAGTAGTAATTCTTTTTCTTTCTAGTAAGTAATCGCATAAAAACGTTAATATTAGATGTTATTAAACTACTGTTTAATTGCTACAGACAGAGGAGATAAGCTTAGCGATACGGCAGTCTAGTTGTTGTCAACAATCTATAATTTATAATAAACATTCGCGCACATTGGCATACAGGGATTTCAGGCACTTTTTGGTATATTTTGGTAGTCTATCACTGAAGGCGGGTGTCACCTGCCTTCGCGTGTACAAGCTTCGAAGTTAGACTTAGATACAACGCTTGTTTTTAATAGAACTAAAACCGATGTCCGTACCAGTCAAATCGTCTGGCCAAATTATCAATTTGGTTTTCCCGTTGTCGAGTGTGTTGGTTACTGACTGTTACTATCAACCTGGCTTAGTACGAACGCTGACAAAGCAGCGCGAAGAGGGCTCGTATTAAAACAACTTCACCCTAAATGGCAAGAACAATAGTCCAGTTATTTGACATCTGAATAACTTCAATACTTCATATTATAGACACCGGTACAGTCTATTAGACAGCGCAGCTGTTCGACGCTGAATTGGGACAACCCGTACAGGTTTGTTTTTTTGTTCAAATCATTGATTTTGTGCTATATAATCGTGCAGTTGGTTAACGATCGAACATGGTATGTAAGAGTTTTGTTTGCACTTATATAATGCTAACGAAATCCAAAGGCAACAAGGACTGTTAAGCAAACCAGGAACAGGATCCTCTAGCGGAGTAATTTGCTAGCAGAAAGTAACCTAAATTAATCACAAATTAGCGAATGTGTTACAATATGGCTACAGCTGCGTCGTCCGCTAGAACAGCATTGCTAAGGATGTCTTTGCCTATTCAGGATCGCGTCTCCCCGAATCGTCGACCGATGTCTATTGAGAGAAGAACTGTTCTTGCTTTATGACCTAAGCGAACCTTACTGGGCGATGATGACCTTAACAGCTTGCTAGCCGCCGGAACCGAATAGCAGAAATCATAATTATTATCCGCACCGCAACTGTTTTTTCAATTCTTCGTTTTAACGAAGGGCGAGAGTCCTTTTGCGGGACATTAGGAAGAGGGCCACCATTCTATGTTCCGATCTCAAGGTCTCTCTGGTATGTAAAATTCATCTCTGCGCTCCTTGTACGATACCCGTGACCATATAAAGCTCGCCACTTTTCAATAGAATGTTAGTAATTACTTTTAGTCCGGCGAGACTGAATCAGTTGGTGATCCACCTATATAGATTGCATCCTCGGGCAGATCGCCGTTAATTACTTTATTGCCAGCGACAGATAACATGGCCCAAATATATGCTGTGATTCGTGACTGTAACCTCTTTCCGTTCGTGCGTGCTGCCGATAACATCGCTATTGTGGCCGCTGATATTGTTGACGTGACCTCGAAATCTACGAATACATTACGTGCCGGCAGAATTTGTTGAGTTACCACTGAATGATGTGTTTGATAAACGTTTAAGCCAATTATATACGTGCACTGTCAAGACTAGAGCCTCACTGAAATGGTTGGCCGTCAATAAGGAAGAAGGAAAAAGCTGTCGAGAGTGAAGAAGAAGAAGTATTGTATACAAAAAGACGAAATTTAGTCGGGAATCCTACTGCCAGAATGCTGAATGGGGGTTTGTTGGGTAAGAAAGCTATGACTGAAAACTTCGCTACCGTAGAAACGTCGGCAGTAAATGCAATCGCCACCGCTAAAATGGATACGCAGGAACCATTCAAGTCTAATTTCCGTAAGAACATAATGTTATCGCCTTTTCTGCTTGGCTCCCTGTGTGACAGCAGCTGTTGGACGACAACTGTTCCCTTTTTGTCGCGCTAATAATTCCGTCTGCGCCCAAAGTTGCTGTTGCCATTTTATCAAAATTGCTGACGGTCAAGCTTTCCAAGCCACCTTCTAATGTTAAAGCTCTTTCGGGGACTCGCACGCTAGCGTGGACGCGGTTCTTCGTCATATAAGCAAGCATATTACTATGATATTGGCATAACTTTGTGATGATTATTGGATATTGTTCTGTCTTCATTATGGATCAGCGGCAATATGTTCTTGAAAGCGTAGAAATTGTGCGACAAAACGTCGATCTAGTTTGCGAACTTGATCTGAGAAAAACCGTCTGGCGCAATTACTTGCAAATCAAATACGTGCCTCACTAAATACTTTACGATTTCATAAATTTAATTCATCCGGAACTAGAGTTGCTAATTTCATTGGCCTTCGGGGATATGACGTCGTTTAAGGTGCATAGAGGGAAATATGTCCTAAATGAAATACATTTAACATTACAGCTTAGACAGTACGCACCTGTAAAGTGACTTTGACGGGTTCGACGTCCTTCTCGCGTTCAAGAAGGCTGGCAAGTGCTGGGCGGAGAAACACGTCCCCTCGAAGCCCGCCGCTTTCTTGGGCGCCCAAAAACCAGACGTAAAACGAATGTTTCTTCATTGTTAAGACGGCAGATACTGGCAGGCCCCCGGCCAACTCTTCCATTGATTCCCCCGGCAACCCCTGGCCGGTAGTTTTTTTTGTTCGTTCTCGATCTTTATCCGGATTTCCGAATGGTCTGGAAAATATCCCTGCAGCAGGCATGCCAACTGCTCTTTGGAAACTCCGGCGTGGTACTGGAAATACCCCGAAAGCCCCGTTAACGTGCTCTGTCGAAAACTAATTTTTCCACCTGTAATAAACATTTAATGGGAAAAGAGAAGGATTAGACAAACGCTTGTTCAGCTCTTTCACAAATTGATACCTAAACGTCTTTTTACACCAGTTCGAAAAGTTAAGTATGTCCATGTTTATAATATTCGATATAAGACTTTTTTTTCCGCTTTTAACTTTCTTCCTCTTCGTAAAAAAGTGTCGGAAGACCTATATCCAAACTATAATCTACAATATCTTTTATTACACGTTAATATCTATCCATCACTGATGTTCATCTGGTCTCATTCTAAATGTGTCCTTCGTAAAGTCGATATTCGGATTTAGGAAAATACACAGTTGATACGATTACTTAGAACAAGTCGGCCCATTACCTTATAAACAAAGCTGCTGTGGGCCTGCGCCATGGCACTAAATGACGTATTCAGATCTTCCATAAGAAGTTACCACCATTTCATATTTCTCAGTTAAAAAAAAAGTCTCCTATTTATTTGAGCCTTAACGTGGCCTTAACTATTAGATTAGTCGTATTCTGCGAATAGGCACTTGAAATAGTTATTATATAGCTTCAAATTACTCTATGGGTAAGAAAACGGTATTCGAACACCTTGAGGTAACTTTCAGCGTGATTTATCTAGAATAAATTTACAGCAGCAGACTGATGAACTTTCAATTGGCTAAATGCAGCCGATGCCAAACATCATCTAATGGTATAAAAATTTACGGATATTCACGTTAGGCGTAATGCGTGCCGTTGCGTGATGCAAGCAGTGTTTTTAACGGCTCTAAATACAATGGTATCTTAAAATCCACATTTGTTTCATTACGCTAAAATACTCGCCATGTACAAGTACTTCAATCGTTTTGCATGTACATTTTTCGGACAGGCAGAACGTTTGAACGTAGAAATTGTGTAGAGGTATAATTGGGTCGGGAGAAACTGTACAAAAACTAGAGAACACGGAGAGAGCGCTGCTGTCTTCAACGCGTCTCGTTCGATTAGTGAGATGCATTATATAACAAGAGACAAAGTATCATCTTATTTATGCGACGGCAAGCAGAAGTTACGCGTCAGATAATAGAAACAGTCGCTTCGTTTTGTTTTAAAGACGCTCCCATATGTTGAGGAGGAGCAGACAGGGATCAGATCCCCAGACCTTTTTTTTTTGTTGTTATACTGTTGCTGGTCTCATTTCACCGGGATAATGTTGTAATCATATTCAGATGATCGCATTCGCCCTGCCGAAGCGTTTCAAATCAAGCTGGTATCCATTGTTCATATTGATAGCCATAACAACACACAAATTTCTGAATATATAGCTGTTCCAATACCCCCGCTTTACTTGTAACGGAACTGATAACCGAAGTCTTATTTTTTTTTAACGCCTGATACACATCTGGATTTTACCAACCAATATGTTCGACTAATTTACGAAGCCATGGGTTTTTGTTGCTGAGAGTATTGATCTCTAAACAAAAGGATACATACTTTTGGCACAGCTCTGGAAGCATGTTTGTCATGCGATCGTTTCAAAGGGAATTATACCGAAAGCCTTAGCGGTCCAGCTGTGCGGGCGCAGATGATTTTCATTTTTAGGTTCATCTCGTAAAAAGGTTCGGGGAGCGAGCGAAGATAAACCGTAAAGAAGACCTCACGTTTCGACTGATATGCGGATCTGACCCGTATTTTTTACGGGCATGTATTTTACGAGAGGCCTTCTGTGGCCTAATATTTTATGTAGGGCGTCGGCGGTGCGCCCATGTAATTTAATGGTTGTCACACAGAGGACCATGACGAATGACTAGCATACGTAACGCGTCTCCCTACAAAACTGAACACCGGGGGACCCCATGTCGTGAATTTCATTAGTATGATATCTTTTGGGATCTACAATAATTTTATCGTTATTGGTTACATATATAGACAGATGAATGTTTACATATGGGATGATCCAACCGTACCTTGTCATGTCGTCTCGCCGCAACGGCTTCAATAGAAATAGTAAAATTTAAGTAACGAAAAGTGAAAATTGCACATGAAAGCACCCTGTTGGCAACTACCACTTTGAACACTGCATACAGGGATATTATCGATTTAACGAGAGTCGTCATCGTAATGTCTATTGACTATTGGAGCGCGGGCTGTCGTCTGTTTCGAGTGCGCCATCGCCATGCTTCGGTTTGTAAATAGTTGCACAAGCAGATATATCAGTATGTTCATGCATACTAACCGTGGGAAAGCTATTTGCTAACAACAAAAGGACGCCTTCTGTCCGTTCTTGAAGAGTTCTATCTACCAAAGATCGCTTCCAGCCGTCGAGCTAAAACAATTAAGTAACACACATAACATGGTGGTGTTCGTGAAAAATTTTTAAAAACAGTTGAATATGAGGGACCGCTGCTCGGCGGTATGTGTTTCGTTTCTAGTCTTTACTTAGCTACCTCTCGCTTATTATGTTTGTAAATATTACAATATCGAATCGGTGACGACCACTCTCATAGAAAGACGGCATAGAACAGTCATGGATAAAGATGCCGATCCACTGTGCGGGTTACCTTCTTCTGTGAGCTATAAGATCTAAAGGGGTACATCCTTGAACGTTCGCGCCTAGCTACTTATTTGGTGAATTGCAGCTCACGTCACGCGTACAAACCAACCTTCCCAGCAGCAGCAGCAGTAGTAGCAACAGGCAGAAGTTCGAAAACAGAACTACGCGAAAGCACTCAGCATTTCATAGAGAAAGACGATGTGAAATGAAGGGTGGCCCAAGTGCCTCAGCTGGCACAAACACCTCACGCGTCGAGAGAACGTCAGCGCAAAAGGAAGCAAAGAGAATGAACGCAAGAAAGCAAGCTGAAGTGTAAAAAAATTCGAACAGTGTAACCGCTTCTGTGGCAGTTATCTTGATCGTCGTACCTGTCAAAGATGTACTTTTCGACCTGCCACGTATAGCAATGGCAGACTGAAAATTCTACCTGATGGCCAGATACGCGATCTCAATAGGCTGGTGATAACAATAGGCAAATGGCAAGCGGATACAATCGGAATGACACACACGCGTACATATACAATCAGAAACAGTTCAGCGTAGCTCAGAAAAATATACACAGAATATCCGACCGCAATATTGCCACACGCGCGATGCGTGAAGTAAAGCCAACGATTTCACTGCTAGCTTCTGGCTGGCATAAAAGTACTTCTGTCCCGTATCCAAGTTCCTCGACCGCTGTCCTACCACTTCATCCCACTTGCAGGAACCCTAAGACGCTCATGGTTAAACGCAGCGCCAAGATCACATGATTATTATTATTATGGTGATACCGGTCGTAGCAGTAATAATCCCAGTCGTTGTGGTCACAGCTGGAACGATGATTGCAACGCGCGGCATTGTGAAGTCAATATACGCGCCACAACAGTCATGGCGTTCTGCTGGCGTCGACCGTTGCCTGATGGCGCTAACAATATCAGTAACATCAGCGACAGCTCTAGCCGTCGAGGACTGTTGCTTGGCATCGGCGACAGTGCAGGATGCTTCTAAGATGTCGGATTTGCAAGTGGAGATGAACTTAGAAGACCGGCTCGCAAGTTTCCTATGTTACCGCCATCACCTTAGCTTGCCTGAAAGTTTACGAATCGTGAGGTGCGTGATGGTTGTCAGACTGCCGTAGGCAGGAATGGTACGAATAATAGCCATTGCCGTGGATGAATTATTCTTGAAATGTGACGTGACTTTTTTAAAGCTGCTGTGTATCCAACATCCAGGTAGCGCGAAGTACGACAGATTTCGACGGCCTCTCCGACCGTCCGTTATCATCCGCTGCGAGAACGTGCTCAGTTATTGCGGCACATGCGCGTAGTACCGTTAAGGCAAATAGAAGTTGGGATTTTTTTTTGCACTTCATCGAAGCATCATTTTGACGACATCGGGATATACCGATAGGATCAATCTGTCCATATCATTAAATAAGTGGTAATCGGGCAATAAAGTTTTGCTAGCAAATGCCACGACGCGCACACGGTGTAGCTGTTCGTTAATGACGACGAGCTAAAACAAACCGACAATTGAAATAACTAATACTCGTGAAAAGGAATTATTATAGCATACAGTTATAGTGATTGAATATTTTGCAACAATGATAAATCGGCAATATAAAGGAGCTACATGGGAATTACGTGGGCAAGCCTTTTATCAATGTAGGAAGCCGAGAAACGGATTCCAGATAGGAAGGTAATTTGATGTAGCCAAACAGAAAAATGCAATATTTCGGTGTTGACGCCTGAGAAGTTAAAAAAGTGGTCAATATTGTTTTATCTTAATAATAAAAAGGTAATAGAAAGTTGGGATTACATCGTCCTGTCGTTTTCTCACCGCAACGTCCCATACGGCACAGTAATCATGCTGCTTATCCTGTTTGGCTTACATTGAGTGGTTGAGTATTCGCCATTGATCCCTGTATTTCCTTGAACTGGCAAAAACACGTTTTTAGGTTTAACACATAGACCAAAGGCCTTTGAGGGGTCACCAAATACATTATGCTATTGTGTTACTAGTTTATTTTTATTACGGACGTCAATATTGCCTCTTAAATCAACATACGTTAAAGGTAAAGTTTCGCGTAGATACGATTTTAACACGCAATTTCGTATTTTACGTGTCATCTGACTGGCACCTTTACCCATGTCTGTAAGAAATCGTATGGGTTATAGGTAGGACAATCGTATACGTAATGGCTTTCGCGTGGTCACATTTGGACATCACTGAAAAAAAAAAGCAAAAGACTCAACCAGGGCGAAATTTATATAAGGAAACATCATTAACGTGTATTTGTATACCGCATCATTGAATGCTGTTTGTGTTGCCCTCTGTCACTGTGCCCGAAGGAGCTATCCGTTTATATATATGTATATAGATGTTTATATGTGTGCGTACGGCCTCTAGCTTGAGTTGAAGTCGATCGAGATCACTTTTTATAATTTCTTTTGAGAATAAAGTTTAGCAGCAAACTTCACCTATAATG